GATTTCTTGAATATGGCCTATTCTTTGAGTACTTTTCGCTCAATTTATTCTTCGGTGAAATCGTCAAATGTGGTGCTATAATTACGATTGATGTCTCATAATGATTTTTTCAACCATCTGGGTGGTCGGCAGGTGCTTGAAAAATATTCAAAATAACCATTTATTTGTATGTTTTAGTATTGAATATTATCTATTTTATATAAAAACTAGGTTGTAAACAGCTTACGCTTTATTTTGAAGGTTGTAAGTCGTTTAAAGTTATATACTGATAAATATCAACTTACGTTTCTTGGTTTACATCTTGTTCCGTTTGAGTTACTAATCCTTCAGCGTTGCCATTAACAGGTGTAGATGCTGCCTCGGTTGCATTATCCGAGGTCGTGACCTTACTAGGTTGGCCAAGAGGTTTCAAAGGCGGCATGGATGCATTTGGAGTGGGTGATGCAATGGTAGATATGGTTGAAGTAGCTTCTGTCTGTATTGGTTTAGCCGCATTTGTACCTTAATAATAAACTCAGTTAATGCCGAGTATTAGTGGTTTTGTATTTCCTGGAAGCCCCGACATTAAGTTTAAATTACATTTTATTAAATAAATTCGTGAAATGCTCTTTTCTCCGTCAAGATTTCTAACACATGATGTCTTTGGCAATTCATCAATCAATTTCCTTATTCAGAATTTGCAATGAAATTAGGCCCAATGCTTTTTAAGTATGAAATTTTCATTATAAAACGAGTTCACTATTTTCAGAATGGCTAGCAACCTTTGTTCTGGGCAATTCCTAGTAAACTAGAAAAACCGATTCACGATTACAATTAATCTTTCAAAAATCTATTCATTTATGGTAATGACATTCAAAGTACACTTTTTAATTTGTGTTATGATAGCTTATAAAAACAAACCTAAATTGCTACATGTAAATTTGTGATGTATATGGTTATGAAAATGCCCATAATTTGTTGTAAAAACATCACTGTGGTTCAGTAAGGATAACTTTATGGCTATTCGCTAACTATCGATAGTAATTTGGTGACGCAGGTGTGATAGATTTGACAGAGTAATTGATATCATGGAATCGCATGAACCTTTGATCAAATAAACAGAATATAATTGTCTTAAAATAGCTTTCTACTTTGAGATAAAACTTTAACACTTTTCCCTAACCCTAACACTTTCCTTGTTTGTGGTTGAAATTTCTAGGCAATGTGTGATTTTTGAATATACTAAATATTTCAACACCCTTTTCTGTATTCTAGTTTTTATTGTAACACCATATTTAATTTGAGATTTAATACAATTTGAGAAACTCAAGAACTAAAGAATTATTACAAGCGAAATTAACTTTATTTTATATGTAATTGTCATATGATATCTTTTTCATTCCTATTGATACTAATCATACGATGTATTGCTCAAATATTATAGCAATTTGGGTTTATTGTTTCCCTTCAATTAGTTCTTGATTATGTAGAAGTTGATTTAATTTCCAGGCATTTCAGTTTTATAATAGCGCGGTGATCATTACTGAAATTTATGAATGGAGCATGTGAAATCTTATTTGTACATGAAACGTGAACGTTGGTACAAATACCCCGAAGCAAAATTAGCAGACAACAGACTTGCAAAATGCGTCAATGGAAGAAAATTAATGAAAGGGCAATAAGGAGTTTATTCGGTGTTAATGCGGAATTGATTACTTGAGTCTTGAAATACCCGCAGACGTTAAATTTAGGTAGCAATTTTTTCATTTTTAAAAATAAGAAAGTTTATGATTGATACACAGTTCAAATTTTGAAATCATACATTTAAGTAATCTAATGGGTAGATTTGATTAATTTACAAGTAAATTTTCTAATCACAATGCAATAGAACCATTTCACATGTATGAAAATTTTTCAATGCTTGCACAATAGGAAGTCGGATAAATTTCTGTAAATTGGTTTTCAACGCAGACACTTGTCGTTTAAACAAGGTACAATAGATGTTTTGATAATATTTGCCACAACATTATCAAATTCTTGAAACCTTTGACCACAAGTTTGTAAGGAGAACAATCTTATGTGCATTAAAAAAATTATTCAAATAAAATTGAAACGTTATGTGACCATTTTTGGTGGATATTTAATATCAACAATCGTCCTTATGAACGCTAGATACTATTACAAAAATTTTGTTTTGGACAATTTTTGAAGCCAGTTAGGGAACTAACATTCAAATCAGCTTACTAAAATTTTGGTTGCTAAATTGGTTTTAGTGAGGTGAGAATAAATATTTTTATATAAACGAAAAAGATGAGAAGCAATAAAGCAAGAAGATATTATGCTTTCTGTAATAAATTCTTGTTAATTAGCCTTAATCATACCGATAATGGTGCGTTTTGTACTGGCTTCTATTCTTTGTGTATGTCCCGAAGTAGTCAAGTAAGCTTTCGGCTTCCGTGCACTTTTATCCTGGAAAAACATGTAGTGCATGATGTTTACATAATACTTGTTAAGCCGGGATAAGTCACACTTCATTGAATCGCCATTGTACTTAACATAACAATATGACGAATTGGTTAAAGTAGTTTTCAATCAACCTTGATTAAATATGGTGCATACATTATGTACAATAGGCAAAGTAATTTATGGATAGTCCATAAATGATTGGGATAAGATAAAAATGATTACTTCAAAAAAAAAAATTAGAAATTCAATATTCCTTCATCAAACTCGGGCTAATTATAGATTGCAGTATACAGTTTTTTTCATAAAGAGGTATTTCAAAAATGTATGAATTATTTCCTAAAAATTTGTTAAAAAAACAGAAAAATCATGTATCTTCAAGTAAAAATCAATTATGAAATTTAATTTACGTAACTTAGATTTTCATAAGACAAGCATGTTGATGGCATAACCGATTAAATATTTGTCTGTATTGTTGAGTTTTAATGAATAGGAAATTGAGGGCTTATCTCAGTGCGGTGATGATTTCCACTACTGATAAAGCTTAGTGTGTTTATGGTGCTTTGTCTACATTTCGTGTTTAAAGCAAGCTTGACATACTGTTTGAACAATAGCGGATGACAAGGATCTTGTTGCGTTTTATTGAGGTACATTGAAAAATTCCTGTGTCATCTTTGAAAATTACCTAGCGTTTGACGTATGAATTGACAAATTATATGTCCAATATTCATTCATAGGCAGTGGGTGTTGTATATGGGTGGGTGATTCTATTATTGATTCCAAGTGTTATGGCGACCCTATATGTCTGGCCAGGAAACCGGACAGACACAAATTTAGAAATCTAATTGATTTGAGAGGGTCTGTTCACAGCCTCAGGGCTCCCTACCAAATGCAGCATAAATGATCCGAGATAGCTATCTAGGGGTTATTTTAGCATTTAGCGAAATATTTTACCACGTGTCTTAATATTGCTGCATCACATTGCCGAAACCTGAGAATTATTAGATTAATATGATTTCAGCACAAGGAGATGAATTTTTATATATGATTCATATAAATTTGGTATGCAAGAAAGGATGTATTTGTGAAATAGGTTTTCTTTAATATATCATGATATGATTAGCAGTTCAAGAAGACACACTTCAAGTTGCATGTAGGTCAAGATACAAGTTCAATATAAAATCAAAAGTTACGAGAAAACTCCTTTTCAAGTTGAAAATACCAGGTTCATGATTGGCTTAAGGACAATTAAGCTAAGGAGCACAAATAAAAGGTCATGGCATGGCAATTGGTACCTAATAATAATGTTGCAGTATAACATACTTATATCTAAGGATTACATCATCTGCAGATGGGATATGCACTTGGTAATTACATGGTAATTGATTTCCTTAATTGCACTGGACTAGCTATTAACACAGACAAAGTGAAAATGACTTGAGAAGGGAGAAGAACTTTTTATTAAGCTTTAATTGATGCATTTAATAAATGGTGTAAAAAGTTTTATGATGCTTCATTTGCCATTACCACAAGAGAGCTAATACAGTTAAGCTCCAATGCAACTTTCAACATAATTCTGTGTGTCTCATGCTACTCAATAGTATATATTGAATACTTATCACAATAGTGCTAAAATTAGAATAGCTTGAATATGGGTATTAATAATCTGATAATGGATATATTGAGGCATGAAGATAAGTTAAATAAAGTAGATGACTGAGAGTTGAGTGTTTGTTTTAACAACACCTGCTTTCTTTGCTTGTTTTGAAACGTGATCTCTCATACTAGTAGTAGAAAGCAAATAAGAATTGAACAGAGTGGTTGAAAACTTGAGAAAAAAGAAAGAAATGATTTCAATGGTGGTTTAAAAGTAGAGTTCATATCTGTGAAACAGTATTATGCAATGTGAGCTTGTAGGTAGTATGTTAATTCAAGATATACAAGATTGCGTAATATTTCCCCAAGTTTATTGTTGAAAAAGTTAAAGTTTATATATCTAGATCGTTTTTGAAGAGTCTTATAAGTTAACTCAATCACAAAACCACTGTTTAGAAATCCATCTATTTTCAGCAAAGCAACACGCAAGTCGGTCTAAAGTATACTACGCTATTGTCTTTTGTCGAGAGGTTTCAAGAAAATACGTTATTGTTATAACTGCTTCAAACATAATGCGTTGTTTATATAATAGGTCTGGGTTCACAGCTCGAGGTGATGTAGTGTATTCTTGAGGATAATTACATGAAAGAATATACGACAATTTATTGACAGATAGAAAGTACTTCAAAGACCACCACCAGAGATCAAGTTCAATTTAGTTTAACAGGGGAGTCATTGAACAAAGCTGCAAGCATGTGCATTCTTTAAATAGAAATAAGGTTCTGAACCTCTTCCATACCTCATGATTGTGTAGATGCAAAACAAAAAGCAAATTCACTTATTTATCTAATGCATAGGAACATTGTTCAAGGAGTATTACATATTTTTAATTTGTCCTACTATGATTTCATTTTAATATATTATTAAAAGTGAGAGAAATTTCTCACATTTGAATTATTTTCAACAGAACTATTACTTTATGTTAGAGTTCAGTAGCAATAAATAACTAACAAAACTGTTACATTGATTTTGATAATAAAAAGGACTTTGCCTGGAAAAGCTTGTAGAAGTGCATGATGAATCGAATACTAATTTATATTGCTGTCAGTCTACTATGTGACTTGACATATGGAGACACAGTTATGAAAAGTCTGCTTGTGACCAGCGGGAAAAATGGAGCTGTTTGTGGAGATGGTTTGAGGTAAGATTATGCAGTAAATATAGTTTGTTTGAAATTCAAAATTCCTTTTCAAAGTTACATCAGAAAAAAATGATAATGGCCCCAATATGGCATTAGCATTTTTCCAACAACATGCAGAGCATGGCGTGACAGTGACATTTTTATAAATCCTTCTTGATTCTATCTTTTCCATATATATGTGCAAAAATATGTAAAAAACAGGAAATAATTTTGACAAGTGTAATTTGGTGATTGCTAGATAACTTATCATAATTGCATTGAACAGTATCCATATTATGACAAATTTCACATAATAGATGGGCATTATGATGTCACACCAATGTGCTAAGGTGATAATGAAATACAGTATTGTAGTCTAATTGACTCATAGCTGATATACATCAAACACATGCTTATATTATTAATGCTAACAGTCATGTTCATGATGTGTGGTACACGCCCATTGTTCATTCAAGATACTTTTAGACTATATTTTTTTAAAAGAAACATTACAACACACTGATCACCTAATTTAGTTTATACCAGTCAACATAGTAACGTGGCCTATGCTTAATAAAGCGCTTCCTTTAATAATCATGAAACACCAATTGCTATATAGACTAAAGATTTTGACATAAATATTGACAAGATAACAGGATGGCACAACAATACGGTAAATTCAAAGTCATTTTGCTTAGTTAGGACCAGATTTATCTACCATATTTCTCTAAGAAGTTTGACCGCTAAAAAAATAAAATATAAATTATTTGTCTTCAGATATTCCGAAGGACAAGGATGTGGAGATATTGATGAATGCAGAGAGATAGTTCCCTGTCAACTTGGACAGAGATGCAGGAATTATTATGGAAGTTATCAATGTGTATGTCCAAGGGGATACAATATGGATATCAAAACAAGTACGAAATGTTAATTTTATTTTAAATTTTTTTTCATGCATCTATGCATATATTTGCTAGAGAGTTTTGAACAACTTCAGGCACAGTATCAGTAAGATATAATGTTCGATGAATATTGATCATGAATATGGAGTAACAAACAGTAATGGACTGAGTAACAAATAAATGTCCAGTACTTTCAAACATGATAATACTGTTGCTACATTTTATTGACAGATGAATGTGTGGATAAAGATGAATGTGCCATGGGATTTTGTGGTAATGGACAAAAATGTACCAATACACTTGGATCATTTCATTGTGAATGTTCACAAGGAATGCAAAGGGTAATTGAACATATTTATAAATACCATAATATCATGTGAAAACCAAAAACTGAATACACATATATAGAGAAAACAGCAAATGACTTATAAAATTTAATTTTCCATATATTTTGTTTTACAAATTATGATCTGATTGGTTGCAAAAGTAATAATTTTTTCATCCTAGCATACTTGCTATGACTATCATAATACTAAAGCAAAAAATAGAGAAATGTACTTTTACAAGATATCTGAGAGCTAATTAATATTTCTGAGATGCTTATTTATTCTTACTCACGGAATTTTTAGTAGGCCTACATCAACCTTTTGATCAGCAGTTTTCATATGCTAGAACCATACAGATATTTGCTAAATTAAAACTACGGAACATGAATAGTTTATATACTTAATAATCTAAGTTTTGCATATTCAGAATGACATGTGATACGATCCATTATAAACTTATTATCGTGGAATTTTTCCAGATTGGAAGATTCTGCAGAGACATAAATGAATGTATGCACAAGCCATGTGCAGATAACCAGTATTGCATTAATACACGAGGTAGTTATGTATGCCAATGCAAAGCGGGATACAGAGAAGCTGGTAATGGAACCTGTGCTGATGTGGATGAATGCAGACAAGGAATGTGTGGTGGTGAGTTCGATAACTGACATTGTAGTACTATACCAACACTTGGAATGTTTTTACAAAAAAACTCCCAATGATGGATGAGAAAAAATATTACATTATTTGCTAAGCACGACTGATAAAGAATGTAGGCAATATATAGCTAATCAAAAATACAAAACTTCAACAAAAATAAACTTATTGACCTAAATAAATTCTAAATACTTCGAACCTTCGTTTTCAATACCATTCTACCAGTGTTCACAATTTGTTAGAATCTATGAGGCTAAATTATGTCTAAAAACAAAACAAAAACTACTGCTGTGTCTACTGTCGGTAATGTTTCATGTAAAAGATTAGGAAATAATCCAGGGTTTTCATTCAAAAACCACACACACAGATTACAACCTAAAGTGGATTACAATTCAATTCATCATGAGATTGAGTTAGTCAACTCAAATCACAAAATAAAACACGATAATCAGGTGATATTCTATCGCCGTCCCATTTTTGGACTAAACTAGATTTCGAATATCTGAAGTCATTCAGAAAAAGTGAAATGAGGCGCGTACGCTTGTGCCTGACAGACTCCTGATTGCCGACAGGAAATTGTAAACAATAGTTGGAATGCGGTTTTGTCTACAGCTAAACAATGCATTTGTTTTGATTTGTGTGCAAAGGATCCTTCAGGCACTTGAAACTATTTACCAATCAATGTTTAAAAATTCGTTGATTTTTAGAAAAAATAGTTTGAAATATTTTCATATATTCAAATTTAGAAATACATCAGAAGTTAACAGTCATTCATTCCAAGTTATATTTGAACAACTGAAACTTCTTACGTAGGCAAATATACCAGTATAATTTTCAACTGTAAAAATTCAGATGCAAGTTACAAATGTACTATAGTCTTGGTTGTCAAAGATGATGTTTATAATTCGAGATATATATATTTTTTTTAATCTGTATTCTCAACAAAGATCATTTGTGAAATAGAGCGCTAATATATCAATGAAGAGCTAATAATAAACAGCAATACAAAAACACAATTGAAGCCACAAAACATTACTCATTCAGAAAGAATTAGTTTATTTACACACAGTTGGATACGAACCAATGGAATACATTGCCAAAACATATTTTATCTATTGCCCATACCTGAAAAGCATTTGACTGCCGGTTCTCAAGTACTTAGAAGATAATTAGGTAAAATGAAACCTACTACTTCATGTGGGGCCATAGTGCCGACACAATGGACACTGTAACATTAGACTGTATCAAACGTTTTTGGAGTGCTATGGTGCAATAATATCTAACTTCTGAAAATAAAACCGAAATAACTTAGAAGAGTACTAGATTGCTATCTTTTGATTATAGTAGACAAAGCCAATCTAAATGAAATTAACCTGGTTATGTGAATATCCGGCAATCACAGATCAATTGTTACATGTGAGCTTCTCATAAATATAAATTTATCTTGTCTGATCAACGATATTCATAGAGGAATTACTCTCAAATGTTCTTTTGGAAATGAATATTCAATAATCACTTTTGTCTGCAGTTTTATATGTTGATTCAAATCATACACATTTCGTTTATCAGTTTTGTTTGAGGTAAACGATTTCATGCTACTAAATGAATGAAAGTATAATGATGCCAACTCTCTTACAGCTCTTGGAGAAACATGCAAGAACACTGATGGTTCTTATGAATGCGTATGTAAACCTGGCTACGGAAAAGATGAAATGACACAAGGAAGATATTGCAAGGATATTGATGAATGTAAAATAAGATCCACCTGCCCACAATATTCTGAATGTCAAAATTTGCCAGGATCATTTTTATGTAGATGCCACAGAGGATTCACATACATAAATGGTAAGTATACATATAGTTAGTACAACTGTACAAAGAATTTGAGGACTGGTACTTAAAGCCTAACTTTGATTTGTAGGAGCATGTGTGGACAAACATGAATGCACCCATGGTGAGGGAAGAAAATGCCAATGGAAATGCACAGATCTTCCAGGCTCATACAAATGTATCTGTCCTGAAGGGTAAGACCATTGTCATGATTTATATTCACTTTCAAACTGTGATTAAATTTTGAAGTTGAAGGAATCTCTTCAGTGCCTTATAATACATGTATATAACTTTTTTTTCCAGATATGAACAAATCAACTTTAATTGTATTGATATCAATGAATGTGATCGTCACATGTCATCATGTGGTAGTGGGGAAACTTGTGTTAATACAAGAGGTGGTTTTGAATGTGTTCGACCTCCGAAATGCCCACTTACTGCAAGCGGTGACAGCATTTACAGAAAAGTGATGAAGACAGATGAGTTCGGTTACCGACAGGTGGGCAAGGCCCATTTGGTAAATAATTTTTATATGTTATTTGTGCGGATTCTGCATGGTGTGAAAACTAGAGGTGACTATATTCTTTTTGTTTCTATGTCATGCAATGTAAACAATTAGTCACTAACGAGCGATGCACACCATGCAATGCACAATTTAACATAAAACAATGGAACTCATAACAAAGAGCTCAGTGGTCATCCTTGTCAGTGAGGATATAACTCACAGTTGAAAAAATGACTGAAACGAATAATGAGGCATGAAGCACTGGCACTAATATTGGTATGAAAAATACTAATACCAGTCAAGATTCATTTCTCAAAACGTTGGGCTTCATAGCAGCTATCTCCAGGAAAAAATAATTCATTTTGAATAGGGGTTCTAGATATCCTGTTAACTTTTTCTTAGTCATAGACCGAAACTAAGAATTTTCTGCTCAGATGCATTTTCTATATCTTGGGTAAATAGACTGGACAGCACTCTATTTTCTTCTAGTCTACTATTTTCCTGCATGTTTGACAACTTACTTCTGAAACTCTACAGAGCATGCTGTTATATCATCTCTTTCTTTGGCAGAATGTTTTCAACAACACATACTCAAAAGTTCGATGTTCACTATTTTTTTTGCCCTATGGACTTGGTTTGGTTAATTAAGTACCATATATAGTCAATTAACTTCAAAAGGGAGGAATAAGGGATATAGAAAACAACCCTTCATATTTTTCTTGCTGTGATGCATGATAAACTCTCTGAACAATCTAAAAAAATATTCATTTCACTAAACTATCTTCGTAATATATCTCAGGTAACAACAAATATCTGCAGAAGACAAAGATGTGGAAAAATGGCTGAACGTGATTCTATGTCTGTGAAAGAATGCAAGGCAGAGCCATTGAGTGTTTCTTATCACTATGTTGCTGTAACATCAGGTCTCCCCAAACCAACTGCCGTGCTTCACATTTCCTATCCAGCTCGTCGCAGACGTCAGAGATACAATTTCAGCATTGTCCAAGGCAATGAAGAAGGAATTTTTATGATCAAGCAGCATTCCATGTACATGCCTAGAGCTCAATTAGTTGTGACTGGGAACCTCAATGGCCCAAGTCGTCACACAGTGAAAATTGATATGGCGACGTACCAACCAAACGGCAAGATGCGTGATAGTCGAATGCTTACCATCACCATTTTCACATCAATGTACGATTTCTAAACTTCAATCACAAAAAGTTATTTTGAATCAGACAAAAACTTGAATCAGTGTTCCAAAGTTCTCCTTAGAGCTTAATTTGAACCAAACTTAAACGAATGCTGTTTTACACAACCATGCATGAAGGTGAAGTTTAAAATACCTCAACTTAACAGTGATAAACTGGCTTGATTGTTTTTGTTCCTGATCATGTATATACATGAACGAGACATTTTTTTGGAAGAATTCTATTTTATATTGAGCATTTTATACTATTTTTATGATACAATTTTTACATTCATGTCGTAAGAAAGTGCCGAAAACCTTTTTGCCACAAAAACCCAAGGTGAAAAATGCTGACAAAAGATTTTAAGCCGTAATGTCTTACCCACAGACACAGAAGACAAGGAAAACTTCACAATATTGAAACTTATCTTTCAGCATACTTTCATATAAAGATACTGTATCGTTTTTTATTATCAACACTATCAAACATATTAACCCATTCATCATAATATCTGCTGTTTTTTTTTATTAAACACCACCCTATCAGATGCTTGCCACAATATCTCATCTTGCCGCGTTTTAAGGGTTCTACCAAGAGGCTGAAATCAATGAAGTCTCTTGTTGCGAAAGGTATTAGTGAGGGATAAATTATTTTGCTGTGCAAGATTTTATGTCCTTCAATTGTCAACGTTTCCAACATATAAAAAGTAATTACACAGCTAATATTACTAACACTTATAATAACTTTGTCCATTTTTTCTCAACAATAACGGTTGTTTCGCTGAGCGAACAGCCTAATTGTTGAAGATCAGGTGTAGAAGGGGCAAAGTGTATATTTTGCAACTAAATGGATAGGGGATACCATTCTGATTTGTGAATAGTTATTCCAATATTAAACACAAAAGTTCTGATTTTTAATATATTTGAGTCACACAGGAAGAAAATTTAATATAGAAAATCTACATAGTTTGATATATCAGAATTATCCGTCGTAACTATTTTGAACAATAGCAGCCATAATATAATAGCAAGTGCTATATACAGTGTACTATCTTTCTACCCGGTACATCAAAAATGTGATAACGTTTTATACATACAATATCAAACAGCTGTAGAATATCTCTTCCATGCTTTCTGTATGTTCTGTTTTGCTATATTTACTTTAATGTTATTATTATTATAGATAATAATTAACCAATTTCTGATGATTGTACGTTTGTATGTTTTTCAAAAAATGAAGTCTGATTTTCTTTAATAAAGTTTAACCTTGTATAACATCCGTATTGATATTTTAGTGTAGTATATGGCTTAGGATAAAAATAGAACCCTCAGCTTTGTGTTTGAGAAGTACTAGTACATCCTCTATCGGAGATAAATTTACAGTTGGTACAGTGCTATTATTACCAAACATGCCGCTTCCTTCTTTAGGAGAAAAACTGCTGTAATTTCTTAAATTTCACAGTTCCTATTAGGTACTGTATTTAAAGAAAATGGTAATGTCGGGAAAACAAAACATAACAAGCTATAATTCATTTCTCTGGGGTTTCTCTGTCTTCACTGCAAAGAATGTTGTTTTCCAGTAAAGGTAAAAAACAAATACAAGACCACCCAGAATTTTAAGAAGTAACAATTCCACCGCAAATGTCATATTTAATGATAACGCGACAATGACTTTCCAAACCACAGTGAAAATTCACAGAGGCAGAAAAAATGGGATTCACAGCACCAAAGGAAAATGCCACTTACTATATGACCACCAAAGTGAAAAATCAAACACAAGTTGGAATATAGCGACTTGTTGACTACAAGCACGTGGGAATGAAATGGCAACTTGAAAAAGTATAACCATTGGTGAGAAACAAAAAGGTCGAATGATGCTTGGCCACAGATGTGACATATTAATATATGCTTTTTATCTATACCCCAAACTTAAATGTTACTAATTTGCAAAATTTTGGCAGAACTGTAAATTATAGAATTAACTTTCCCACACACTTGAAATGAGCATTAAGTCTGTTTCAACAACAATGCATTTGTTTTTATAGTTTTTCTCACCTACGAGTGTAACTAAATCTTTCCACAAAGTTCAACTCTTCTATTCAGTTAATTCTATAGTCAACTAAATCCACAGTCATTGACATTTACTGCTTATAAAATCCGGGACAAAAGCCCGGCATTTGTAGTATAAACATAACGCTTCCGCTTTCGAGAGTTTTGTGGTATTTTGGATGAAAAAAGGGATTTATGATGACTTGTTGACTGGTCCAATTTATAACAGACATCGGCATTGAATTTATCATAGAAATTGTGATAGTTTAGGCTTATTATAGGCATATGCACAACTTTGAATAAATGCATATAAAAATTAGTTAAAGTGGAATACAACAAAGATGACTTAGAGTGAATTAAACACGTTTTTTCCTTCCACCAGAATCTGGGACGAATGAGAAATTTAGAATGCACTTTGAATATGTGGTTATTGTATTTGTAAGGGAAACCTTATCCTTCAAAGTTATGGTAATCACTGTTATTAACTGATTATTCTTGCTCAGAACATGCACCAGATGAATGAAATTTTCTGAAACTGGCATTACCTATCAAATTTATTACACCCTGGATGAGGTGTTGGCGTAGCGGTTGAACCACCTGCCAACATAATTAAGTGTAATGCTCTAACCACTAGGTTAACATATCGAAACAAACTTGGATTCAGAGCAAGACCATATATTTCCAGAATTTGTTCACTTGCCTGAATTATACAACCATGTTGGCATAACCTCACCATTAGGCAGTTTACTAATTAAACCAAAATATTGGGATATCTCAAGCTAAGCTTAAGCTCATTAGGGAAATGACAATCTTCAATTTTGCTGTTTACATATTTATTAACATTCCCATACCTCATGTTTATAGGCCATTGGTCGCCTCCCTCCAGTCATTCCCATTATTCTTGGCCCGATGGCTTCTTCTGGATCTAACAAACTTATCTCAGCTTCTTGTAGAGTAGTACCTTCCAAACCAAGGGATTCAGCCAACTAGAATTAGAAAGTAAGAATAATAGTAGTCATGATAGCTTTCAGAAGAGTGAGAATAAATATTATCAAAATAAGCATATTGTACTAAAAATAAGCAAATATCAGAGATTAAACATAATATAGTCTAATATAAAACTTGTTCTGTTTTTATCATATGACATCAATAATAATAGAGTAGAAGATGTTACTTATGCACAATCGACCTGCGTGTTTATTTTTAGTACCTTCGCATAAACAACTCGCACAAGCTTCGAATCATTTTGTGCTTCTTTTGCATCTGTGCCACTATCAGCGTTAGTAGTCTCATTTTCCTCTTTCTTCGAATTTTCACCATCAGTTGCTTTATCTGCATCCGAAGCTGTTGTTGCTGCTACAGCCTCACTTGTTTCAGGTTCCGACTTATTAGCTTCTATTGCCTGAGTGAAACAAACACAAAGGGTTTTCAGAGTACTGGGCAACATCACTAATTTTGATTGTTCTCATGCTTTATTGACTCACTAGCAAAGCTGTGATGCTGCCACCAACTAACTATTTCATTGCTTTACAAATTTTATGTCATTGGTCGACAGCTGACAGATATGGTATACAATAAAATGGATTAATCCCCGGGAATTTATTTATTTAAATTTTAACAGTTCAGTTTGAGAATTCAATTCCCATAACCATAAGATGAAATAGCAATTTTTGTTATATGCATTTTCCCAAACTAATACATTTCAATGTAGGTAAATACATTTCTAACTTGTGCCATTGGCCTTTGTAATAATGATAGTACCTGCTTATACTTTTCAGCAAGTTTTGAAACATATTTATGCAAACATTCATATTCTTTGTAGACATCTGCAAAGAAAACTCTGGCCATCTTGTTCTTCTCAACCTGAAAACAAAAATACAAAAACATAAATTTAGCTTTTGCAAATTACACTACCAAAAATACAGATGCTCGTTGAAACCTTTATTGAGTTATTTATTATTGAATGCAAATAAGAGTCTATTTTTCAGGTCGAGTGATGTACAGTGGACCCTCCATAAATATGAAATTTCAAATTTATGCAACATTTTTTTTCGTATAAATATTGCTCTGAAATCTGAATAAAGAAAGATGCTTCTAAAGTTTTGTCGGGGCTTGGAACGAATTAGGGCATTTTTAGGATAAGATGCGTTCCTACTTACGAAACAGCTTCCGAAACGAATTAATTTTGTAAGTAAAGTTTCTATAGTACTTTAAATAATTCCAAAAAAACAGTATTTTGTTCACAGTACAGTTACACAGCAAAATAAAATGAATGAAATCATACATTTACCGTAAATAATTTTCGACCTCAAATGTAGCAAATGGTATCTTTACTGAGTTAGTTGATATATTTATAACTGCAAACAATCAAAGACAAGAAAAAAAGGATTTGATTTTATATCTACCTTTGTGACCAGAAATTCCCACAGAGAAAATACCCTTGCAAGATGAGGTAAGGCAACCTCCATTATTTCATCTTCCGAACAAGCACTCAACATTTCACGAAGTCTATTCTTTCTGCGTGTCGATAAAGCTTGTTCAATGGGAGTTAAGGCAGGCTTACTCTGAAATACAGACATTAATTATTAGAAAACAGCATTTACAGTAATTACAAAACTTCATCCCAATTGTTGACATTTTTAGTACCAGTTTCAAACTTGCGACCTGTTTGAAACCAATTCAAACACGAGCTCTAGGGATTCAAGATGATTCACCAAAACTTCCATTACATTAAAAGTTCAAATGAATAGAAATTACACAGAAACTCCAAAACTGTATTTGTGAATTTCAATTAATATGAGATGTGTTTAGTGTTATCTCTGACTAAATCGAAATTGGTCAGACTGTGAATCAGATGTCACAAACTACATTGTCCCAAATGAGGTTGAAAAAATATTGATTGGTTTTCAATTGACACCTCCAAAAGCATTTTAAATATAAGAATGCAATGTAAATACTCGCACATTCAATACTTACAAAGTTGATCACTTGAATCTTAGTGTTTTTCATAATTGGTTAATAAACAAGATTCTCAACACCTGACAAGCTCGCAAATAAGCCACCCAAATATCTTATTCCACATTTACATTACATTACCGGCATGAACGACCATGCGGAACAAATATTATTCGATCTACAAGTCAGGACATAAACTTGAATATCATATTTTTTATCGCCTAACTTACCTGAATAATTGCTGTAGGGTCAGAGCTATCTTGATTCCTCAAACTTTCAATTTTATTTGTGTACGAGTTCTGTCGCTTCTGTTGTTTAACACCTGCAAGTGATGATAAACACCATAAAAAACTCACCATAAAATTAACTTAGAAGTCTTAGGTGTTCATTGACATAAGATCAAAATATAACATGGAGAAGCAACTTTCTCAACTAAGATGATTGAATGGAAGTTCTATACCTGGTGGCCGACCTCTCTGCTTTTGACCACTAGATGGAGATGTGGACTTGGGCAGAAAATATTCATCGCCTGGGTCGAGAATCTGATCATCGGCTTCCTCACTTTCCTTGGTCACTTTTGGGGTCAAGTAATCTTTCGTGTAGACTGGTCGTTTTAACAGACGTCCACATCTGAATATGAAATCGATATAGCTTTCAAAAATGGTGACAGAACAGGATAATGGTATGAACGTTTGAAGAAGACTTGTGGAAGAGCTGTTGCAGCGATTGGCAACATGCGGCTCCGGAGCCACATGTGTCTCTTCGTTTTTCAGAGCTATGGCTCTCGTGAATCAAAGTGGCTACAACAGTGTTTTGTTAGAAGCAGTGGGGATTCAATGTAAGTCCGGGACTACAAGCAACTCATATCAACGCAAAACTGGACTTATAACAGCTAAATTATATAAATAATACATTTACGGTAAGTAAAAACAATTTAATGGAACTAAATCATGTAGAAAGTTAATTGAGGGCGATGATGGGATTGGAAACTAAAGAAGGGGTTCTTTTTTGTATCGAACACCCTAACAACAGGTTCTCTCATTTAAGAAACCCTGCCGGACTTATAACACTATGATTGTATATCAATTTTACTAATGTATATCACTATGTAAGCTTAACTAACAGGACACGCTTTACATAAATCTAATATATAACTTTTGAAACACAGTAACAGTAAATATAGTAAATATAATTAGGCATTGGGATATTCATTATTCTGACATCATATATACCTCGTAGTTTTAGTTGGAGGCTCTTCGATATCAGGCTCGAGATCTTCTTCCTCGATTGCATTATTTATTGTTGTTGCATGTGGTATTTGATCGACTTTGCGAGGTCGGCCACGTTTCTTTGGCACAGATGAAGGTTGTGATTTAGCGGAACTTTGTTTGGATTTGCTTGCTGGACGAAACACTAATCTCACATTTGGATTGTCCTGAAATGATATTTATCAAGTCTTAGATGAGTCAACATTCACTAACGAACCGAAGCATGTTCACAGGAAAGTACTGTTACAATCTACAACAAAGAACTTTGTAGTCCTAACAATACCAAAGGCCAATAAAGCTACTAACCAAGATAGAAAGTGAGATTTTTCACCAATAGGGCCGACATATATAGGAGAATGATGAAACGCTGTCAATTTATGGCGAAATACGAGGTAAGGCTAAAAAGAAACGGGACTGACGTCACAGATTGCGCAACACGATTAACCGTCGGTAATCAACACTTTTGCAGTGTGGCGTAATATGTGTTCTTTGTTTAACAGCTGTTTTGACACAATATCGCAATTATTTTTGCTTTTCAGGATCCATAAGTGAATGTGATAAATTTCTTGTTGAAAAAAAATGCTGTGCGAGGTCTGATTGAGTTTTTTGGCAATGGGGGTTCAATTAAAGAATGACGACTGAGGAAAGAATTAACACTAAATTTTGTGTCAAACTTGGAAAACGGCGACTGAGACTTTGCAGATGTTGCCTGATGTTTATGGAGATTCTTCCATGTCCAGAACAAGAGTTTTTGAATGGCATAAGCAATTTGTGAAAGGCAGGTAGGATGTGGAGGATGATCCGAGGTCAGGGAGGCCTTGCACTTCAACTACTGATACCAACATCGAAAAGGTTTGGCAGTTGGTTCGCAGTGACCGTCGCTTAACAATTCGCGTCATTGCCAACGAAATTGGGATGGACAAAGAAACGGTCCGCACCATTTTGGTTGACACTTTGGGAATGCGAAAGGTGTGTGCCAAAATGATGCCAAAGGCTCTTGATTTGACTGAGGAGCAGAAAGCTCAACGATTGAATGCATGCCGAGATGACAAGTTTGACACAAAATTTAATGTTAATTCTTTGCTCATTCGTCATTCTTTAATTGAACCCCCTATCGCCAAAAAACTCAATCAGACCTCGCACAGCATTTTTTTTTCAACAAGAAATTTATCACATTCACTTATGGATCCTGAAAAGCAAAAATAATTGCGATATTGTGTCAAAACAGCTGTTAAACAAAGAACACATATTACGCCACACTGCAAAAGTGTTGATTACCGATGGTTAATCGTGTTGCGCAATCTGTGACGTCAGTCCCGTTTCACTTTAGCCGCACCTCGTACTCCCTGTAACTGGATCATTTTATTTTCAAATTGGGCTGAACCGATGGAAATATTAACCCTGAAGCTAAGTCACACCCGCAAGAAAGATTGAATAGCCTTTCAAGTCCAAATTGTTATCAATTATCCTTATATGGCTAGGTTTAATAATGAAAGGGACAGAAAACTAGATATCATTCACATAACATTATGAAGCTATACCTGCAAAGCTTTCAGTTGGGTGGAAGTAATTTGAGATTGATGAATTCGGATCACCTGGCTTCCATCTTTACCAATTTCAACTTTAGGCATAAGATTTGCCAATGCAGCAGGTATTTCAGGCTGAAAACATATAATGAATACATCTCACTAAATGAAGGCACTTTCATAAGATAAGATTTTCTCAATTACTTGGGAGAAGAGGAATTACGGTTTATTCATATGCCTAACCACAGCATGTCGTTCGGTTACTGGAATTGGAATGGGAATAATTAGCCAGCTATTTGTTTCAGATGTACGGACTAGACCAGTGGTTTCCAAACTTTTTAGTTGGGACCCACTATTTATTACCACAGCTAATGGCGACCCATTTAACTTTTTATGACATAACACAGCAATGGCTAATCATCGCAAAACTACCGTGTTTCCTCGCAAAATAAGACATGGCTTGAAAATAAGACCTAATTTGAATTTTAAAAATGGTTTTAATTAAACCCTACCCTAAATATATTTAAAATGTGTGGGAGAGGAAACGTTCAATGACTTGAGGTAGGGTGAAGATCACAGCACTATTCAAGATTGTGTGATGTCACAATCACAATTATGATATTTTTCAGATGATTTTTGTATAGGAAATACAAATAAAAACAATGGATGTCGGTTTTGATATAATGTTTATTAAAAAATCTCGTGCCTCTCTACAATGTAATTTTATTTTTGATAAAAGAACACAAAAGACCTCCCCCAAAAAAAACCATAGTGTTATTCTTTAAAAGAAATTGAATTTTAAATCCTGTCTAAACTTCGGGGAAATACGGTAAGAAGTGCTATACAGTGTACCAATCTGCTATGCGTAAAAAAGCCACATGGTCATTATTTGTGTGGCAAATTTTGTTTCTTTGAGAAGATCGTAAAAGGAAGCTTTCACAGATTAGAATTCAAATTCAGTTTAATTTCTTTTGTTTTTTTGAAGATTTACGTATTCGAGTCGCCACTGATCCTAATAGCCAGTATAATTAATCAAAGCTTCCTACATCTTTTCACGACCCACTAAGATTCCTTTGGCGACCAATAGTTTGGGAACCGCTGGACTAGACTATATAGTGTAGGAATGACCAGAAATCATGCGAATGACTTTGCGGTGGCGAGGACCCCCCCCCCCCATCCTCTCTCACATAATTATCCCCGCATAAGTATACCGTATATTATATACATATAATTGTAATTATTACATATGGGTTCCTCAATGTTCTGAAAAGTTTCTTTTGGGTTCCTCCCCATCAAAAAAAACCACTGAACTAGACAAAAATGAATGAAAAAAATGAAAACCTACTAAACCTATTTTTCAGTTACCTTTTTGACTGGAACTTTGACAACTTGTGGTTGGCCTTGTCTAATGACAATCTTTTCGGAATATCTAATATCAGTACTAGTTGTTTTGGGGGTGTCAGCTTTCTGAGAAGAAAAAGAAATCAAACAATATTGCATTGGCTTTAATGGTTCAGCTCGCTTAAAAAAAATTTCTAGTTAGACAACAATGAATAAAAATAAAATTTGTAATTTTACTCTGAAATGAACAAATAATGGTTACTTTAATAAAATCGAAAAATAGGATCCTCAAAAAGAGTGATTTCATAATCCAATTATCCAACTTTTCAAAAGAATACAGAATAATAATGGGTGTCCGTCTGTCCAGCTTGAAATTAGTTTTATTAATGTTCCTAAACATAGTACTCTTCAGAATATTTGCGTAACTTACCATTGGAATGACAACGGGGGATCCCATTTTAATTTTGTCCTGAATTTGTTGCTTCCTAACATTTTCTGCCAAAGATTGCACAATCTGAGAGGCACTGGTGTTGGGAGAAGCTAAATCTACGGATTCTTGTACAATCTGGAACGACTGCTGCTGGTCAACGGTTGATGACACAGTTGCATCTGTAGTGATGGTTGCAAGTCCTGATAAAATAAAATGATCCAACTCCAGTACAACAGTATAAGTTTTATATTGGAGAATTAATGTAGGTCCATTTGCCCCAAAAATCTTTTTGAAATTTCAAACCAAAATTCTCAAAAATCGCCAAAAACTTAATCTAAAGGTTAGGCTTGCACATAGTCGACGGATATCAAATCCATAATTATGACCTAATCACCTAGGCCAGCGGTCTTCAAACTTTTTAAGACGCGACCCTTATTAAAAAAATTTATCAAGCATCATAAGCACTCGTGACCCCAAGGTATATTTATTAAATGAAAAAAAATTATTGTAACCAGTAACCACCAAAAACTAATCACATATTTAATCAGTGTGAAGAAGGCGATTTCTTCCCTTCAATGAGCCTTTTAAATCATGACTTAATGTTGCTCAAGCTTTTTCCGATAAAACTTTTTGACAAATAGCGCATTTCGTTCGGCCCTTTATTATGGTAAAACAAGCTTTAAAAAAATTGATCATATTATATTTTTCTCTCATGTTTATCAGCCATTTGTAACACTTAGCAATGAAATAGTAATTATCAATATACCCGGTGGCTGGAAAATGAAGTTTTGCATTAATAGCAATGGTCGGAGTGCATTACTGTAAAAACACAACGGTTTACTTAAAAATTTAAAATATTGTCGTTACACAACAGGCTCATTATAAAAGTTATCACTCTAATTTAAAATATCAAAATTTGCTATGCAGCGCTAGTCAGCAGTGTAGACTGCACACTGTTGTGTATTTGCATCATAGCTCGTTGTTTCCGTATCTTACTTTGTCATATAATAAACTGTAATATTTCTGTCTACTGGTGATTTTTTAATACCCATGACATCACACACACAATAGAACAATAACAGAAGAAGACAACGCCAACGCCAAGACACCCGGCTACCCCAGAAATATTTAAGGCGACCCCGCTGGGGGTCGCGACCCACACTTTGGTGACCACTGATCTAGGCCATAGGTTCTCAAAGTGCTCAAACGAAGCCCTGTGAGAGAAACTCAGGAGCGCCGCGAGCTATTCGGTTACTTATTAAAATGTTGAATATTTTTTAAATACAAAGGCAGTAAAACATCAGAGTAATTAAATAAAGTAATGTCAATTAACTCAAGGACATTAATTGGTAAATAACAATGTCTTTTTTTTGATTTTATATTTATAAATTAATTGTGCGGTTCCATAAATAAAAGTCAACCTCGTCGCGTGCTTCTTGACACCAAGAGTTTGAGAACCCTTGCCTAAGCATCGAATCTCGTAATCGCAATATTTTTTGCATTTGAAACCATTTTTTTAATACGGTCCAGACAAGAAGTTGAAATATCTCCGAACACACAATCTTTGGCATGTTCAATTCTTTTTTTATTGCCTGTTGAAAATACTGACGACTTTCGATACAGACAGGAATTTAGACTAACCATTATCTCAATCTACAAGAAGACTAAAATTCCTCTCTGCTTCTGTAAGATTAGAAATGCAAAGATGCCTGCCCTATCAAAACAAACATGCAAAAATCAGAACCCTGAAAAGGAACAACACTTGGGTATCATTGAGAAAAGACTATTGGTTTCGGAAAGCTTACACTAAAGAGAAAAAACTGGTATATTTCTCGCTGAAAAAAAATCTCCAATTTTAGAGAGCGATGTAGTGAAAAATGGAGTCCTAAGTGAAAGACCTATTGTGCTAAATAGCACATTATGTCATCATTCAAATGAGCCAAAGGGACGTTTTGTATGAAAACCCAACGGTGGATATCAATATTATCAGTGTTTGCGCTGCTTATGTCACTGGTCTCATGAAAGTCCTTCCAATTCTCTACTGCTTTCTTTGTACTTCGTTTAAACATGGATGACCCCTCAAAATACGTTCATTACAATAGTATGTATAACAATTTAATGTCTATTTGTATACTTTGGTGAAAACCAAAGTGCACCATTGCAAAATGAGGTATAATGGAAAATACACAGAATCAGCTTAAATGATAAGATTTTATCGCCAATATTCAACCTTTCTATGATAGTCTTCGAAACAAGTTCTAGTACTTGTTACACACAGATGCACATCACATTCAGTGCACATAAATTTGCTATTTGACGGACGTGCCACTACATGTGTGCCCATTTTTTTCTTCTTGGTACAAACCACACAGCTTCGTGGAATATCAAAAAGTTTAGGTAAATGATGGGCAAGCGTTAATCGTGTAGTTGCAGCATATGCTACTGATCTTCGAGAAGGTCGCTTCGTCATCCTGAAGTCGCCAATCAATTCGTGCAGGAGCTCTTGCCGAAACTGACCACCGTTCCACCGTCGACCACGAGCCACTTCAGATACAACCCTTGCGTTGTGTATGCATACCTCCAGCAGATATACAAATACCCGTCGATACCACGCCTTCGACTTACGTGTAATATTGTGGCTTTTCCGCATTTGATCTGCAAGGTCAACACCACCCATGTAGGAATTGTAGTCTTTGAGGAGAGGTGGGCATTTGAGTTGTACATACGGAGATGCACTGTTGCGTTTACCTTTCCTATGCACAAACCTACGACCAGTGTAGTTCGAGGGGTATTGCGGTGAATGTATTGTTGACAGGAAATAGACAGCCCTATTATCTAACCAAGACTGCGCTAGAAGTTCACCAGATGCTCTCCAGTCAGAGAAACCTCTTTTGTTTGAGTCGTTGATTGAAAGATCTTTTGGAAACCCTTTTCGATTGGGCCTCATCGTTCCACATGCATATACTCCTCGTTCTAGCAGGGAAGCAAACAGATCGGGGCTTGTATAGAAGTTGTCTACATACAGATGGTGATTTAGGTTTTCAAAAGGAGCGATTAGATCATTGATGACTCTTGATGCTTGTCCAATCTCAGAGGAAGCACTGGGGTCTTTCCCTGTATATATTTGGAGGCGGGAAACATAACCAGTTTTAGACTCAGCCAAGACCCAAACCTTTATTCCGACACGAGCTCTTTTGGTTTTAATATATTCGCGGAAGCAAATTCTGCCTTTGAAAGATATCAGAGACTCGTCGATTGAAATTTCCCGGTGAGGTTTATATACAGACATCAGTCTTTGTTCAAGAAGATTCAAAAGTGGCTTCAATTTGAAAAGTCTGTCTCTCATCGGATCATCATGTGGCCTGGCATCGGATTCATCGCAAAAGTGCAGGAATTTGGTGAGATCTTGAAACCGATCCCTTGGCATAATCTTGCTGAATGACGGTACATTGAGAATCCAATACTTTGTCTGCCAATACATACTAACAACAGGCATCTTTACGATTCCCATAGCTATCATAAGGCCTAAATATGCCTTCATCTCCTCTAATGTCGTGGGCTCAAACACAATAGGTTTGGTGCGAGAAGCATTGATGTCTAAAAAAGAAAACACGAGGATTAGAATAGTAACAACGAATCTAGAACAAATTATTTTAGAGCTTGCACATGGTTTATACCTTGGAGTTTTCTTTCTGCGTTCAAGTTTGTCATCTCCACTATAAGGTTGAATACTTGAACAGTGAAAAACTGTAGAAAGCAATCCAAAGGCGTTGAAGATGCAGAAATGCCACGACTTGTGACCCCTGCTGCTCCACCAAATTTGCGTATTTTTCTTTTGGGAGAAACTTTTTCCCATTTGAATTCAGGTTTCAGAGATACCCTTACTTGCAGGTGTGATCGCTTGCTTGGAGTTGCCGCTTGAGAGTCGTCAACTTGGCGACGTAACCGCTTGTTTGGTGTTGTTTCCCGAGAGTATTCAACAGTTGATGATATTTCCTGCGATTCAAAATCATGCAACTTTTTCGCCTTTAAACGCTTACTTTGTGGTGTGCTTGTCAATGCCGGAGAGACGTCTTCCCCTGAGGAAGATTCATCAGATTCCATGTCTGAAAATTAAAAAAGGACATGTACGACTTTCATATGTATTGAAAACTTTTGTACACAGAAAAGTTTCAAACCTGAATCCCATTCATCAGCTGATGTTGAAACATCACTATTATCATCATCAAAAGTCCCGTCATCCACGTCAGACTCATCCAAAATACTACTAAGAAAGGATTCTTCAGTATCAAGATCAGCTTGCTGCCTAGATTCTTCAGCATCAAGCTCTGTTTGCAGTCTGGATTTTTCTGCCTCTGCTTGAGGTCTACATTCCTCAGCATCAAGCTCGGCTTGAGGTCTAGATTCCTCAGCATCAAGCTCGACTTGCGGTCTTGATTCTTCGGTATCAAGCTTGACTTGGGGTCGATTTCCCTTCATATTTGATCGAGATATGCACACTAAGGCAAATACATGGTCTAAGCGCCTGTGTGATTGATCACTAATTACAAATTTTCAATTATTTGGCATAATTGAAAGTGAAATCGGTCTGGCACATGCAAGCCTATTAGTAAGAAGACTTATTAGATAAGACACTGTAATATTACAATATCTATCTTTTGATACGACTACCTAATTGAAGGTTAATTTTAAACAAAAAATCATCTCTATAAGAAAATCAACGATACCTTCAACTGTTGTCACAGCGCCAGATAAAACTGAATCCGTAGATTGTACATTAGAAGTAGATGGCTCAACACTCTTTTGCTCATCCTGTTGCATTGATGAAGTTGATGTTACAACATTGCCTTCAGTTTCAGTTTCCATAGGTGTTTGCTCTAAGACTGCTGCACCATCATTTGGAGCTGCTTGGCCCTAAATTTTTTTGATGTGATTGCTTCAAAAATCGAGTCAGACCAAGAACTTCCAAGTAATCTATTTGACACTATTCAGTTTTTGTGATGAAATCATAATTTATGCCATACCTCCTCTACATATTGTGTACTACAGCTTTTTGAGCCGCCGCTAGACAAGTTTAGGCATAGGAATAATGAGCCAGTGAATTATGAGAGCGTGAGTTTAGAAAGCGGTGGCTATATAATGTTCAGTCCAGCAATCTTTTTCTGCATCCTTACAAACCGAAATTGGAGTCATAGAATGTCACATAGGATCTGACAATAAACAAATACTTTTATGTTACCTCCTGCATCACAGCTAGTTGTTGTTCGGCCTCTTGCTCAGCAAGATGTTGTTGCAATGCTGCTTGTACTAATGCTTGTTCCTCTGGTGTCAAATCTGCCTGATTAATTGGTGTTCCATCAGCAGTATATAAGACTGATGGATTCGCAGGATCAAATTGTAAAGATGTAGTGACTACCTGCTGATAAAAAGAATGAAAACACGGATGATTATGACCTTCCATTTCAGGTAGGACTAGAATTACATGTTTCCTTATGAAGAAAAATATAGCAATAAACCATACTATGAAAATATAAAGGATAGTAAAATATAGTGTTGTTGTTTAACATCTTGAAACTCCATAAACAACCCACTTGCTCTTCCTCTGGTGCATCAACGACACCAGCAGCGGCAGCTTCTTCTGGGGTCATTGTAATATATTCCACATTAGCATCAGACCCATCAGCAACAGTTGTGAATGCCTTCGATACAATATCAGCTGCATCTGCGCTTGACGCAAGTGTAGTCACAGTTTGTCCTGAAATAAAAAAAGTTGTGGCCTAATCATAGAATGTACCAAGATGATTTTAAATAGTTTTGATTGAGCTTGGCTTCAAGTGGAAATTCAAAGAAAATCTAAATGTCACGAATCCAACTTAGCCACCACATGCTTAAAGTTAAAGTATATTAAAATTACAGCTATTGCCACTACAATGGAAATCATTATTGTGATAGTTCATTTGAACGTTCTTCTTCCATTTCTATTCCATTCGCTAAGAGTTTCGCGTTGTCAAACTCCGGGCATTCTTGGTAAATCAGATGACAGCATGAGGTACTGGGTGTATTACTGGCAACAACAGGAAAACTCACTGTATTAACTAGTCATAGAGAACAGCATTCCATATTGAAAAAATTAGCTTTGCCCCAATTTAAAAAAAATGAAGATTCAACTACGACGTATGGGTTGAATTCTGAGGGTGGCCTATTTTGAAAAAAATAACATTTAGAGAGTATCTTATGATTGAAAATACACACCATCCTCAGTTTGATAAGTTATTTGCAATCCTTCAGAGGATCCCTCGAGCACATCGGCTTCCAGACTGATTTGTTGTTCGCTGGAGTCAGTCATCTTGAAATTTCACCTAAATACAATGAATTATGTAATTGAAAAATCATTGCTATAATAGGACTGAAAAGAAGCATTTCAAAATTTGTTTTTGTAAAATATATTCTATATCAGGGTGGTCCAAGGTTGTTGGCTCCGCAGGCCACAATAGTGCCAAGAGTAGGTAAACAGTGCAATAAAAAACAAACACTTTTATTGTGCAAACACATAGTTATCAGGCAGAGCCATTCCAGGCTAATAGAATCCGATTTTTAGTTTTCTATGATGCCTATGTTGTTAGCATATATTCCCGACTATAAAGATAGAAAGCCAGTTAATAATTTAGACCGAAAAGACACATCATTCAACTTCGCTAGTTGCCTGAGCTAGTCACAACACTAGACAATTCAGTGATATAGCAATATGTCAAAAGATTTTTCTGATTAATTTTATAACACAAAATTTTTGATTATCCTCCGAATGTGACGCGGGCCACAGATAATAAAGCGGCAGGCCACATGTGGCCCGCGTTTGGACCACCCTGTTCTATATCATTCTTGAACGTAAATCTGTGAGGTTTTCCGAAGTCTTTTAGAGTCATACCATAAATGAAAGCAAATCTCGTCAACTTTATACATCATTTGAATAAATTTTGAAGAAAATCACCACCTTACATTTTGTATTGTTTGCAATCAAAAAAAGGCACTTGCGTAGCATGCTATGGTTTGTAATTACCGGTAGTTAATATTTAGTCAAAGGTATTGTCTATACACTTCAGTAGTTTGAAAGTTTATTGTTTGTTTATAGTTTTTTGGAAATCAAGTTAAAAACATTAATTAAAAAGATTTGCATGTAGTTAAAAACTTTGTAAGATGCACCCTGCCTTTACCATACGACTTTCCATTTTTGCTAGATTTCTTGCAAGCCTGAAGTTGGATGGAAGTCCAATGTTATCGGTTGCCCTTAAACACTGGATCTTCCTAGCCTTATTAAGTAGCAAAAATATGGTCTTTGACTGTAATCCGCGCTTTCAGAGTGCCAAACTTGGAGCGCAGCTGCTTTTCCACTTTGAATGCATTGTTGCTTTTTATTTCTCAGCCTTGATGTAATGTATTTTTCGCTAAACCACACAGGAAAAATTGACATGTCTATATAAGTTCAAATTTTCAGCCACAAGTTAAAGTCGCTGGAAAACTTTTAATTATATAGCCTATATTTTTACGGAAGCTATGGGGTGAATATTGTACAATAATAACTCATGCGCTCAACTACACAACTGAAGCCTTGTCATACCAGCACCGAAGCGTGATATTGAGTATTGCTCTGTTTTTTGTCAATGGATTTAGAATTTAGTTTGCATAGTTAAAATATATTTTTTGAATGACCGGACCTCCATAAAAGTTGAGTATCCCTGAGATATGATTCTTCATTATTACTATTGCAACGTGTCATTTGTCGTCAATGAGATTACTTTAATTATATCGAAATATTTGATAACCACCCGAACCCTCGACATCCAAAATGAAGTACTGGTATGTCATAATTATGAAGACTAATGAATTGCCTTGAACCAGTTTCAATGCAGCACACGTTGTGTGTTTAAAACAGGAATATACAGTAGCCTACTGTGCAAAATATGATATATACATATATAGTACTTGTGCCCGGGCGAGGCTGATAAAGCATATCATAGGTGACAAAAAAAAGTTTTGCAGCTGGCGATGTTAAGAAATGAATGTGGCAAATTTTGTGTGCCTTGACTAACGTACAATAACTTTTGAACTATACAAAGTGATTGTCTCACTCCGAGAGTGGTGTGATAGTGATACATTTCATTCGCAACATAGCAGTGGCCTTGTGAAATCCAAATCCATTGCATTATGCAATTTCTAAATGACTCTTCGATCAGTCACTAGTTTTACATAATATTTGAATACTGCAATTTGCAGAATTCGATGTGACAGGAATATGGATATAGGGTGGTTAAGCCACTTTTCGGCCATTAATTTCGTCGATTAAATCAATGCCGAAAAAATTAAAGAACCGCGACGCTATTTGTCACACTTTATTGTCCACTTATCCCTCGTAGCTCTGCGAAATTACACTAAAATGCGACCACAAACAAAAAAGTTGCATCCGAAAACTCGACCGAAGAAAAAAAAACAGACCATTTTTTCATGTCGCCAACTACCACCCATTGTCGTTTCAAAAAAGCTTGAAAATCCATACTCCAAATATAAGAGATAAAAAGATGAAACTTGGCAGGTGGGTAGAGTTGTGTTTCTTTCATCCATCTTTGAAGTTTCGCATTTCTACATTTGAAGGAGGGGGAAAAGAGGGGTGCGCATTTCCAATACGGTACGTCGATAATATCTTTGTCGACCAATTTGCGACCACTGTGTTTTTGTCTGTTTGATTGCTGTGATGCAGTGCTTTGTTCATAATTTGACAAGTTTTGTTCGAAATAACCGTGTTCTTAAAATATATGACGGTCAGAAATGCAATTAGAAGCCCAATTTTTTCATGCATGGCTGCGTATGCTCTAGTATCAACGCAGCAGAAACGATGTTCAAGGCTTGAAATCTATGGTCGTTCGGTCGCAAATATGTCTTTCGAGTGTCGTACTTTGGTGGTTTGTATAGCTTTAACCCCTGGTCGTAGAAAGTTAATTCGAGGTTAAGCGTGTAGGATAAATGACAATGCACCTACGGTGAAAAAATTAACGGGTTAGAAATATTGGTTTTTGTTTTATAGCGGTTTGAATGAATTTGTCCGCAGACTGGCTACACCACCCTAACTGACATTTGGTCCACAGTAGCTTGCAGATGTTCACAATAAGCATTCAACTATGCCCAATTCTGCAATTAGACATCCAATCGTCTATATGGAAATACCTTATCGCCGTTTATAGGGTACGATATTTATGGCCTTGGATGTGGCACTACACAATGCAGCAATTTGAGTTCCAGTACTGCGATTTACTGTACTGGGTAAGTCAGTTTAGGTTTTTTCACTGAGTAACATCAATCCCGGCATCCATGTAAGGTAGTCTGAATTCAGAAGTCTTACTATGAACTAAGGCATAAAACATAAAAGACAATCCTGAGAAATACATATATTTCGGAGGAATCATCGCAAAAACAGGGAAAATCCAACCCCATAGAACAAGGAGAATTTTCAGGCAAGCCCGAAATTATATCCAAATGTCATCGATTCCCGCCAAATCGGTTAGGCCCTAAATACCCAACATAAAATGAACAAAAATTACTAAAAATAATATTATGTCAATAAATGAATTTTCTCACCAAAACTTGCACGTACTTTTTCCGATGAAAGAAGATATATAATTAAAATGCGGCAAAAGCTGGAGCGATTTACCGGAACAAAAAAAATGGTGGAATCTACGCGTGCCAATAAAGCCCCGATGTGTCGTCATCAGTTATTTTAACGTCTGAAAAGTTCCGCTAATAGGGCATATCATCGTTATTATGCCTTTTCCATGTATTATTTATTGTAAAATATGTCTTTGAGGTGTTCTAACGATTCAACTTCTATAATTACTTTTTATCTTTTACGCAGCAGAAGTTATATATAATAATTATGCAAAATTGGCGATGATAAGTTAGCGCTCGTCGACAAGTGGAGCCTTATGTGCATCCGTACGTCAAATATGCCGCGTTACGAGTTTGCTTTGGTTAATTTTTCCCCGCAGATTTCGCCTGTCGTGGTGCGAGCGACGAGTCTAAGGGCAGGGTTGTAGGGGGCTGTGTTGTGGATGTGCATTGGTTTTACCCCGAGAGAGAATTCTTGACAGCTTCTACAATCATGTTGTAAATGATTTGGCTTGGTCGGGAGTAACCTTCAGGCAGTTCAACTTACCAACTTACGGTACTGACTTAACGCTAGAATAGGATTCACATATTTATTCCCGGGAAGAGGAAAGTCAATAATACGGCTTAACCATATGGCGAACCACGGCCTCTCGTCCGTTCCCATGTATGGGTACGGGATTAGTTAGTAATTGTTTTTGGGAGCACGGACTTTATGGTAGAGGAAGCCATAACCGACCAGCAGCACCCTACGGCGGCAACCCTCCCGCACATAACTATATCCCCACATGGAATTCGAACCTGCGAACCCACGCAGAGTAATCCGAGGTTCGGTGGCGAGCAACGAAATACATTAAGGACAACTAGAGCGCCCCGGCCTGGGAAAAGTAAGAGAATGCGAGTTACGGTAAGCCACACAGCAATCAAGGCAAGCGCAAAAAACATGTATTTTTACACATGTGCCTTTTTAAACTGTTTGATGAGGTTTTTATGATTGGTGGGGAGAAATCTGAGTGTTGACGAGGGCCACATTGAATAAACAACCTGACCCGCAAGTGGGTTTGAGTTCGACGGATGCCGAATGATAGATAGACAGATTTATTGATTCGTCAACCAAAAACTAATGAATGAAAGCGTACATACAATATATAGACACTGTTTTAGGTAAGGACTGAACGGGGTAATATAGTCATCCAAGTCAGCTCTCTTCATAATCACTGTTATACATAGGCTCCACATTGGATGACTTCATAATATGACGAAACATGAAAATGCATTTTTGTCTGAATGTCTCTTTCAATTCTAAAAGTTGCCGGCCCGTGCTAGTCTAGTCTAATGACCTTGGGACCTGGATGACTTGTTACTTTCAGTTTAAGGGCTTTTGCACCAGGGGTGTTTGGAACCCTCCTTTTAAAAGTGCAAGTTTTTTTTCTTTGTGTCATACATTTTTCGTAGTTAGACCCTCAAGTCTTATTAAAACCCATGTTATCTGGCCAGAACAGCTGTCTGTTTCAGTCTAACTCGGTTATTAGAAATTTTAAAAAACCCAACCCCCCCGATTTGACAAAACCAGAGTATGCTCTGTTCTGCACATTGCTGGTCGATACAGATTTATTGGACACGTAGTGAACATAGCGATCGTTTCGATATTATGCTGTTGTTCTTGTTCATCGACACTTTTTGGACACCTAGTGGAAAATCAAAAAAGTCGCTATAGGGGTTCCAGATAAAAATTGTCTCCAGAAGGCTATTACTTTTATTCATTTCAAATATTTCTGTTATCTCTGTGAGATTTGTTTTTGTTTGCTATGACTATGACTTGCTATTTTGTTTGGTGTGAATATATTTGTAGACTGTGGTATCTGCTGTTATAATACCGTGATAAATCGAATTAGTTGGTTTTGCAAAAAAGAAGCGTCTGGCAGATACGGTACTGCGGTAAGTTACCGGTACGTAACGTACCACAGTGAAATTGACTTATTCCTATCGCGATCTTACTATTGCAGTAATGTAGGTTTTCCAGCAAATTTGGCCTACCGTATTTGTTAATTTTGATAAGAGCAAATTGAATTGAGTTTTTATATGCCAGAGAGGAACCGTTCCACGATCAAATAGCAGGCCTACATACAGCAACAGGTACTGGACACTGGTTAGGTAACGTACGATACTGCAGTGAATTACGCTCTCATCTTTTCGGTTCTGATGTAAACAACATAAATTTTGTAGCCTACCTTATTTTTTTATTTGATAAGAGGAAATGAATTGAGTTCCTATATGACAAGGAAGAGAACGAATTCCAGGTACAGTATTGGTAAGTTACGGTACCGCATATGATTATCGGGGAATCGATATTTTTTTTTATTTTGCCCTGGTACCGTAATGGATAAGTGACTTGAATCACTTAGTATTTCAATTCACGTTGAAATTGGAAGTGGCACAAAACAGGCTTTTAGTGGCCCGGAGGAGGCTACCTGTCAGTCAAGTCATCGATCTAGTCACACTAGAGTGATTTTGGCGTTTAGAGGCCGTTTATCTCCGCTCTTGGAGCGGGAAAGCGTTCGCCCGCGTAATGGAATTTTTTTTCAAGTGGTATTGGGGGTGGGGGCAGAGCCTCCGCCCCCTCAGTGGTGAGAAAACGTGTGGAAAGCCACGTCCACTGGTTACCTAATCTTAAAAAGTTGCTTTTCTCTTTAATTACTGGACCAATTGCTCTGAAATTTCCAGTGCTTGAAGATAAAAAGTTTCTTTAGAAGGCTATTACTTCCATTTACTTCAAACGTGTCCATATATTTGAATATAGCTCTCTTGTTCTGTTAGGGCAATGCATAGATATGGTTCGTAAAATTGTATATAATAGCTAGAAAATGCACAACTGGTAATTTATTATAAACTCGAATCATGTATATATATATATATAAATAAATCACTCGAGCTGTCATCAGCAAACTGCCAGCGAGGTTTGACCCAGGGTTTCGGGACTTCTACCCAGGTTCTTCAGTAGAAGCATCTGCTGGAGGTTCTGTGTCAAATGGAGTTTCAACAGAAGAGTCAACTTCAATAATAATTTGGCGCTGAATAAAGGTACGTATAATTCTAAGATAAATATTTCATTTTATAGATAATGCAGTGGACACTGCAATCACAGAACCATGACATATTTTTACAGTATTAATATAACCTAATGAATCAGGCGGAAATGAGATTTCATCACATGAATTCCATTTGCTGCATTGTTAATCCAGATACGAAATTCAATTTCTCTGGTATTTACAAACGACCAACGTAATGATAAAATCAGAAAAAGAATTGAGGTTTGGCATGTTTACTTTAAATAAACTTAATTTAACTCCGTAGGGCACAGTTCTCCGATTCCAAGATGCCGTATTCCTCATTAACTATAATTTGCCAGCATTATTGAACCTGGCGCACTTTAAAGATGATTTTTTGCCAGTATTAAGTTTTCTATTATTATATATAGGGTATATTCATCATCAGTCGCTTTATCTCCATCTGATTGGTGCTGTTACAGGCTCACTTAAGATTGATGAATTCTGATCACCAGGCTTCCATCTTTACCAAATCAGGCGTAAGGTTTGCCAATGCAGCAGATTATTTCAGACTACAAACATATAATCACAATGAATATAGTTTCATAGGTTACATCGATTTTCATATTGATCTTGGGGAGAATATAAATCATATGTCAAACCATGCCTCTTATACGGTTACCGGTCTCTTTCGGGTATGGGATTAGTTACTAAGTAGTTAGTCAGGTATTTATTTCAGATGCATAGATAAGATGGGATATGAAGCCATAACTGACGAGCGATCATGTGTGCCACCCGTCGACGAAAGGAGTCCAGTCATCCTCTCGCACATAATTATCCCCAACGAGATTCGAACCCACGCAGGGTAACCAGAGGTACAAGGACAATTGTATTCCACAGGTTTTGCATGTGTTAAGACAGGATATATTTGAACACGTGGGAATTGTTCAAGTGAATATGATCAACGTTTAAAGAGAGAGAGAGAGAGATTTTATTTCATCAACCTTAAAAAAATGGCTACAAAAAGACTGGAAAGAGCAATACGAAGATGCGGTCATCGGAGTCAGCTCCCTCCAAGTTCACGCTGAAAAGTTCACAGTAAAATGTTTATTAGAAGTGGTTAAAGTTCACGAAGCAAAATTTGAAAAAGAAAAAAAAAGGACTAAGCAATAGTTCAGAATGTTAACATCTATATATACAAAACACATGTTGAATATACAAACAGTAATACAGAAAAATAAGAAAAGTTAACCAACCAGCAGTCGTGTGAACCAACCTCAGTGGGAGGAGAGCTGCAATCCTCTCGCCCACAACTATCTCCGCATGGGATTGGAACCTCTGAAACTACCAGGGCTGTCAGAGATAGGTGGCGAGCGTGTAGCCAATTAGTTGTTATGTAACTACAAATAACCACATTAACGAATATTAAGTGAGCATACCCTACCTAATGCAGATAGCACATCAGACACTGATACTGATGTTATTTCACATGAAGTGCAAGACACTTTTGTTCATGCCCTCTCCTTCATTAAAACGTCAATTTTATCAGGTATTTATATGCTCTTATTCCATTTATCTCTCGTTTGGGCCACTATTTGGACCGTTTGTTTTATCAAAAAACTTTGCCCAAAATTGAGAGATGAAGGACTTCCTAGAATACAACGGCTTCGGCAATACTTGGCTGCTCGCAGGGAACAAGTGAACCCTGTTGAACCACCTCAACCTCTTGTGCAAACAATAGACAAGATCAGGGGGTCAAATCTATTAACCTAGATCAAATCCCAGTATTAGCTCCAATTCGAACTTATACCCTAGTCTGGCTGACTAGTCGAATAGTAATGCTCATATTGTACATATCATACACTTTTAATAATGTTTGATTATAGTGAACAGAAAACCGGAATGACGCGTTATTCTTTCATTATTATTGTAAAAATCTGTTTCTTTATTCGGGGTCACCAAAATGTAGTGATTAGTTATCACCACTAATCACTAATATTAAACTCCTGTCTAAACAATACCCCGGTAAGATCCTAAGTCAGTTACTAAGTGGGAACAGAGCAGCTATCACCGTGGGTGATATATTGACCGAAATTGAATGCCAACGTATTAACGTTACCGTTCTAAGGAACCTCTTTTTATAGGGTAAGTATGCTACCCGACCTTTAGTGCACTTTATTAATATTGGCAATGAAACAATCATTGCACAAATATTCCCTGATTCTAACGCTTATGTGGGTATTCATTTTTTTGAAAATTATACGCCCGGTCGTATATCTACGTTTCAAATTGACGGTCGGTTCTACAACTACGTCAAGTAGGCCTATACTTCAAATCATGCTGATATGCATGTGAAATTTCTGAGACCCACATCCAAGCCTTTTGTCGACAATTTAATCCTATCGATTACACTGAAGCATATAACGAATAACCAAGGGGACACCAGGGTTATGATGATATAAATAATATGTTATTATCAATCAGCCACATTAACTTCATTCGAGATATATATATCCCGTTTAAAACGAAATTATTCACTTAAGAACTTTAAAATCATAATTGGAGTAAGTACGTGACCAGCCACGCGATGACTTGGCAATGACAAGGTAATTGCTAGTAATGAACTTCAGGAAAACACTTTTAAAAATGTTTGATTATAGTGAACAGAAAGCTACCCAGAAACCGGAATGACGCGTTATTCTTCCACTATTAATGTAAAAATCTGTTTCTTTATTATATTTTAATTGCTCTGTAGAAAGCAATATATTCAGCCACGTGTTTTGTGTTAATCAGACTAGATTTGATCTAATTGTGTGTGCATTGTATTTCTGTATATATTGTCGGAATTGCAATAAACTCATAAGGTGTTTTCAAACGTCTCTTTACTACAGCAGAAGGCTATCGACAGATAGACAGTTCGGGTGAACGAACACTGGACAAAATTAATGCCGGGGTTATAATACATAAACCAGACCAATCTACGTGTGGTGATCACTACAAGCGTATTCCTCCTAGATGGCGAATTCAATTGAATTCTGGTTATTTTTGCATGACCACTGGCGTTAAACTTTAGTTATCTATTCAACTTTTTACACTTAGTAATAGATTACCTGCTAACTAGGGAAGCAATACCTTATGGTAATTGATGATTAATAATTGCTTACACAAGTCAAGTCTGCAAGTAGGATAGGATTGGCATATTTCGCCCGGGGAGAGGAAAGCCGATAAGACGGCCTAATCATATGGCGAACCACGGCCTCTCGTCCGGTTACCAGTCCAGGTCGGGTATGGGATTGGTTAGCCAGTTATTTGTTTTCGGAAGCATGGACTTGTAAATTAGGCATACGCCTACTAACAACAGGGGTTTGTCATCTGCTTTCCATTGAAATGAGGGAGCTTATGAATATTTAAAGAACTTGATAACGGCACATTATCACTCACCATCAACGAAGTGCTGTCCGCAAACAGTGAAACACAAGCGAGATGACTTCTGGACTTGACACCAAGCAGTCCTGCCAATAGATGATATCAACATTGCGCGACGTTCCGGATCTTTTGAGTACAGTGGAATATAACTGAAGATCCATTCCGTTGTCTATACAGCCTATAGCAGGGATGGCGAACCACTGACCCGCGACCCACTAGGGGTTATACGAGAATCAGATGCTACTTTGCATTTTATTAGTTTCTCGCCTACAATGCCGTTGAGAAAACAAAATCTTTCAGACTTGAAATAAAAACTTAGAAATCTGAAATAACAATGGGGCAGTGCAAAAGTGCCCTAATTTGGTTGAAAGCTGATCGAAAAATATAACATTATCAGAATGGAATTTCCTCCAAACCCTTTGGAACCGTAAAATAATTTGCCGCATCATCCTGAACGTTATTTTTTAAATTCATATACGTGTTTTCGTACTCTAATTTCATAAAATCGAGTGCCGTAAAAAGTCCCCGATAGAAGTGCTGTATAAATAAAGCCCAAAACTACACCAAGAGAAGAATATAAAATTTGTTTCGGAAGTTTCTTATAGATATAAACATTGATTGTATATATGTGACCCACTCTCTCCTGTTCCGCGATAAAAATATAAATTTGACCCATTCATTGAAAAAGGTTCGCCATCCCTGGCCTATAGTATACTATACGTACAGCCAACGGAACAATACAAAATAACCATTTTCAACAGCCAAACAAAACGGAAACGCATAATCCGACTTGCAACTGACAGGAGCCAGCTGGACGTTTTTTTTCTGCCGTCTGGTAAACAAAGTCACGTGACCCCTGCAAGTCCTCTATATATAAATATTCCTTCAAAGTAGACCATTGCAAAATGAGGTATAATGGAAAATACACAAAATCATGTTGATGAATAAATAGATTTTATCGCCAATATTCAACTTTCCTATGATAGTCTTCAAAGCAAGTTTTACTACTTGCTACACAGAGAGCCACTTCACATTCTGTGCATATAACTATGGTCCGTGACACATTTTCCACTACATGTGTGCCCATTTTATTCTTTTTGGAACAAACCACGCAGACTTTTCGACCATGAGTAGATCTAGGTAAATGATGGCCAGGCGTTAATCGTGTAGTTGCAGCAGATTCATCGGATCTTCGACCATTTGGCCTTATTATCCTAAAGTCCCCAATTAATTCGTTCACGAGCTCTTGCCGAAACTGGCCACCATTCCACCGTCGACCATGTGCCGCTTCACATACAACCCTTGCGTTGTGTACGCATATTTCCAACAGATATACAAATACCCGTCGATACCACACGTTTGACTTTCGCGTCATATTGTGGTATTTACGCATTTGATCTGCAAGGTCGACACCACCCATGTAGGAATTGTAGTCTTTGAGGAGAGGCGGGCATTTGAGTTGTACATACGGAGTTGCACTGTTGCGTTTACCTTTCCTATGCACAATCCTACGACCAGTGTAATTCGAAGGGTATTGTGGTGAATGTATTGTTGACAGGAAATAGACAGCCTTATTATCTAACCAAGACTGTGCTAGAAGTTCACCAGACGTTCTCCAGTCAGAGAAACCTCTCTGAGTCTTGTTTGCATCATTGATTAAAAGATCTTTTGGGAACTCTTTCCGGTTGGGCCTCATTGTTCCACATGCATATACTCCTCGCTCAAGCAGGGAAGCAAACAGATCAGGGCTTGTATAGAAGTTGTCTACATACAGATGATGATTTAGGTTCTCAAAAGGAGCGATTAGATCATTGACAACTCTTGATGCTTGTCCAACCTCAGCGGAAGCTCCGGGGTCTTTCCCTGTATATATTTGGAGGCGGGAAACATAACCAGTTTTAGACTCAGCCAAGACCCAAACCTTCATTCCGACACGAGCTCTTTTAGTTTTGATATATTCGCGAAAGCAAATTCTGCCTTTGAAAGATATCAGAGACTCGTCGATTGAAACTTCACGGTGAGGTTTATATACAGAAATCAGTCTCTGTTCGAGAAGGTTCAAAAGTGGCCTCAATTTGAAAAGTCTGTCTCTCATCGGATCATCATGTGACATCGCCTCGGATTCATCGCAAAAGTGAAGGAATTTTGTGAGATCTAGAAACCGATCCCTTGGCATAATCTTGCCGAAAGACGGGACATTGAAAATCCAATGCTTTGTCTGCCAATACATACTAAGAACAGGCAACTTTATGATTCCCATAGCTATAATAAAGCCCAAATAAGCCTTCATCTCCTTGAATGTTGTGAGTTCAAACACAATAGGTTTGTTGCGAGAAGCATTAATATCTAAAAAAGAAAACACGAGGATTACAATAGTAACAACGAATCTAGAACAAATTATTTTAGAGCTTGCACATGATTTATACCTTGGAGTTTTCTTTCTGCGTTCAAGTTTGTCATCTCCACTATAAGGTTGAACACTTGAACAGTGAAAAACTGTAGAAAGCAATCCAAAGGAGTTGAAGATGCAGAAATGCCACGACTTGTGACGCCTGCTGCCCCACCGAATTTTCGTAATGTTCTTTTGGGAGAAACTTTTTCCCATTTGAATTCAGGATTCAGAGATACTTTTACTTGCACGCGTGGTCGCTTGCTCGGCGTCGCTGTTTGAGAGTCCTGAACTGGTGCACGGCGACGTGACCGCTTGTTCGGTGTTGCTTCCTGGGAGTCATGGACTGGTGATGATATTTCCTCAGATTCAAAATCGAGCAATTTTTTCGCCTTCAATCGCTTACTTTGTGTTGTGCTTGTCAATGCCGGAGAAACGTCGTCCCCTGAAGAAGAACCATCCGATTCCATGTCTGAAATTTGAAAAATGACTTTCATATAAGTTGAAAAACTTTTTAACACTGAAATGTTTCAAACCTGAATCCCGTGCATTCCATTCATCAGCAGATGTTGAAACATTGCTGTCGTCATCGGAAGTCCCGTCATCCACGTCAGACTCATTTAAAATACTACTAAGAAAATATTCATCAGCATCAAGCTCAGCTTGATGTCTATTTTCATCAGCATCGAGCTCGGCTTGCGATCTTGATTGTTCGGCATCAAGCTTGATTTCCGGTCGATTTCCCTCCATGTTTGATGGAGACATGCACACTAAGGTAAATACATGATATAAGCGCTTATGCGATTGATCATAAAATAAAAATTTTAAATTATCTGGCATAATCTGTGAAATCTGTTTGGCACATGCAACCTAAAAATAATAATATGGTAATAAATGTTTTTTCTCACCAAAACTTCGACGTACTTTTTCCGATCGAGGAAAATATAGAAATGCAGCAAAAGCTGGAGCAGGTTACCGGAACAAAAAAATGGTGGGTGCTGCGCGTGCCAATAAAGCACGATGAATAGTCATCGCGTATTTTAACGTATGAAAAGTTTCGTTGAACGTTATCGTTATCATTGCTTTCCTATGAATTATTTGTTGTTAATTATTTTTTTAAATCGTCTAACAATTTAACTGCTACAAGTCGTTTTATCTTTCACGCAGCAGAGGTTATATATAATCAGAGCCATTATATAAGGGCTCTGATATAATTATGCAAAATTGACGAAGTTAAGTTAGAGCTTGGTATCAAGTGAAGCATTGTTTGCATCCGTACGACAAATATCCTGCGGTGCGAGTTTGATTTGATGGATTTTTTCCGAAGATTTGCGCCGGCTCTCCTTTTTCGATTCATCTTCCTGATGCAGTGGTCGGTCTAAGGTGGGGTTGGGAATACGGAGCCAGTTTTTGAAATACCGTATCGTGATATCCCGGGATTGAGCCGTATAACCCCGGGATTTTTCGGTATTAAGTGAAAGATCGAAACAACTTGCATGGCAAAAAAATCACGTGTTTATTTCATGCAATATCGACGCAGAAATATTAGAGCATCTAGGGCAGGGGTTCTCAAACTTTTTTTCTTTATGTCGCGGCACACTATTTCATACCATACCGCTCACATACCATTTCTACTCAAGTTCATTTCTTATTTTATTGCCTGCTGAAATTATGGACGGTCTTCCGATTTAGACAGAAATTTATACTAACCATTATCTCAATAAGAAGACTGGAATTCTTACTTCTGAGTTCTGACATTTCTTTCTAGGTCTCAATAAGATTGAAAATGCAAACATGCCTCTCCTATCAATACAAACATGCAAAAATCATAACACACAACACAACTCTGATTTGCCAAAATCTTAACACGCAACTCTGATCAGAAACATCACTTGGGTATCATTGAGAGAAGACTATTGCTCTTAAAGAGCTTGCACTAAAGAGCAAAGACTGGTACATTTCTTGCTAAAACGGTCTCTAATTGTAGATTAGTGTTGCAATCTCCGGAAATCCCAGTCACAACATTTATGGCTTTTCCCCAATTCCGATTCCAGGTTCAGTTTGAATATAACCCCGTGATCTAATATGTGCGAAGTATTGTTATTCTAAAACGATTTCACTGTACATTTTGTATATTTATCAGTTTGGACACATTGCGAGTCATCAATAAATTGCTGACTTGGCGACAAATATCCTTCAAAGTTTGTTCTGTACTGAAGAACCTGACCAAAGCCACTAAAAAGCTGAATATTTGATCAAAAAAGAGAGTATCCACGAGGAGGACACTCATATGACGTTGGTACAAGGGCTTCTTGCTTTCCTTGCACGCGGTGAAGACTAAGATGAACAGGGTTGAGCCTATGGATGTTGAATTGCCGAGGAAGAAATGCTGCTATATGAGAAAAGCAAGGAGAGTCCAGAAAACAGGGGCGGACACTTTCCATAATTTTGGGGGGCGAACTTGGATCGCCAACCGAAAAACACCGCGCCATGTATCGTCACGTAACAATAACCTGTCGATATCATTCTCTACGTATTAGAATGTCATTTTGCTACTCATATAACGAGAACCCAGGAACCAGGATGCTTTGCTTAGACAGGAACTTGCGCGTCACTGAACCAATTTCTTGAATTCCGCGAGAATTAGCCCACGGCTCTTGCTAACAAACAGAAAATAACAAATTTGAGGAGTCGTATTAGGTTATTGTTTCAATTCCTAGTTCTGCATGAAGCGCACTAACGCCGTTTCGTTAAATTAGAAATGCAAAATAAGGTAACAAGCTATTGTGCGAATTTTTTTCCTAAATTTCACCAAGGAATTATCATTTGACTAGTAGAATGGCCATTATTGCCGATTTATTAAATCATCATTTGAACTCGAAATAACAACCAGGATTCACGCAATGACTTTGCAGGGTTTTTATTTATAATTTAATACAAAAATAAACAGGCACAAGTTCAGGCGCGCAGCCAGGATTTAAAAAAATAAGGTGGGGGAGTCAAAGTCAGAACTTCCCATTGCCGCCTGCAACAAGCACCGCTAATACGGGCTCGTTAAAAAAGCCGCCTATTTAAGCGTATCGTAAAATATTCAATCCATGACAGCCACGAGATTCTAAAATGTCCTTATATATTAATTTAATTGTGTGCAACGTAACTCGCGGTTGCGACTTCTTATGTCAAAATAAAAATATTACTAAACTGAAGAACCACCGCGATATTTGGACATAAAAATATGAGATAAGCTGCCTGATGTATTTAATTTTGATACGTATTTTTGCAATCTTCCGAACTCGTTATCGCCGTTACAAAAATCTCGATATCTGATATAAAATCCCATATAGTACAATTTTACTTCATACAATGAGAATAATTATAAAGTATACTAGTAAATCTAGAATACAAATTCACCGCCTCGAAATCCATGGGGAACAGTCGCCGCGATTACACCACTTGTTAAAAGAGCCGACTTTTTCAACGAAAAATGATTTTTCACTAGTGCAAAGTAATCAACCAGAGACCGATAAGGGCATATTCAAAATGTCTTGATTTATTAATTTAATTGTCTTCAATTTAAACGACAAAACAAGAGCCACTCTAAAACACCACAGCAATCCGCGGACATAAAAATGTGTGGTAAACTGCCCGTTTATATATTGTTTTGATCCTTATTTTTTCTATTTTGCGAATTCGATAAATTTGAGATGTACTTGTAACACTGGCTCCGCTCAATCGCAATGATGTCACTCCGATTATTTTTAAAGATAAAACCTTTGGAAAAATCCGTGAATTTCCTGTCAATTCTCACGTAGTGAAAATTTTCTCAGTACAATAAAAATACATAAATAAATACAAATACTGATCGAATATACTTTAATTATCTTATATATCATCACAAACCGGGAAAAAGGCGCGTTCTCATCTTTGTTTAATGTTAACACGAAAATTTTCGACATCTATTTAAAAGTAATGGATGAAAAGGTAAATCCCGCTCACAATTGACCGTGTTTCGATTTCAGTGACGAAATGTTTTTGAAGGTCAAGCGAACATAATTTGTGCCACAGGCACACGAAATTTTGCGATTTTCGATGCCTAGAAAAGCATTTTTAGACTGTCGCGGGACTCGACAAAACTTAATTGTTAACAATTTTATTTTTAATATTTTATATTGCCGCTTTTCAACTTATGGATACTTATTAGAATTCGCCGAGTTCATAAGCCCGTGCTTGTACGAAAATAAAATAATTATCATAGTCATCGTGTCACAAATTTGTGATTTAAAGAGGATAAACGCCAACGTAAAGGCGTTTACGAACTAAATAATAGGTCACAAATCACAATACTGAAAACAATCGGCGATTTTAGCAAAAGGCAATTGCACGCGTTATTGGCGACTTTTTCAGTTTTCGAAAAAATTTAGAAGGGGTGGGGGGTATCTTTTTTAGATAGTTTCTGTGGTCTGAAAAGTCGAATAGGAGTTTCGACATAGTAATGCTTTGATCTTTGCCCGCAAATTATGCTGGGCCTTGCACGAAATCCATAACGTGAAAAGATTTGTCCAGCGGTGAAAATTGTTTATAACAACTTTAGATCTAGTTAATTTTTTAGCGATAATAATTAATTGTTGTAATGAAATACAGTTTGCCTTTTTCACTTCTCTCGCAAGTGGCAACAATAACACTATTGAAAGATTTTGACAATGAGACAACCATATTAAATTGTACAAAAATGAATTAGTTGTGCAAAACTGTGGCGCGTGATCGGCGGTGCGTTGAAGATGGAGTATTACCCGTGCGGGCACGCATGTTTCACGAAAATGTGAGGTGCTCCGAAGGCGCTCTGGTCCACATTATTGTAAGAAAACAGTTATAATATCGGTAACTATTAACCGTTTAATTGCGCTTGACTATCGCACTTTTCGGAAATGATAATTTTGTATGGCGGAAACAGCATGTATTAAAAATGTTTGCGAAATTATTGGGGGGGCGACCGCCCCCCGGGTGTCCGCCCCTGCCAGAAAACATGGAAAAGTTGTATGAGGGATAAAAAACAATCAACCTACGTCAGTTGACGAGCTTGCATTATCAGCTCTTGGATTTCTTGCCAGAAGTCCGAACACGCATTGATGACGACACTCACATGTTTTTGAGTCAGTTTTATAAAAAATAAACAGTACTGCTCATAATATTTTGTGTGTATTTTAAAATTTATATCCCGAGACTGGATGGTGAAAATCCCGACCCCAAAATTTTAAATTTATTCTCGAAATAGCAACCATAGTCCTTAGCGAGAGACCTATTGTACTGAACATCACATTGCGTCACGATTCATGTGAGCTATAGATGACATTTGGATGCAAACACAATGGCAGGTAAAATTATTGGTGGTTTGTCACGCCACTAGTCTTGGGAGACGCCTTCACGTCTCCACTGCTTTTATTGTGTTTCGTTTGACCCCTCAGTCCTTCAAAATACGTTCATTACAATATTATAACTATTTTGATGTTTATTTGTATACTTTGGTGAAAACCAAAGTGCACCATTGCAAAAACTTAAAAATGAGGTATAGTGGAAAATATAAAAAATCAGCTTGATAATCAGTTAAACAGATTTTATCGCCAATATTCAACTTTCCTATGATAGTCTTCGAAGCAAGTTTTACCCCTTGCTACACAGAGATGCACATCACATTCTGCGCACACAACTGTGCTCCGTGACACAGTCACATTTTCAAATAAATTTGTTCCCATTTTGTTTCTCTTGCTGCAAACAACACAGACTCTTTGAGCATAAACAGGCCTAGGTAAATGATGTCCAAGCTGTAAGCGTGGAGTTGCAGCAGATTCCTCTGATCTTCGAGGAGGTTCCCTCACTGTCCTGAACCCACCGACTAATTCGTTCACGAGCTCTTGCCGAAACTGACCACCATTCCATCGTCGACCATGTGCAGCTTCACATACAACCCTCGCGTTGTGTTGTGTATGCATACTTCCAACCGATATACAAATACCTGACGATACCACGCATCCGACTTTCGTGTAATATTGTGGTTTTTCCGCATTTGATCCGAAAGGTCAACACCACCCATGTAGGAATTGTAGTCTTTGAGGAGAGGTGGGCATTTGAGTTGTACATACGGAGATGCACTGTTGCGTTTACCTTACCTCCTATGCACAAACTACCTACGACCAGTGTAATTCGAAGGGTATTGCGGTGAATGTATTGTTGACAGGAAATAGACAGCCTTATTATCTAACCAAGACTGTGCTAGAAGTTCACCAGACGTTCTCCAGTCAGAGAAACCTCTCTGAGTCTTGTTTGCATCATTGATTAAAAGATCTTTTGGGAACTCTTTCCGGTTGGGCCTCATTGTTCCACATGCATATACTCCTCGCTCAAGCAGGGAAGCAAACAGATCAGGGCTTGTATAGAAGTTGTCTACATACAGATGGTGATTTGGGTTTTCAAAAGGAGCGATTAGATCATTGATGACTCTTGATGCTTGTCCAACCTCAGAGGCAGCACTGGGGTCTTCCCTGTATATATTTGGAGGCGGGAAACATAACCAGTTTTAGACTCAGTCAAGACCCAGCCCTTTATTCCGACACGAGCTCTTTTAGTTTTAATATATTCACGGAAGCAAATTCTGCCTTTGAAAGATATCAGAGACTCGTCGATTGAAATTTCCCGGCGAGGTTTATATACAGACTCTGTTCAAGAAGATTCAAAAGTGGCCTCAATTTGAAAATTCTGTCTCTCATCGGATCATCACATGGCCTGGCATCGAATTCATCGCAAAAGTGCAGAAAATTTGGTGAGGTCACCAAACCGCCCTCTCGACATAATCTTGCTGAAAGACGCGACATTGAAAGTCCAATACTTTGTCTGCCAATCCATACTAAGAACAGGCATCTTTATGATTCCCATAGCTATCATAAGGCCTAAATATGCCTTCACCTCCTTGAATGATGTTGGTTTAAACACCAAAGGTTTTGTGCGAGTAGCATTGATGTCTAAATAAGAAAACATGAGGATTAGAGGAGAAACAACGAATCTAGAACAAATTATTTTAGACCTTGCACATAATTTATACCTTGGAGTTTTCTTTCTGCATTCAAGTTTGTCATCTTCACTATAAGATTGAATACTTGAACAGTGAAAAACTGTAGAAAGCAATCCAAGGGTGTTGAAGATGCAGAAATGCCTCGACTAGTGACCCCGGCTGCGCCACCGAATTTTCGAATTGTTCTTTTGGGAGAAATTTTTACCTATTTGAATTCAGGTTTCAAAGACACTTTTACTTGCAAACATGATAGTTTGCTTGGCGTTGCCGTTTGAGAGTCGCCAACTGGTGCATGGCGGCGTGAACGCCTGTTCTGTGTTGCTTCTTGAGAGTCATTAACTGGTGATGGTATTTCCTCTGATTCAAGCAATTTTCTTGCCTCTAAACGCTTACTTCGTGGTGTGCTTGTCAATGCTGGAGAAACGTCGTCCCCCGAGGATACATCCGATTCCATGTCTGAAAATTGAAAAAGGACATGTACGACTTTCATATAAATTGAAAACTTTTGTACACAGAAGTTTCAAACCTGAATCCCGCGCATTCCATTCATCAGCTGACGTTGAAGTATCACTGTCATCATCAAAAGTCCCTTCATCCACGTCAGACTCATCTAAAATACTACTGATGAAAGATTCTTCGGCATCAAGCTCAGCTTGCCGTCTAGATTCTTCGGCATCGACCTTGGCTTGCAGTCTGGATTCTTCAGCATCAGGAGCGACTTGAAGTCTAGATTCTTTGGGATCATCCTTGACTTGATTCTTCAGCATCAAGCTTGACTTGTGGTCGATTTCTCTCCATATTTGATGGAAATACGCACACTAAGGCAAATACATGGTCTAAGAGCATATGCTTCTGATCATTGATTACAAATTTTGGAATTCAGCCAGTTCGCACCGGTTCTATAGAACCGTCTCATGGAATTTTATGAGATCAGCAAACCGGTTAGCATTACTGGATACAGTCAATGAATTTTTGCAGCTTATCTGACACATCGATTTTTGAGATCAAGTAGCTCTGTTTTTTTTTCAAAATTTGAAATGATCAAGTTCGCACGTAACAGTTATACAATGTGTTAATTTTTATAATTGTATTAATTTTCCTTTTGTCATTGTTTGTCTAAAAATTGAATTGTTGCGTCAGAAGTTTAAGTCATGGGACGACTGCTGCTTTTTAGTGCGGCTGTTTGTAGTGATGGGATTGAGCTGGTATCTACAGCAATATACCCAGTGGCTCCCAAGCTTCCCACCCTGACGGGCCAGTAAAATTAATCATGAAACGGCAAAAAATTGAAATGACCGGAACAGAAAAGAATAGCATATATTTGCGCAATATATTGCAATAACGGGCACTTGATATGCTTCTAGACAAAAAAGGCACACTTGAAAACATATCACAGGAAGAAAATCTATCAAAGAATGCGCCGGCCATAAATTGGAATGGGTGAAACATATAATGATAACATGTATTTTCGTAATGAAATGAAGTGCTGGGCACCCATTATGCGTAAGAATCGTAAGAATGGCATGCATAAAACATGTACATGCCAAATCACTTAAGTAAGAACTTTGCTGCTGTTTCATTTTCAATATAGGATTGCAAACGAGGCCTCAAAGAAGTTTCCGCAACACGTAGCTCTGCAGCGGCGCGTTGCCGATTTCTTTGCTTCGCTTTAATTAAAGCTGGTGAATAAAATATTGGCATAACGCAGTAACTGGTTGAAAATACCTACAACAGTTTGATTGCTCGATTACTCAGTGATGGGTTTCGTGACAGTGATTCTTTTTTGAATCTGGACTTGAAAGTAGAATCACAATTTTAATCAAGCTTTTTCTTTTTCATCGAGTTCATCATATAGTAATTTCTCTGCAGTTGATCGACTGCTCAAACGAAAACGTGCAGACATGGGAAATAAAGCTTTTGCATTAACGGAATTCTTGTTCATAATATGATTATTAGACATGATTATTTTAACTTTGTCTTTAAGTTATGCCCGTCCTCCAGGTCCTCTGCATTTGTCACTTTTGTGTTTGTTCGTTTGTTGTTGTTTCGTTTTATACCAGAGCGACCGAAATAAAATTGATTGATTGATACAAGCCCGCCGATTCCCTTCTCCCGCAAAATCGCTCGGCGGCGCCTGCCAGATGTTGGAATACGACGTGCGTTTCTTTGGACGAGATTGGTCATGTGACTATCGATATGACATCATGAATTGTGACCAAAGTGCATTATTTTCTAGTGCAAGTTTGACGGGTATTTGCTCCATTCTTAGCGAATTTATTGGAACCATTTAGAAAATTCTGACAGCCGTAGGGATGAGCAATATAGAATGCTGAGGATTCGAATCCCTGCCGATTTACTGGCGATTTTCCCATTGCTGCATTGCAGCGATCTCAAATTTTTGGAATATGTGAAACATTCTCATTTTACAATAAATGACTTTTCGCGGCTTAGAGTTCTCCCGGAAAATGATGTATACCAGGCGTTAGACGATAGATGAAACAATATTTGCGATTAATACTTTTAATGACGCCCCACTTCCGAAAATGCAAAGTTATATCGTAATTCGTAAAATGCGTTTTCGACAGCCCGTTTCGAAAATACAAAGTTATATCGCGAAAATGTGTTTTGTTACATTTAAAATAAAACATTATTTACGAATAATTTAGATCACATTTTTCACGACATCTCGTTTCGAAAATACAAACTTATATCACAAAAATGCGTTTTGTTACATTTGAAATAAAACATTATTTACCGTTAATTTAGATCACATTTTACTTTTCACGACATTCCGTTTAAAAAATACAAAGTTATATCGCGAAAATGCGTTTTGTTACATTTAAAATAAAACATTATTTACCGTTAATTTAGATCACATTTCAATTTCACAGACGTCCTGTTTCAAAAATACAAAGTTATATCGCGAAAATGCGTTTTGTTACATTTAAAATAAAACATTATTCAAGATTAATTTAGATCAAATTTTACTTTTCACGACATCTCGTTTCGAAAATACAACCTTATTTATATTCAAGTTGCCAATGAATCTGTTCCTATCGTTCAAGCTCGACATACGTTTGGTCGAGTGTCGGGCGATATTTTGGTCGACAATAAATTAAAAAGTTCCCACAGTGGTTTGTATAACGATAATAAGTCTTGTCTGCAGTAAATAAACATGGTGACATACTTGATTATATTAATATTCGATAAACTTATTTACACAAATAATTAACGCGCCCTACCAAGTGTGGCCATAAAAATTGCATTTTCCTCGTATGGAATGTGTGTTTTTGGCGCTCTCACATTAATAATAATTCAATGTTTTTTCAATTAAATACAAAGGGTACATTCACAATTTTGCTTTTTCAAAATTGTAATCCATAAATATGATGGGAGAATTCTCACATTTGGATAACAATAAAAATAGAATAGAACTCGGTATTCTGGATTCGATATTTATTTTTCAGTCGACGAGCCATTCAATAATACAGATTTCCGAAATCGCGAAAGAAATGACTATAAATTGTCGATGGTGAACAAATGACCGAGAGTGCACATACCGTATTCTTCTCTCTTTTCAAAGCAGATATAAAACAAATCCGGTACCATGTCGCCGAAAAGCCGTTACGTGTTGTCTTCCAATCTACCAATCAAAAATATTGGAAGATATATATGAAAGAGGTTTCTAAACTTGACATCTCTGGACGTAATTACTATTAAAAATACCAGTAATGATGCACGGAAAAACGAATTCGGTTATATTGAAACACATAAACAAGTTCTAAATTCCATGCACAAATAGCCGATGCTGTATGGTACCGTGTATGTGATATTTGTGCACATAAACGATTATATATCGCGACTGAATGTCTGATATTTGAAAATGCGTATCGTACTTCTTTTTCAACATTCAGCGTTTCATGTGGTCGAATAAAAATTATTTATCAAATGGATTGATTTTTCGCGACACACTCCAAATTGTTTGGGACCCAGTATCATATCATTCGTTGATTTTTTATCTCATGTTTTTTTTTTGAGAATCATCGTCGTTGTGTTTCGTGTCCCTTCGCGTAGGAAAACTGTTTGATGTCATCGTCTCTATTAGTGTAATTGTAATATATGGAAACGTCGCAAGTGACTTTGAAATGCGAATATTACATACTAGGTATGCAGCATTACAGAGAATGCTATCTGTGAATGCTGAACGTACGTGGCATTCCTGAAAATTTTGCCAATAAATGATGTTTTCTATCCCATTTGAACTAGCTCCCACACAAACCAAGGCACGCCGACATTACTTGCCTTCGCGTAAGCTCTGAAATAGTATAATATAGGTACCGTATAGGTAAACGAGAAATTAGGTCAAGCTAGCTACGAAACGGGGATGATTTTGCATAATATTTCGGAGAAAAAAGGTTGAAAGGAAAGTAGGTCAACCTATCTCTTCTAAAACAGGGGAGGATCATGATAATATTTCGGAGGGAACATAGGTCAACCTATTTCTTAAAACAGGGGGTGGCGACTTTCAGAGTGATTTAATATGACAAATTAATAATTATCCGATTACGGTTAGGGATAAATTGAAAAGTTTATTTTCAGCGCAATCTCCATTCCTAACCCTAATTGGATAATTACTATTTTTATTTGGGTGGTGGCGGGGGATGTTATTTTGCAGGGGCTTTGTACCAATGATCCACCACATAACTAATATGGATTCCAGCTTTCATGCACCAATTGTTGTCTGTTAGATGGAAGGCATAACTAAAATGTGAAAGCCTTTGCTGTTCACGCGAGATAGCAACCAACTGGGGTGATTGCTTGCATGAAAATTTTGTACGCGACAGGTGTTAGCAGGTGACATTCCGTTACCGATGAATTCGCATATTTTAAACAAGGATTTAAACGAAACTCTGTTATAGGAAAGGCTCCTCTTTAATTCATAATATTAACAGAGGTAGCGCTTTTTCGAGTATCTATGCTGTTTCAAATAAGTTCAAACAAAAGCTAGGGCACCTAACAAAAGCACTTTCGCACTTTTTTTTGGACTGCGAAGCACTTTCGCACTCATAATTCGCTTAGAGTTAACACTGATCCCAATAGAATATGATACTGTTCTTGACTGTTTTCTTGTTCAAACAAAGAAATATGCATAACGTTTTATATGGATGGTCATATTTATCAGAAAAAGGAATTTCGATGCTAATTTTGACATAATGTTTACTTATTTTAACCATTATTTTGAAATGTTAATCAGGTAGTAATTAAAAATAATCAGATTATTTGCTAAAAAAAATTTGACTTTTGTGATGGAACCGACTGACAAACTGACAAAAAATTTGAATCCCACCACTGGTTAGTTTTAAACTAAAAATCATCTCTATAAAAAAATCAAACAAAAAAAAATACCTTCAACTCTTGTCACAGCGCCAGATAATATTGAATCAGTAGATTGTACATTAGAAGTAGGTGGCACAACACTCTTCTGCTCTTTCTGTTGCATTGATGAAGTTGATGTTACAACATTGGCTTCGGTTTCCATAGGTGTTTGCTCTAGGACTGCTGCACCATCATTAGGAGTCGCTTGGCCCTAACAATTTTGGATATGATTGCTTTGTAAATAGAGTCTGGTTTTGCAAAATGTGCAATTTTGGTGATAATCTATGCTATACCCTGTCAGAGCTTTACATATTGTGTACTACAGCTTTTTGAGCAATATCTACCCAGTTTAGGCATAGGAATAATGAGTCAGTAAATTATATGGACGCAAATTTAGGAAGCAGTGGCTATATTATGTTCAGCATAGAAGCCTTGCTGCCACATTGAATCTGACCATAAACAAACACGTTTTTACCTCGTGCATTATACCCAGTTGAAGTTCGGCCTCTTGCTCAGCAAGGCTTCTGTCGAATAACTATGACCATTCATTTCAGGTATGACTAGAATTACGTGTTTTATTATGAAGGAAAACATAGCAACAAACCATCCTATGAAAAAGCAATTGATAGTAAAATATTGCGTTGTTGTTCAATTATCTTAAAACACTATAAACAACTCACTTGCTTTTCCTCGGGTGCATCAACGACACCAGCAGCTGATTCAGGAGTTATTGTAATATATTCAACATTAGCATCAGACCCATCAGCAACAGTTGTGAATGCATTCAATACAGTATCAGCTGCATCTGCACTAGAAGCAAGTGTAGTCACAGTTTGGCCTGAAATAAAACTCTGTATTTAGAATAGAATGTACCAAGATGATTTTTGATTGAGCCCTGCATACAACAGAAATTGAATAAAAATCGGAATGTAGCAAATCCATCCTAGGCACCACACTTATACAGCTATTGTCATTGCAATGGAAAGTGTTACAGCGATAGTTCATTCAAACGATCTTCTTCCATTCCTATTAGATTAACTAGGAGTTTCCGTCTGCCATATTAAATACTTTAAAAGTTTTGAGCCAAGTGATATTTGTACAGCAAAGATTAAAACTATAATTAACACGGTGCCTGACTAGAAGAATTCTTTCAGTATTTTGCCTCCCTTTGGTTGATATCTTGAGACCTTGCATTGCGTATATTTGTAAAAAAAATGTAGTCGTTCTTGGTATATCAGATAACAATATACAATAAAGTGTGCATTATTGGCAACCAGTTGTAGATAACAGTATTTCAAACTGATCAACTACTATCCATGGGTTGAATTCCAAGGATAACCGGTTTCAAAAATAATAACATTCACAGAGTAGCTTATGATTGATGATACACACCATCCTCTGTTTGATAATCTGATTGCAAACCTCCAGAGGATACCTCGAGCACATTCGCATCCAAACTGATTTGTTGTTCACTTGAGTCAGTCATCTTGATATTTAACCTAAAATCAATAAAATTGAGAGGTCATCGTATATATACACCTCAGATTGAAAAATTTGTTTATTGTAAAACATATTCTGAATCCTTCTTGAATGTAAAACTGTGATGTTTCTCAAATCATTGCTTTTTTAGAATCGTAGCGCAAATGAAAGCAAACGTCATCAACTTTTATCAATCAATAAAGCATTTGTATGACTTAGGAACAGCGGTTCCCCGTCGCGTATCTACGTAAAATGGCGCCCATGGCAAGGTCTAAAAACCGCCCCCTTGATAGTTTTTGACAATTTATAATAACTCTTAATGAATTGTGGTACTTGTATTTTTACTCAAATAGTAAAAATACAAGTTTCAGTCATTCCCAATTTAAAATTATTTTATTGGAAATTTATATGATTAATACTTTTTGCGCCCCTGTTCAAACGGCGCCCATAGCACAAGCCATGGCTGTTCCCATACTATGGGTCCTGACCCACTGGTGGGTCGCAAAAGGAATCTTAGTGGGCCGTGAAAAGATGTAGAAAGCTTTGGTTAATTATACTGGTTATTAGGATCGGTGGCGACTCGAATACGTAAATTTTCAAAAAAAACAAAAGAAATTAAATTGAAATTCTAATCTGTGAAAATTTCCTTTTTACGATCTTCTCAAATGAACAAACAATTTGCTACACGGAGAATGACCATGTGGCTTTTTTACGCATAGCAGATTTGTACACTGTACAGCACTTCTTACCGTGTTTCCCCGAAATTTGGACAGAATTCAGATTTATTTTCTATTGAAGAATAACACTATGATTTTTTGGAAGAGGTCTTTTGTGTTCATTTATCAAAAATAAAATTACATTGTAGAAAATCACAGAATTTTTACTAAACATTATATAAAAACTGACATCCATTGTTTTTATTTATATTTCCTATACAAAAATCAAGTTACAAATATCACAATTGTGATATCACACAACCTTGAATAGTGGTGTGATCTTCACCTTACCTCAGGCCAATGAACCTTTCCTCTCCCACACATTTTAAATCTATTTTAAGGGTAGGGTTTAATTAAAATCATTTTGGAAATTTTATTTTCGAGGAAACACGGTAGTTTTGCGATGATTACCCATTGCTGTGTTATGTCATAAAAAAACAAAATTAAAGTTAAGTGGGTCGCTGTGGTAATGAATAGTGGGTCCCAACTCTAAAAAGTTTTGGAACCACTACTTTGGATGGTCAATTTTGGAAGAAAATTACCACCTTACAGTTCCATTTCATTTGAACCCATGACAATTGCACCTATGGATTTTTTTTTGTTTCACGGATATTTGAAACCATACTCACCCTAACCCATGAGTTTTAGCACCCACATATAGATTGAACCCGCGAATATACGCATGGGTAAATGTACGTGGGTTCAAATGTACGGTCACCCCACCTTACATTTTATTTTTTTTTGCAACCAAAAAACAGAACTTGTGCATCATGTGCAATGTACATTTTATTTTTCCTTGTTTTTGGTTCATTATTATTTAGTCACAAAGGCATTGTCTGCACGCTTAAGTTGGTTGAAAACAGCAATTTGCATGTAGTTAAAAACTTTGTTAGATGATCATCTTAAAAGACATATTTCTCGTAAACCTGAAGTTGGAAAAAACTCCTTTTCATGAATAGGATAGCAAGTAAAATTCAAAGGCATTGGTTGGGCTTTTTAAAACAATGGATGTTCCCAACCTCAAGTAACAAAAATATGTTCTTTGAAAATGATTTACCATTGAGCTTTCCATGAATTACTTGTGATAAAATTGCAGAAAAATTATTGTGGGCATGTCATTCCCAAATGGAAAAACATAGAAACGGGATACTCAGTTGTGTAAGAAGTCAGTGGGGCAGAGTTTTTTATTACCACTGTCTAGTCCAGGGCTACTCAACTGGCGTAGCGCGGTCCGAATCCGGAAATTTCGAGTATGGACCGCACCTAATTATTTATTTTGGATCATTAGCCCCACTTTTTAAGTTTCCTATTATAAAATGACTTTTATAGTTTTGAATATAACTTAGGTACATGAAAATGACTATAACACTCTTGTTTAGTTAATAATCATTAGTTGACGGAGGAAGTTCGCGTTTAAGAAAACCGAAATATAATTTCTGGAAAGACGGGACCCAAATAATTTTGAAGTTTAGTATGCGGACCTCCCGTTAACCCTGGTCTAGTCTACTGAGCAGTAGGCATGTTAGCTTAGGTTTTTTACCAATTCCTGTCAACTGTGGGGCAGTCCTATTATAAACTAAGACAAAAAATGAAAGACACTCCTGAGAGATACATATATTTCGGAAAAATGACAGCAAAAACAGGTGGAGTCCGATCTCTACAAGATAGTGAGATATTTTATGCAAGATTGCGAGCCCGAAATTATATCCAAATTCCAGCGATTCCCGCCAAATCAGATAGGCCTTAAATACCTAACATAAAATATATAAAAATTACCAAAAATAATATTATGGTAATAAATGAATTTTCTCACCAAAACTTCCACGTACTTTTCCCGATCAACGAAGATATATATATAAATACGGCAAGGGCTGGAGCGATTTACCGGAACAAAAAAAAGTATGGAAGCTACGCGTGCTAATAAAGCCCCGATTTGTCGTCATCACGTATTTTAACGTATGAAAAATTTCGCTGATAGGGGACGTTATCGTTATCACTGCTTTCCTATGTATTATTTGTTGTAAAATATTTCTCTGAAATGGTCCATCGATTTAACTTCTACAATTCGTTTTATCTTTTACGCAGCAGAAGTTATATATAAGTATGCAAAATCGGCGAAGATAAGTTAGCCCTTGGTAACAAGTGGAGCCTTATGTGCATCCGTACGTCAAATGTCCCGCGTTGCGAGTTTGTTTTGGTTAATTTTTCCAGCAGATAGGCCTATGCATAGGCTCACCGTTCTCGTTTTATCTTTAATGAGTCCGCGATAGGGCTACATGGGGATGTGTTCATTGAATTGGTTCAAGTATGCGCTGTATGGTAGACGTTACGGTATCAGGTAATGGTCAGCCGATAGCGGTAGCGATGTTGCATTTATTGCATTTCGTGGAAACGAAAAAATCTATCAACACATACCGTACTGCTGTACTGGTACAGTGGTACAGACATACCTAGGCCTACATCAGTACATGCTTCTAGAAAATATAAGTATAATTTTGATGAACAATGAATGTCATATTTATAATGCAATTATGGTAATTTTGTTGATTCAAATTAAATGTAAATATGCCAAACCCTAATTCTCTCTTTTTCTGATTTTATCAATAGCTTGGTAGTTTACGGTATACCGGTATATTTCGGGTCTCCCTAAAACCAGGCACTTGCGAATTCAGGCACTTTTTCAGGCACCATTTCAGGCACTTTGATATTTTTTATTTTTACCTCACGTCATTGGGGTTTCCAATTTACCTGACAAGATAATTAGACTTTAAATAATTTTTTGCATTCCTATATTGCAATAAAACAATATTATTTCCAATTTATTAGGGTATAAATAATTTTTCAATAGTAAAATGTGGCAACGTTGATTACAAAATATAGAAATCAGGCACTTGTGAAATTTCAGGCACTTGGTCAAAACCTATTTTACAATGTATCTGATTACTCTAAAGCAGAAAATTAAATATATACACTTTGTATGGTTGAATTTACAATATTTTGGTAAAATACAATACCTTTTGTGACTGATGGAGACGTGTCATATTTTGCAAGTGCCTGATTTTTCATTTTTCTTGGTGACAGTTGCCATATTTTTTCACAATTATTTTCTTAATTTATTTGCGTCAGCACTTACTATTTTTTGCTTTTCAACGCAAATTCATTGTTCCACAACAATTTTTAGCGTTTTTAATAATGTAATGAGCAATACCATTTGACAATATATGGTCAACCATCGTACTTTCTGGATTTATTTGAAATTGAATATGAATGATAAAATCTGGCAACCACAAGCACAAAATACTAAAACCAGGCACTTGTGAAATTTCAGGCACTTCGTAAAAACCTATTTTTCGATGTTTTTACTTACTTTGAAGCAGAAAACTAAAATATACACTCTTTTGTATGATTGAAAGGATGTCTTTTTGGTAAAAAACAAGAACGATTGGGACTGGTGATGAGGGGTCAAACTTCGCAAGTGCCTGATTTTTCATTTTTTTCGATTACAGTTACCATATATTTTTGCAATACTTTTCATAAAATCATTTTCGTCAGAACTTAGTACTTACTATACTTTTCTTTCTCGGTAAAATGTTTTTTAAGACAATCCGATGTATATTGAGTGCTATTCTTATCGCTAATTTCAATTCGACGTCTGCCCGAAGGTGGTGCAAGTATTTATATTTGAAGTGAGTACATACCTCTTCAAAACGCCCAGATGAAAGATTGAACAAGGCGGAGACAAAAAAATTCAATCACATTTGGGACGTTGTCGCACTGCATCGTCGCCACTCATATACTCTGACATTCCGATGCATGAATTTTGCTTTCTGGAAAATAATAATTGGAGTGTCTGTTAAATTGCGTAATGTATACGGGAGCACGTACAATACTAATGCTGCGTTTGCTAGCGTTGGTATCATGATACATGTGAAAAAGTATCGAAAGCGAAATTGTGGAAGTGTAAAATTTGTATTTGGTAAGTCGGTGTTGCAAATGTGGGTATTTTCAGGGCGCTCCCGTAGTAGCCTATGTGCTCCAGGATGGCGCACAACCTAATACCTCTATCTTTGTACATATACTATGTTCGGGTTGTGTGCCAACTTTGTGCACATACTACGGGAGCACCATTCTCTGCACAACCTATTCTGATGCTCATTCGCGACATGAAGAAACTATACGCCCGACATATAAAAGTAGCAAAATATACACAAAACCTTTTCATGTTTAATTTCAGAACTGACATTTAAAATTTTCAATTCTTAGATCTGTGGTTTTACTTTATTGCAAGTTACGTAAATCATATCATGTCAAAATAGAACCAATAGTAAGGATTTTTATTGAATACTCAATATTTCTAATAATTTTCAAACTGAAAGCTTCAATTAGTGTTCACTCATACACTTCCTTTGTGAAGTTGTGTTTTTAATGTTTTATCTCCCTAATAAATTTAAATTCAAATTTAATTCCCCAATTACTGATGGAGAAAGATCTATAATCGAGAGTTTAATACGGCTTCTGTGACATTAAAAACAATTACTGTTTTACGTTTTTATATATTTGCAACTTTTTGAATAACGCAAAAGAATTCGTTGGCTGACTACCGGCGTGTTGAATATTGAAGGATTTTTATTGTAACATTCGTTTAACGATGCTTTTAAGCCTAACTTTGGGCATATCAGCTACCTGATGTCATTCGCCGAGCGAATTTTGTTTAGGTGACATTGCCATCTCGTATTTACCATCCTGTAGCCATTCTTCTTATTTAGGAACTACGTGTTTTACAGTTAGCTGTTACAGCATGAAATATTGTACACATAATTCTACGTAAACTATCCATGAAATCCATTCCATAAACTATCCATGAAAAGATATTACAGTCAGATCTTCAGGTTGTAAAAAATATTATACAACAGCAACAGCAAGTGATCGAATATCTTTATTATAGCCGTGGTTGAACACCGCTGGTTGTCAATATAGGTTTTGCACAGGCTTTTATACATTTTGTGAACGGTAAATTATGTTCTATTAGGGGATAATGTGACTTGGATACGTATTATAAAAGATTCTCTGCGACATAAGTCAATTGTTTCTGTTATGTAGTTTATATGAAGTCGTAGGCCAAATTACATTATTAAAATCGTCGTCCGATAACAATTAAAACTGGAATTTTGAACTAATATTGCCAGAAGACAAATTAGGTTGTTTATAACGATGCGATTGTTACTACCTGGGTAATATATTACGTCGAAATGTTTATAACAAATTAGAAGAAGTTTTGAACCAATTTCAAGGGTTCCGAACATTACTATAAAGATGTCGTCTGAATAACTAATATTCCCTACAGATCTGTCAAATTTAAACCCGTATTTAAATAATACATATGTCATACTTTTGAATTAAAAAAAATAAACAACACAATGTCATTCAAACTTTACAATATTCAAATAGTTTTGCAAAAGCGTGATTGGTTTAATTAAATACCGATTTCCGGATGTAAATACTGATGATAAAAGTTTAATTCCATTTATGCTAAGGGGAGCTCTCATACAAACATTGACTTTTCTAAAATAATGCAATAGGGAAACAACATATGAAAAAAAAAATAAAAATTATAGAGATATGGCAACTACCATTGACAAAACCAAAAAATCAGGCACTTTTTAAACTTGCCACATTCCTACCAGTGATAGTTCTTCTAGTTTTGGACAATAAAAATACCAAATTCAGTCATACAAAATATGTATATTTGGATTTTCGGATTTAAAGTAATCAAAAACATCGGGAAATAGTTTTTTACAAAGTGCCTGAAATTTCACAAGTGCCTGATTTTAGTATTTTGTGCTTGCGGTTGTCAGATTTTATCATTCCTATTAAATTTCAAATAAATTCAAAAAGTACGATGGTTATCTATATGTTGTCAAATGATATTGCTCATTGCATTATTAAAAACGCTGAAATTGTTGTAGAACTAGGAATTTCCTTTAAAAAGCAATGATTAGTAAGTTCTGACTCAAATAATTTAGAAAAATTGTTGCGAAAATATATGGCAACTGTTATCGAAAACAATGAAAAATCAGGCACTTGCGAAATTTGACCCCTCATCACCAGTCCCAATCGTTTTTGTTTTTTACCAAAAAGACGTCATTTCAATCATACAAAAGAGTGTATATTTTAGTTTTCTGCTTCAAAGTAAGTAAAAACACCGAGAAATTGGTTTTTACCAAGTGCCTGAAATTTCACTAGTGCCTGGTTTTAGTATTTGTGCTTGTGGTTGCCAGATTTTATCATTCATAATCAATTTCAAATAAATCCAGAAAGTACGATGGTTGACCATATATTGTCAAATGGTATTGCTCATTGCATTATTAAAAACGCTCAAATTGTTGTGGAACAATGAATTTGCGTTAGAAAGCAAAGAATAGTAAGTGCTGACGCAAATAATTTAAGAAAATAACTGCTAAAAACAATGGCAACTGTCACCAAGGAAAATGAAAAATCAGGCACTTGCGAAATATGACACGTCTCCATCAGTCACAAACGGTATTGTATTTTACCAAAATGTTGTAAATTCAACCATACAAAGTGTATATATTTAATTTTCTGCTTTAGAGTAATCAGATACATTGTAAAATAGGTTTTGACCAAGTGCCTGAAATTTCACAAGTGCCTGATTTCTATATTTTGTAATCAATGTTGCCACATTTTACTATTGAAGAATTATTTATACCCTAATAAATTGGAAATAATATTGTTTTATTGCAATATAGGGATGCAAAAAATTATTTAAAGTCTAATTATCTTGTCAGGTAAATTGGAAACCCCAATGACGTACGGTAAAAATAAAAAATATCAAAGTGCCTGAAATGGTGCCTGAAAAAGTGCCTGAATTCGCAAGTGCCTGGTTTTAGGGAGACCCGTATATTTCCCCGGCAATGTCCCACCTATACCTACAGCAATTGGAATTCAGGATGAATTTAGATTAAAATACCGGTATATTTCCCCGGCAATGTCCCCATTATACCTACAGCAATTGGAATTCAGGATGAATTTAGATTAAAACTCTCATGATTTCCGCCTGATAATATTATAATATTACTGTGAAGAAATAAGTCATGATTGCATTATCTATAAAATTTTAAAATGAAACATTTATCTTGAAATTATACAGATCTTTATACAGCGCCATAATTTAATCCAAATTATTATGGAAGTTGACACTGCGACTGAAATTCCAATTGTTACGGAGAATCCGACAGATGCTTCTATGGAAGAACCTGGTGTCTCAGTGGCAGATGCAATAATACAACAATCAGTAGAAGATGAATCTGCTGTTTCTGATACCCGGATAGCAATGCTTGGCCAATCAGATGGTCAGGAGCCAATGGACATACTTGAGAACCAGAATCAACTCACCAACAATGATGCATTGACAGATGAAATCCAACATGAAGAGATAGCAGAACAGAATGAACAAGCTGTGATAGAACCTGCTAAACAAGTTAGTAATTGTGTTCATTCAATTTTTCCAAGAAAGAGTTTCAAACTTTTCTTCAGTCTCGTGTAAAAATTGTCATATTATTTTTCAGTGTATATGCTACTCTATCATATTTCCTATATTAGGCATTTTTAACGTTATTTGTTCGTATTGATAGTTTTGATATCAACAAGTATCACCATTTGTTTGTGATTTGTCAACAAAATCTTGAAGTGGCAGAATTATGCTCAATATTGTGTTATAATTCTGCAAGTTCGATTCCATTGCTTCTTATACTTGATAACAAACCTCTCTTGTCAGAATTCGATTACTGTGTTTCCCAAAAAATAAGACAGAGTCTTATTACAATTTTCTTTCGAAAAATAACGCTAGGGTTCATTTTGGGGGGATGTCTTTCATTTTCATTACGAAAACAAAATTACAAAATAGAGAATTATGAGAATTTCTACTATACAAATAATCATTTAAATCGTGTAGGAGAGATTTCTTGCTGTCGGCTAGGTCAAAAAAATGAAATTTGCACCATCGACTAGGTCTTATTCTAAGGCAAGGGCTTATATCATTAGACTCATTTTTAAAATTCAGGCTAGGTTTTATTTTCGGGGAAACACAGTACTGCAGTATATAAACACATAATACAATACCATGCAAATCATACATTTCATATATTGTTTTGATGTTTTATGGGATAATATGTTTACATCTATCTTGTTGAATATTTTCAGTCCAGCGATTTTAATCTGGGTGTTCCTGGGCTCAACTTTTCTCCAAACAATGTAAAGACAGCAAATGATGGTACTAAGATGGTTCAGATTCATCAGTCTCAAATTACGCCAGAACAGCTTGTAGCATTGCAAAATAATCCTAATATCAAGGTATGCTTGTTATTAATTTTTGGTTATTGACTGGTGGTTGGGAACTTGGGATACTCTTTTCTTCTAGCAGAATTTAAGAATATTATAAAAAACATCATTCCTACTGGTAGAATGATCATAATATTTGTTCTTTCAACGATTTCAATTCATTCACCCTATTCTTACTTTCGTTTCTGGAATCATTGCAAAAACTGTACAAAACCCTGCATTCAGTGAAAAATCGTTCAGAAATTGAATAATGCTGTTTTGCAAATAAATTTGAAAGTATAGTCAAGTTTTATTAAAGTCAGTAAGTTTGTTTTCAACATAAGCTATATTAGGATTCAGAACCTTATTTTTATGTATTATTTCTTTCTAAATATCAAAATTTTTATCATTGGCCATATAATGGATTATGTTATACATTTATTAATAACTTGTAATGTATTTTTAGGTTGTATTTCGACACGTTCCTTCAGGGAAAAGTTATACCAAACCTCCTCGTCATTTGCTACCTCCCGGATACTCAGAACCGATCAGAAAGCGTAAAGCGGTTTATACTGAGAAAGAATTGGGATCTGATGATGTTTATAGCTTTGATGAAGGGGTCGACACTGCTGTACCAATAAAAATGATGAAAACTAATGATAACAGGTAACTTTTGTGTTTTTAAACTGAGAGATCGTTTACTGGCTCTTCTTGAACTTTTTATTAGTGATAGATAAGATTTTTTGCCGAATATATATTTCATCTACTATTTACTTGACTTTAAGACTTGCATGACTTTTGTCTTGACTTGATTGCGAATCAGGGTTAAGGTGTTATACCCAACACTCAAATGGGATATAAAAAGTTGTTATCATATTTAATTTTTCAGGGCGAGATACAACTATGGAGGATCAGCTAAGGGGAAGAAGGGACGACCACGAGTTGTACCTGATGCTGCTACTTACTCATCTATGTATTTGAAACCACTAAAACAATCTAATCTTCCAGCTAAAGTTATTCTCACTGATTTACTTGGAAGGATCAATAGTCCCAATGCCAAAAAAGAGGTGAGATGTCGCATATCGATATTCAATTCAGTATGAGTTGACGCTTAAATTTAGTGTTATGAACCACTGGGATGGTAATTGGGAAAAAAATTCTATAGAAATATATTTTGAAATGAAAATTTTTACCATCTCTTTAACAAATTTGAATTAGTCAAGTTTGGGCTATTTGTATTTATAAATACCTAATTTAAAAATGCCTTCGTGTGAACAAATTATTTTTATGGCACTAGACTGGTTATGTCAAATTTCATTTTAAAAGGTAATTAGGGCTTTCACTTTTGTCCTTATCATTAAGGAGGGTTGCTACATTATTCAATATTTCCCATACTCCCTTCACTCTGAACGAAGCCGGGTACAAGCAGGATTAAAAAGGATTGAAATTTTTAGGTGTTTTTGCACTTCTTTTAATGAAAATTCTGTTATACAGGTAAAGCTTCACACATCCCAGATCAATGCTGAAGTACTAGCAAATATGGATCTAAATCCCTATTACAAAATAGTTTTGACAACTAAACAAGAACTTCCTCCTCTGGTTATCGAAGACGTCAGTACAGAAGAAAAAGAAAGATTGGAAAAGGAAGCGGAACGTGTTAGGAAGGAAGAGGAAGAAAAATTAAAAGCAGAGGCGGAATCAAAAAAAGGGCAAGAGGTGATTGAATGTGTTGAAATTATTACTTATCGATTTCAATCGGTAAGTACCGTATTTCTCCGTGTATAATACGCACTTCTAGTTCCGGATTTCATCTCCAAAATTAGGGGGTGCGTATTATACATTGGTATAAAAAAATTTCAAAAAATCCTGATCGATATTTTACACGCAATTGCCAAATACACATGTTTCCTTTCCGTCTTATTTCTATTAATTTTATGTGACGAAGTCCGTTATAACCAGATCATGCTTGTTGCAGTAGAATCACACCCGCGGAATGGACCATCTTGTCTAACAAAGGACAACGCATCTATTTCAATAACTAGTGTATATAAGTGATAAGAACGTCACTTTAAATCGATAGTTTAATTGTTGTTGTCGTCCAGTCTGGTGTCCGTCATTTCTGTTTTGCCCAATCGGCAAACCTAGCGCTCATAAATTTTTTTTTCCAACCATTTTCAAAATGCTCTTAAGGTAGGTAACAGCACGATAATTCAAAGCCGGGTAACAGTACTCCGAGATTGACAGACACAGACCTGTCGATGTCCTAAACACTTGAAACATATTATTAAAACACAGTGAAACTTGCTAGGCTGGCTTCTCGAAAATACCAAATGCGGTCGACGCAAGTGACCGAAGTTACTGACTGAATTCGATCGTGCGTATTATGCATGAACCTTGGTATTTTCATACAATCCACACCCTAGTAAAGCGGGTGCGTATTATACATGGAGAAATACGGCATGTTGATAGGTATTTGTCTGTCTGTCTGTCTGTTAGATGCACGCAGATTTTGTATGTGCATTCATCATATCTCGGACCAGGAGCCTATTGATTTTGGGCGAATTATGTCATATAATAAGCGAGTTAATAATTAATTAGTGTTGGGACACGCGGTGTTGCTTGAGTTTCAGAGAGGAGAAATCGAAACCGATTGTGTGCGAAACAATGTCATGTCTGCGATGCTGTAGAAACCGCAGTTTCTGTTTTGGGAGATCCCCTTTTTCGTACGATTGTGTGTGTGTGTGTGCGTAACATTGCTCTGTCTGCGATGTTGAGCGATTAGGTATTTTGGTTACACATCGCTTCGACATCACTGAAATGAAATCGTTGTATAAAGCCAATTCGGATACAATCGGAACCATCCTTCGTATTCTATCTTTGCATTTGACACAAACTATAGAGCTATAGGATAGTCGACGTTCGCCATAGAGCATAGGCTATTGGCTGAAACCAAATCTAATTCTTCACCAAAATATCGTTTGGCTGTGGTTGAATAGCCGTCGCAATTGTGGTTAGCGCCGCTGTACTTGACATAAAATATAGGATAATTGGCGTTAGCCATTTTTGGTGGTAAATTGGCTATTGGCTGAAAACTGATCAAAACGATCCAGTTTTGTGTGTTTCAGCAGGATAAATTATTCAGAATGTGGCCAACCAATAAGGGACAATTTACGAGAATAAGTCATGTGAAATCGTACTCCGCAAAAATTGTCGAGTAAAATATTGAACGAGCAGAATATCGATAAGTCGGCGGTCTCCGATCACTATCTCGTTACACATTGTTGTGAATCGTTCTGTGGAGTCGAGAGTTTTGCATGCTTTTATTGATTGTTCGAAGTCACCGAATCGATTTGTATTTTCTGAATCCTAATTTCCATACTTCTAATGGTGGTAATCAAAGTAAAGACTTCGGACGAAACTAAAAGATCATTAATTTGACAAAACATTTTAAACAGCCAATTAAGAAAGGATTGCATAAATCAAATTTTAATCAAAATTCAGCTTTGTCAGATTTGGGAAATGGAATCAAAATTCAGCCAATAGTTGTAACGCTTTTGAGTTAAGAGTCGGAGTTGAGTGTAAATTTTTACTGCCTTCACAGCGCTGCATTTGAGTATAATTTAAATTTATGCACTTTATGTATTGTAAATTATTTTTTTATTATTCTTTTTACTGAGATTATCCTTTAAGCAAATATACTAAATTTCCCAGTTGATAAAACAGTAACAATGTTGAATTGTTCACTTGAATTTATATATTATCTTATCATACTTAGGCTGCGAAAGAAAAGGAAGAAGAGGAAAAAGTGGCAGAGACCATTGATGAAAAAATGGAGCAAGAGGAAGAGGAAAAAAGGTTTGTCAATATTTGTGGTTATTTCTCTGTATTGCAACTTATAATGTCCATGGTGGCATAATGGACTTTTATTTTACTGTTAATTTTGAATGATTGTTTCAAATCGATTTGTTTTACAATTAAGATATGATATATGCCAAATTTCACATAAATCTTGATTTAACTTAAGAATTTTAATTTTTTAATTTCTATGATTATCTGACTGACTTTCAAACTCCACTTTGAGTTGACTAATTTAAATTTTTAGCGCAGGTTCTATATCAGGGATGGCGAACCACTGACCACCATGTTCTTTTCTTGACCCGCCGAGGCACGAATGGAATTAAAAAAAAAAATGCTAACATATCAGTGATCAAAATTGATAAAATCGGCCTTAAATTAATCTAACAATTACTAAACTATTATAATGTACCGTCAGTTGGGCAGTTAGGGCTGCGATCGCTTATATTCAAATTGTTAATTTCTGGGACGATATGGTAATTTTCAAAACCCCTAATGTTGGACGCATGTCTGCACCGCTGTGTAACATTATTCAACTATTGGCTCTGACATCGTTTATGACATAACAATGCAATTGATCTGTTCATTTCTCGCAACGCCTTGTCTCTTTCGGGGGTGGATGTGCAGACTGTTTTAGGGGTTGTTCGAGAACTAGATTCTACTTTGCATTTTATTAGTTTCTCGCCTACAATAACGTTGAGAAAACAAATTCTTTCAGATTTGAAATAAAAACCTAGAAATCTGAAATAACAGTGGGGCAGTGTTAAAGTGCATCAATGTGGTTGAAAGTTGATGAAAAATATAACACTATCAGAGCGGAATTCCCTACAAACTCGTTGAAACCGTAAAATAATTTGCCGCATCATCCTAAACGTTTTTTGGTAATTCATATGCCTGTATTCATACTCTAAATGGATACCAATACGTTACAAACTTTGCTACATACTTGTTTCTATGTTTCTTCCAATATTCAATAATTTTCTATGTACTTCAGGATTGCAGAAGAAAAGGATAAAGAAAGAAAACAGAAAGAAGCTGAACGTCTGAAAAAAATGAAAGAAGAGGAAGAAGAATTGTTAAAATCAGTCATGCAAACGCAAACTTCAAGATCAGGAAGAGTAAGAAAACCATCAAGGTATACTTTTGCTCTGATAATTAGTTCCTTCAAAGTTTTTTTTTAGTACAGATTAAGGATTTTAATTTTTACTATTCGTACGAAATTTCTAAGTCCGAAGTTTTCCATTTTTTGTGAATCATCACAAGAATGGTTGTTATTTTTAATTATATGAAATTCTATTATTCCACATTGGATTTACTGACTTAACATATAGGGATGGGCAATATAGAATACCGAATCCGGAGGATTCGAATCCCAAAGTATTCGAATCCAACAGGATCCGATAACAGGATTCGGTTTCCGCCTCTCCGGCGCCATGCGTCGATTTTTGCATTTCGGGTTTCTAAATACCAATTAAAGACGAGCGTTTTTCTCGCGTGGAAATCTCTCTCGTTTAGCTAGACTTGCGTCTGCTCGGAAAGAACCCGTAAAATCGGTAAACTTCAAACACTGTAATCTCAATCGGCGTATTCCGGACAGGAAGTCGGCGAAGTACATCTCATGGCGAAGACTCGCTATTGCACCATTTTTGCATTTTCGCCAGGCGTCAATTTTTATATTTCGGATTTCTAATTTAACAATTAAAGACGAGCGTTCTTTCTCGCGTTGAAATTTCTCTTGTTTAATTAAACTTGCCAAATCGCAAAGAACCCATAAAATCGGTAAACATCAAACACAGTAATCTCAATCGGCGTATTCTGGACAAGAAGTCGTGAAGTACACCTTACGACGAAGACTCGTTATTGCACCATTTTTTGCGTTTTCCTGCTTTGCTATCTAGCGAGGGTTTAATAATAATAATTATTTGTGCCGACTTACTGGCGATATTCCGATAATTTGATTGCAACAATCTTCAATTGTTTACAGGCGTGCCTTGCTTTATTTTACATTACTGTAAATGATTTTCCGCGACCGGCGAGTTTTCCCCAGAAAATGATGCATGTAAATCAAAAGCCAGGCGTAAAATGTTATGACATCACTTTCGATTAATTTAAATCAAATATTATTTTGGAATAATTTTATTACTCTTATTACACCAGTTTCCGAAATACAAAGTTATATCGCATAACACGACGATCTGTCGCATTTAAATTTCACTCCCAAAAGATTACATATCTTTCGGTCCGTTTCTATCGTTCAAGATAGACGCACGTTTGATCGAGTGTCTGTAGTAATTTTATTCGCCGATAAACTTAAAAAAAAGATGCCACATCTGGCGAAAATAGTTACGTATTGAATTTGAGTAGGGCCAAGTCTGGGTAGATAATGATATGTAACGATAATAATAGAAATTGAATTCGTCTTTAGATGATGTTAACTAATAACTAACTACGAAATCGCGTTTACGGGAACCTTGTTTTGCACGTCTTGATCGCACAGAATAATAAGTTGATTTTAATTGATAGTGGTTAAATTTAATATTTTACACCGGTCGCATAGGTTGCAGTGGCCACACGCTGGTCCCGCATCTAAATAATTCTCAGCGGGTGTGTTTTAGTATACTCGACACTCTATAACATTAATAATGATTTAATGCCGTTTCATATCTATTTTTGTATTTAACCGCTTACTATTAAAGTGTTTGAAGCGTAATTTAGCATATAAGTATTTAGAGATTACATACATTTGGAACAATTGAAAGCAAAAATATTGTAATATTCTTAGATTTCATTGTCCTGGGAAATGTCTGTTTAGTATCAAATACAATGTTAAGGACATTTCCAAATAAATAATACATTTATAGTAATACATTTATAATTTTTTGACATCTAAATCCAGCAATCAGGAAAATTCCCTCTATTTGAATAAGTATGAAAATAGAATAGGATTCGGTATTCTGGATTCGATTTAACTATTCTAGAATATTTTAGAATAGTAAATTATTCTACATTGCCCATCCCTAATAACATAGTCATATTTCATTAACATATGTGCAACTTTTTTAAACCAGGTTCTCTCTTGATATTGCTCGTCTTACAAAACGAAAGAGTGTTGGGGTGAGTGGAGAGACTTCCACAGATGATAGCGAGCAAGAACCTCAAAAGCCTGCAACTCCAAGGTCGGCAAAGAAAACGCCAGGCAGAAAGTCAAAGGTTGCTTCAGAACCAGAGACAGAGCCTGAATCAACACCTAAGAGAGAGAAAACGCCAGGCAAGAAGTCGGAGGATACTCCAGAACCACAGCCCGAACCATCACCAAAGAGAGAGACCAGGCGTTCTAGGAAAAGCGTCGATCCTAAAAAGGATAGTAATGATAATAAAGACTCTGACAAAGATGATGAAAGTGCCAAAAAAGGAAAGAAGGCTGATACTCCGAAAAAAGGGAAAAAATCAGATGTTCAAAAGGGAGAAAATGATACAGAGAAAGACGATAAAGAAACTGAAAAAGATGCTGATGACACAAAAGAATCTGGAGAAGATCCAGAGGAAAAGGCAAATGAAACTACAGACAATAAAGAACAGGAAGCCATTGAATCGGAAAAGGAAGAAAAAACTACAGACAAGAAAGAACAGGAAGCCACTGAATCGGAAAAGGAAATAACTAGTACAGAAAATGTTGAACCTATTAAGATAGAGACTGACGACGTTCCTGATAACACAGAAAGGAAGAAGGATGATGATGTAGTTTCTGCTGAACCAGATACATCAACAGATGCTACAGAGACTCCAGCTATAGAACAGAAAGTAAGGGCTTGTCGTTTGATGAACTAGTACTGTTGAATTTAGCTCCATTGTCATGTTTAAAAACGGAAGCAATGAAATTTTACTATTCCATAAAGTTATTTTCTATGACAGTGGTTACCATCTGGGGGCTGTGGCCCCCCAAGCGGGTCCACAGAGGTGGGGCCATAATGATAGGCGCGAAATTAATTTTAATGGAATTTCGTTTGTATACTTTGCCCTTAGAAGAAAATTTCATGTTCTACATAGTTTCATACTAGAAATACCACTGAAATGATAAACACGGCAGCCATGAGTGCTAAAAGCCTCCAAAAAGGGGCCGCGAGGCATAAAAGGCATGCTATGATTTTGATGTGGTATTTTTCAAAATAATATGAATTATTAATTCTAGTATGTTAGACACTTAAAATATCGTACTCGTGCTTATCGTCGTTTTATGTGTATGCAAAACCTCAATGATTTAAAGTTTGTAAACCCAGCAAATAATCTGTTCACAATATGATAAACACTGCTTTTCCGCCTGTGAGTAAGGGTGTTCACAAATATGGTTTTAAATAAAAAGTTATGACATTAGAAAAAATCAATCTCACTCATGGGTTACTAATATTTAAAAAAAAAAATTGAAGGTTGGAGCATTGTGCTGAGTGTTACGAGCACACTTGCCATAGCACCTCTGATTTCCTAGCGTGGGTTCCCTGATTCCTCACCATCATAGGGTGGTTCTATGGCATTGTCCAATACAATTAGGCAATATTATAGGCTTTCTCCTCTCTCAAGATGAATACGAAAATTCTATCTTAAAATTTGTGCCAAATTATAGTTGTATATCAAACTGAATATTTTTAATTTAAGACCGAAGATCCTAAAGCAATGGAGGTCGATGAATCGTCAGAATTGAAAATAGAGGAGGAGGAAGAAGAAGAAGTAATAGACAATCGATATAGACTAAGAAAATTATTAGAACAGTGTTCAGCAGAAGAAATCAGAAGTGTGATGCTTCCCGAAGCTTTTGAATCTATCAATATGGGAGATTTCTTGCTTTATAAGGTTGGTACAATTGTTGATGAAAGATATTTTCGTCACTGAAGATTGTTTTTTAAATGCCTATTTGAAGTTTGAGTCATTGACACGACCTGTCCTATAGTCTTAAATTTGTCAGAGCATCGAAGTGACTCGAGTCATCTATTTAGAATGTCTTAGGCTTGTCATTGACTGACTGCCAATAGACTTGGCTCCATGATTGACTTCATTTCAGTCCTGGATGACCTGTGACTCGACTTAGCTTGGGACTCTTGGTTTGTGGCACCACCTATTATTCAAACTGACAATTTGGACGATGTTTTTTGCGCAAAGAAATCTTATTTAAAATTGTGTGTCACTGCTGGCACAATGCAAAATGTTGATATTTCTTTCTTTTTTACAGTCTGGTCAAATGAATAATGACAGTGGAAAAATAAGTTTTCCTCAATTATACAAGCAATTTGAAACACTGCATAAAGCTGCGACAAAAGAAGCAACGAGATATAATACGTTGGTCGGAAGAGCAAATAAAATAGGCGGAGACAAAAGAATGGAAAAAATTGTGCTAATGCCTGTATACAATATGAATGTAAGTATTACTTTATATATATTTGTTTTTATACTGTGATAATAATTTCACTGTAAAGACACTTTTTTCGTTTTTAGTAGCCAATTTACTATACCTTGCTTTGCTATACTTTGTTTCGCTAAAATCACATTGGCGTTCTTGTTTGGGAAAAATCCGTTCTATCTGCCGACCCTACAAAATCGTAACATGTCGCGCGCACCTATCACAGCAAATGGCTGCTGAAGCAAATTAGTGCGTTTAGAGTTATGTGCCTATAACCTGAAATTTTAGTTTAGAGCTATGCTTGTGCACGTATAAGCAGATCTCCTAGTTTGGCGACTTTTTTTGAGTTTATACATTGCTTGTGTGCGAGGATATACAGTACTTCTAGTTTTTTTAATCATCGGATAATAATAGTAACAGATAATTTACTGGAATTTTGCAGTATGAAGGAAGTATATCAATGAACAGATTGTCATTTATTGTTTCTAAAAATATTTCTTATGCTATACTGTATTTCCAATTTAATTTGGATATATTTTCCAAAGCCTTTTCATTCATTACGGACATCCCATAGTAAAATCTTTCATTTCGGCATTTTCAGAAATTTTTATTTATGCATTATTCTTCATCTAGGCTGCTAACTCACTGGAGATCAGTAATTCAAGCATTGATGCTCACATATGTGGGATTCAGAAAACAGTAACGACACAAATGATCGCAGCCAACTCATTTTTTATCAAGTCGAAAATGGAAACACCTAAAATAAGATTAAGACTTCCAGAAGCTACTGGTATTACTTGATTCATATTTTTAATGCTTCTTTACTCTAGGGAAATTCAAAGATACTTGATTTTTTTGCTGCTTTATGAAAGAATGCTAAACTACTTCATATGTAAAAAGTGTTATAAAATTATTCGAGACTACATATTCTGTGCGACCTAGTTCTATTATTCCATCTATGGTATAAAATATTTGTGACAATGTATGGTTCATAAACAATTTATTCAAAGGAATTTAAATGAAATATACATACCGGTACATGCATATGTTGATAATGCAGAAAAATTATAATAACGATTCTTTTGATTCATTTTCTATTAATGCAATTGTGACAGTTGAATGAAAACAATTTTTAATTATGCTGTCAGAAGTTGGTTGTACTAAATAATAATATATAAATAAAATTTTCTTACTTATTCTTATAACTTATTTTTCTCTTTAATATTTTAGTTTTATCTTGCTGACAACAGAACTTTATATCTTATAGCACCGAAACCTGTGAAACAAAAACAGAGACGCCCATTGTTCACCAACCATCATCAACAAAGATTTGTGACGAATCAGAGGCAAATTGAACCAGACAGCACAACTCCTGATAAACCGAACAGAGCATCAAATCATATACAGAAGGCTAGATACAATCATAGTAATACGAATGGAATACAGGTAAGTAATTTATGACTGAGATATATCTATATCGCTTGATTGTAATCAAAAATTTCAATTATATTTATTTAATTCAGGCTCGAAAACTAGCTTACCTCGATCAGTCCAAAACAACAGGTCAGATTTCATCGACTGGACAAAATCACATGGACAGTACAACATCTTCAACATTGACTGGAAATACTTTCCAAATACCAGTAGAGTCCACTAGTATCTTAAAAGCAGATGCGCAGACTTTGCAGGTACTCACATTATGGTTCAATGGTAATGAGACAAAATATAATATCCTAATGATATCATCGATCTTAGAATATGCATAATGTATTGTGTGTCCATGCTTAGATTTGTTTAACTTCTCTTGTTATTTTTTCTTACTTTGTTATTACCCCAAACCATATATTTTTGGTTTGGTCCCCTTTCTAGTTCTCTAAGTTTTAATTTTTTTGATGTCTGCCTATTGTGCACTGCTCAGTTTTGGTCTTAGTGCTTCGCTAAAATGAGTAGATCATAGTTTGATTATTAAATAAGTTTGTGCTAATTTTAAATCTATTTTTGTCTATCTGAGTGATGCACTATTAGGTTACTTCGCAATCTTGAAATTCTGGATTAGTTTTTTTCTTATAGCCCTCTAAAAAATGTGTTAAAAACTGTTTACATTTGATCTTCTGTTCATAGTCTCCATGATTGAAATTTCTTAATGCCCCAGTTATTATATTTTGTAGATGTCATCAGCATCTTCTGTCTTGGAACAATTTCAAGCCACAGTGAACGCACATCAACAAAGTATTGTATCCACAACTGAAAACTCCTCCCATGCCGTTCCCGAATCTATCTCACTAAATCCATCTACTGGGGAGATATTATCTTCTGCAAATGACACTGCAAGCACTAACACGGTGTCAGAAACTACGACTGCACAAACTGAACAATATTTTGTTGCAGAAGATGGTGTTCCTGTTTCTGAGGCCTCTATTACTGAAGGTATAACGATACAATACAGCATTTTTCATGTTTGTACCAGATTTGGTTTTTTATGCGTTTACTTTTACGTTTACCATTTCTACAACTTGCGAAATTTCATTAACCTGTGTAATAAATTATTTTGGGTTCGACAATAAAGAAATAAACTCATGAAATTGAACAATTATTTAAAACAATCTAATTATTGTGCTGCTCCTGAACTAAAAAAGCTATTTTTATACTGGGGAAAATGCATCCAATGTTCTCTACATCAATGTGACGGTGATTCTGACAAGGCTATGCAAGGCTCAAAAATATTTGGATTCCATCTAGGAGCGAAGATTATTACATCGAAAGCATAGATCAAAAGTGGAAAAGAAATCAATCAGCCATAAATTAGTGTAATAAGTCTCCAAATTACTAACAAAATTTTCATTCGCCTCTGAACTCGAACAGCTGCATTTGTTACCCATTACAGAATTTTTATTTACTCTTGGCTGAACCATTAACCCGATAAAGAACATGGCTTTAAATAGCAGAACTGGTAGAGAACACGATATTAGACTGGTGATAAATTTTATAATCTCATTTCAGGTGCAGCTGGTGAAGCCGGGAAGCAACTTGTACCTCTTGGCGATGGACAATATGTTGAACTACCAGAAGGATACAGTTTAATCCAAACTGATGAAGGTTACATCATAGGCCAACCAGGAAGCACTTTCACACAGGTGAGTTCTATTCTATGTTGGGTGCTCCCAAAGTATCCGTACCAGGTTAGGGTTGTCCAGGTTGTGCGTCATCTTGCTACGAATACTTCCGGAGCGCCCTATGTTGTCCTCAAGTACAGAAAGATGTTAATTACATTTTTGAAGTGTTGATTTATTATCTGCCAAAGCATGCAATTGCTTAGTTTTTTATTTATTTATCTGAGGTTTATATATGTGGGCTGATTTTATTTTAATAGGGAGAGGATGGAAACGTTTATGTTACAAACAGTGATGGCACTACATCAGAAATTACACAAGAGGTAATTTGATTCTTGGATATCATATTGCATGCATAAAAGTTATTTTGTTTATATCTCTATCATTACGTCTTAAACATAGTTAACCTCATTGACAGCTTGTGCCAATTATGAGATTCAATCTTTTTTAAGTGACTTGCTCATAAAAAATTTTTTATTTTATGTATGGTTATGTATATGTCATGATGAAAAAAAAATTGCAAATTGAAAGGGATTTGCTGACAAAAAACACTAATTATTGCATTTGGCTGCGCTGAAATAGTGAAAAATTCGTAAGAGTAGTGCAAGACTACCCATTGGGGCCATTATCCTTGTTTATGTTGGTAATAGCTGTTCCAAGTTCTCCACAAGAGTCTTGCTGGTGCCCACGTATGAGCTGGTCCAGAGTTTTTTAGACAATGGCTGAATTGGGAAGAATGAAAGAGCATATTAACTCTTTAACCAACTAACGCTTTGGACAGGTTTGATGGTTGTATATTTTCTGTCAGCAGGATGTTGCAGCCGGAGGTGAAGGTGTGAATGTGGTCGATCAACTTGCAGAAGGATGATTTCAGCAATTTCACTTATCGATCAAAATAGTATGTTGGGTGACAGCCAAGGATAAACTATGTGCCTGCAATCGACTATTTATCAATGAATTACATCCATGTTGTAGTACGAGAAATTAACGAATGAAGACCATTTTTGATGCAGGATCATCTGCTGTCATATACTTGAACTTAGTGATAATAAGATGATGATCTGAGACCTGAATTATTTTCATACAAATGTATCAGGCCATGTTTCTCACACAGTAAATGATGGCAATAGTTATATTCCGTAATGTCATATCATATGATTTTGGTCATGGAACAGGACATTGATCGCATGTCTTTTTATTTTTAGAGTTTGAGTCGTTTTTTAATCGATTTTTTTTAATCATATCAGGTTATCATGAATTGAATATCAAATGTGTAATAGCAAAGGTCCCCATTCTCATTGACAAATGCAGAGAATTCTCACAAGTTACTTATCATGACCATTATAAAAAATCGGCGGTAAAAACATTAAAACGATATAAATCTGCATGTCCCATACTCAGAGATTTCAGTTAAAGCAAAATTGAAAAATTGCGCTCCTAGAGAAGGAGTTTTCATATAACTCCGATGCCAACAAAAACATTAAATAATTCTAAAATCTTTCATGAAGGTACGTTTTCATGTTAATGGGACCTTTCCTCCTAGTTCGTTTTGGCTACTTAATTAAACACTTATGATATTCTTTCCAAACTATGAACAATTTCAAAACAATGTCATGAACCCAGATTTAGTCATTGAGTATAGTAGAAATATTTGCCAGTTAAATTTCTACTGTTGCTTATGAGAGTATAATAGACAGTGAATATTGGTGTAAGATGGTTAGCGCAAATAGTTTATTTTGACCGACCATTCTAGCTTTATTTGCCCCAAACTAACTTGACTTATCGCAAAGTGTGAATATATCATGCTGCCTGAATTATTTTCAAATGAGGTCAATCATTTGAGTTAATCTGCCACATAATATATATATATTGAAAGTGAGGTATCATTGTTTTAATGGTTTCGTTTTTGGAACTTGAACTGATTCACCATGTCCTGGTTGTATAAAGTTGTGTTTAGTTGCATTTTTTCTTAATTTTCACCATGTGTATTAAATAAACAAGTTGTATGTTTTCAGACAAGAAAATGCCGATGATTGTTTTTAGTGATTGATCTTGGGTTCATGATATGAGGTGGAAAAAAGTTCGGAAGATTTGAATAAAAATTTAATGAAATCTTCCAATCTTGCCCGATAGGTAAAATTTTTAAGTGTCGTAAAGCGGTAGTGCATAACATGTCTTTATGGTGTGTACTTCTTTGCATTGAGGGAGGGTATGAATATCATTAAAATAGATAACCTGAATTCATTAGGTGGTAATTTGAAAGATTAATGATAGCACACCTCGTGGTTTATCTGGCAACTGCAACCCTTTTGTGACAGACTGCTTAATTTTAGTGTGAGAAGGGGTTGACAAATTCTCTGCTGCAACAGCCCCATTTATGCAGACAGTGATCGATAATGGTTTTTCGAATAGGAAATTGACTTACATGCTAAGGCAGTCTGAATGAGTGGCTTAAATAGGCCATGTTCTCTGCTCTTCCTGGTGTTGCAAAATACAAAAAACTTGGGTGTACATTTTTAAGATGAGGTCAAGCATGTTTTGGACTTGGATTGAATATGCGAACAAAAACATCACTCTGTAAATCGTTAGTCAAAAAAAGTCAGGTAAGGTTAAGATATCTACAGCTGACAAAATGACAATTTAGGCTTCAGAAAAAATATGATTCTACCGCCTGACCCTTGACTAGTGTTCTAAGCTGTGAACAAGCAAACACAAAATATTCATTATAAAAATTATATTTGGATTATATAAATATGAAGAATTAACGCAACTTTAGACTATAAGTGGTATCGTGTTGGTAATGAATGTATCGTAGTATAATACTGCAAAATTAAAAAAAATTCATAGAACTCAGTAATATAATTGCGATGAGCACCCTCAATTAACAATCATCCTCTTGTGGCATGAATCAATATATATTGCACTTTATCGATAGTTTATTTTTAATATAAAATCAACGTAGCGGTTTTATTGGAACCGTTATTGCCATAAATTTAGTTCATTTAAAACATATGGTATAATGGTTGTGCACACTACTCCAGAAAACATGCTTGTTGAATATTTATACAATAGTTCAACCTTTGGATGCCTTTTTGCCTGAGTTTTATCTTCTATTGAAACTCCTTTGATAGATGCAAAAAATCTTAAGGATATTTTCCGAAATATTACTGAAAGAGAGATTGTTGCTAAACCACCCAACGCAAATTTTATCAGAGCATTCTTCAAATCACAAGAAGGAATTGGTAATAATTTATCACCAAATATATAAGGCTTATGATACTCGTATAAGTGTTGATGAATGCTCCATCTTGATCCAATCAAAAAACCTAGAAAAATTTTCAATTACAATTGATAGACTTTGAATAAAATTCTTACACTTTTTATTCAGGCACCTAAGTGAGCATGATATCTCCATCCTTGGTAGACGGTGAACAGATTAGTCTTGTCATTATCCAAACAAATTTTACCAAAACATACAGGGTGTAATTAATTAGGGAAACCAGGCCCGAACTGGTAATACTCAATTTACTTCAATATCTGCACATATGTTGAGATAGCTGTATGAAGTCTTCTGAGGAATATAAAAAATCTCTTCAAATGAGATAATAACCAGCTAGTTCAAAGTTCACGCAGACCTGTTGATCTAGCATTTTTCAAATAAGGAAACCTGTTGTTAGTGAGGTCGATAAGAAGATATAATATTGAACCCTATCACTGAATACAATATGTATTACCTGTACAAAATCCCATAATTTCAGCCTGATCTCCTCTTGCAGTGTTCCACCTTGGTTTACCAGTTTCTGGGTCAAGACCAGAATCCAAACGAAAAATCAACACAGAGAGTAGCCAACTTGCAGCAGTCATTCCTGCAGTCCACAAACTGTTTTCAACCAGTTTTTCGTCGAATGAATTGACGGTTGAAATAGAAAAATATAAAATGCCTCCAGCTCCAAGTGCACCAACTAATACTTGCTGAATTTGGAATGAATAGAGTTACTGCAACTCAGAAAACAAATGTTAATGGCTGATGGCAACTAATTGATTGCTAAGAAGGATTCACCACCACCACTTGGAGAACAAAACAATAAAAAGATGACTCTAAAAACACTTTAGTCATTTAAACCCCAAATAAAGTATTATGATATAAGTATGGTCAATTCCAAATACGTTGCTATCTCGATTAAATTTCTTATTAACATCAGACAAAAAAATATCAGCATATATACCGAATAGGATGGGATTTACAACAATGGATATCATATGGCGACCACGACCTCTCGTCCAGTTACCAATTCATGTCGGGTATGAGATTAGACAGTTATCGTTGTTTTCGGAAGCATGGACTTGGGTGAGGCTTGACAAAATTCGGGCCGGGTCGGGCTTCTCTATCGCTGACTTTTTTTTAAAATGAGGCGTTTTGGCTACGAGAGACTGCAGTCTGCAAAAAACAGAAGTCATCGACATGACACATACTGTACTAAACTCTTGCAAGGACAATTCAAAAAACTCCTGAGGAAAGTATGAAATTTCAGGTTTACTTCGGGCTCGGGACTGCAAATCCAGTTTATTAGTCAGGTTTAATACCCACAGGGCTGGGTCGGGCCGGGCTGAAATTTTTGGGCCTGATCTTACCTCTAATGTAGATTGTGAATCACCAATGTTTTTATTATAATCTCTCTATAATATGTGATTTCTGTAAACTGCTTCCATGAAGGCGTTAATTAATAAGTAATAAAGATAGTAATTTTACACACCCAGACGCTATGCATTCCAAGATAAATTCGACTTGATGCCACCAGTGTTGTCCATAAAGTAGCAGCTATTAAGCACTTTCGATCAGGAATCTGTAATAAAAAAATAGAATCTCGATTATGATAGACAAATTGCAGTAGAATTTGTATTGTTTCAATGTAAATAAATACTGCATGTTCTCATCACTTTTAATTCATCGTTTTCTCTGACGGCTGGGATAATGAATTGTTCAAGACTGCCTTCATTAATGCTAAATTTTTGTTGAAATGTGTATGACAGCTGATTCTGACGACTTTGCCAAATGAAATTCAGGATTTGACTTAGGATTAATATACGTGATATTTATCGACCAGTTGAGCATAAACTATTGATTAATAGTTTTTTGATATTTTCTATTTCCGTGCATAATACCAAGACCAAGTTGGACATTGAAAATGCGTATTATACACAGAGAAATACGGTACACCTTAGAAATAGATTTTCAATTACCCATATTTAATAGAATGTATACAGATATAACTTAATGACGATAACAAGAATGTTGTAGGTGCAAAGGTCTGTTTTTGTTTAGGCAATAATTTTATGCATTTACACTATAATGCTTCAATATAAAATCAATAAAAAGTGATCAATGTTGTATAATTAATTAAAAAGAAAATCATGGATGGAGACATTAATAAATGAGGTGAAGATTCATAAGTGATCAATGATGTCTCATTATAAACCTAATTATTATAAGTTGATAAATTTTCATAGAATATTAAATTAGTTCAAAATTGGGGTTTAAAAAGTTGTCACTATAAACAAAAGAATGTGTTCACAATCCAAATGATTCACCTGATATATTTGTCTTGAAAATGCATATAAAGCGAATGGTGCAACTGTACCAGCCATTGTATGAGTCGATGGCATTCCATATTCAGTTACATACATTTCTTCTAACCGTATAACTGGTGGAGATGATGGCCGAGTTTCTCTCAGTATATCCTGTAAAATTTGCAGTAAAAAGATCCATCATATATATATATTTGCATTGTCAAAAACAGTTAATTAATTGAAGCTATAATGAAATTAAATTTACCTTGGAACTTTGCCCAATATACATCACTAATGCAAGTTTTGTCAAAGTTTTTCTCGCTACACCAACATTGATCATCCAGCTACATATAGGCAGAAATGCGTAATAAAATGGTTCTCCAGCTAAGTGTGATCCAATCTGCATTGCATAATATACCATCTTATTTTTTATAATGTAATCATCAGGTATAATCTCATCACTTTTTTTAATATCATTGTTTTGAAGTAGTTCTGCTGGAAATATTGGGTCATCAGGGTCAGAACATCTCCATTGAACTCCACAAAAGCGTTGAAAATATGCTGTGATGTGTGGGCTAGAGCAGGGGCGGACACTTTCCATAATTTTGGGGGGGCGAACTTGGATCGCCTACCGAAAAACACCGCGCCGTGTATCGTCACGTAACAATAACCTGTCGATGTCATTCTCTAAGTATTAGCATGTCAGTTTGCTACTCATATATCGATTACCTAGGCTGCTTTGCTCGGACACGAAACTTGCGCGTCACTGAACCAATTTCTTGAATTCCGCGAGAATTAGCCCACGGCTCTTGCTAACATACAGAAAATAACAAATTTGAGGAGTCGTATTAGGTTATTGTTTCAATTCCTAGTTCTGCATAAAGCGCACTAACGCCGTTTCGTGAAATTAGAAATGCAAAACAAAGTAACAAGGTATTGTGCGAATTTTTTTCCTAAATTTTACCAAGGAATTATCATTTGACTAGTAGAATTGCCATTATTGCCGATTTATTAAATCATCATTTGAACTCGAAATAACATTCAGGATTCACGCAATGACTTTGCAGGGTTTTTATTTATAATTTAATACGAAAATAAACAGGCACAAGTTCAGGCGCGCAGCCAGGATTTAAAAAAAAAAGGCGGGGTCAAAGTCGGAACTTCCCACTGCCGTCTGCAACAAGCACCGCGATTACGCGCTCAATAAAAGAGCCGCCTATTTGAGCGTATAATGATTTTTCTGTCGATCCATGACAGCCACGAGATTCTAAAATGTCCTTATATATTAAATTGTGTGCTACCTAACTCGCGGTTGCGACTTCTTACGTCAAAATAAAAATATTACTAAACTTAAAGTACCACGGCGATATGTGGACATAAAAATATGAGATAAGCTGCCTGATGTATTTAATTTTGATACGTATTTTTGCAATCTTCCGAACTCGTTATCGTCGTTACAAAAATCTCGATATCTGATATAAAATCGGATATAGTACAATTTTAATTCATACAATGAAAATAATTATAAGGTATACTAGTAAATCAAAAATACAAATACACCGCCTCAAAATCCACGCGGAACAGTCGCCGCGATTACGCCACTTGTTAATAGAGCCGACTTCATCAACGAAAAATGATTTTTCACTTGTGCAAAGTAATCAATCAAAGACCGATACGGGCATATTCAAAATGTCTTGATTTATTAATTTAATTGTCTTCAATTTAAACTGCGGTTGAGTCGACAAAACAAGGGCCACTCTAAAACACGACGGAAAAAACCTTTCGAAAAATCCGTAAATTTTCTGTCAGTTCTCACGTAGTAAAAGTTATTTCAGTACAATAAAAATACATAAATAAATACAAAAAGTGATCGATTATACTTTAATTATCTTATATATCATCACAAACCGTGGAAAAGTCGCGTTCTCAGCTTTGTTTAATGTTAACACGAAAATTTTCGACGTCAATTTTAAAGTAATGGATAAAAAGGCAAATCCCGCTCACAATTGACCGTGTTTCGATTTTAGTAACGAAATATTTTTAAAGGTCAACCAAACATAATTTGTGCCGTTGGCACACGAAATTTTGCGATTTTCGATGCCTAGAAAAGCGTTTTTAGACTGTCGCGGGCCTCAAAACTTATATTGTTTACAGTTTTATTTTTAGTATTTTATATTGCCGCTTTTCAACTTTTCGACAAAGTAAATGCTTTGATCTTTGCCCGCAAATTATGCTGGGCCTTGCACGAAATCCATAACGTAAAAAGATACGTCCCGCGGTGAAAATTGTTTAAAACAACTTTAGATCTAGTTAATTTTTTAGCGATAATAATTAATTGTTGTAATGAAACACAGTTTGCCTCTTTCATTTCTTTCGCAAGTGCCAACAATAACACTATTGAAAGATTTTGACAATGAGAAAATCATATTAAATTGTACAAAAATGAGTTAGTTGTGCAAAACCGTGGCGCGTGATCGGCGGTGCGTTTGAAGACGGAGTATTACCCGTGCGGGCGCGCATGTTTCACGAAAATGTGAGGTGCTCCGAAGGCGCATTATTGTAAGAAAACAGTTATAATATCGGTAACTATTAACCGTTTAATGGCGCTTGACTATCGCTTCGGAAATGATAATTTTGTAGGGCGGAAACAACATGTATTAAATTTTTTTGCGAAATTATTGGGGGGGCGACCGCCCCCCCTCGCCCCCCCGGGTGTCCGCCCCTGGGCTAGAGAGGGATTCTATCAAGCTTTTCATAACTGTAGTAAGCTAAATATGTAATATGCTAAAATAAAGAACAGAGAAAGTAATTAATAAAAAGAAAAATGAATGCATAGAGTTTGAGAACATTGCATATAAGTATTCATTCATGATACGATGAATAGATACCGATGTAAGTGTAAAATCACGCGAACATCCAAGGCAACGAGGAATGCGTCTTCCCGGAACATTGAACCTTACAGCCTTAGGATGATGTGCTAACCAAAAGTGCAACAGCTGACGACCTGTTGCCTGTTCGACTAATTGTATATTTTCCCGTCTTTCAAAAGGCTTCACATGCAGACATATTGCTAATATAACTAAATAAATCTAATTCTAGATCAACTATTTTTAAATCTATGCGTATTGCCAAACCTGACCTGGGCCGAAAAAGGCCATGGTTCAAACATGATTTCTGTAATTATCACTGGACCAGCCTCGACTTTTCCTACATTGCACTACAATGCAGAGTTCGTTATTTGAGCTGTTTGTGGTCACAAACAAGCCAGGCATAAATGTTGCCAAACACTTCAGTATCATTTTACTTCCTAATTTTTCACAAAATCAGGTTTGCAAAATAAATTACTGACCGAGTTGAAACAACCAACTACGCCAAAAACCCACGCACAATATCAGTTACTCAGCGCTGTCTAAAGAAGTACCGAAAACGATAACGACAGTCCATGGCCCATGGATAAGAATAATATAGTTCTATACCGCATAAGTGCATCAAGCATGCTTCCCATGAGAATCATTCACTCCAGAAACTAGCAACGCCGCGAGAAGCTGCCTCACAAAATAAAAAATAAATCAAATATAATTGTTTGATGTTTTTATGGGGAATCCTGAATTTAAATTCGACGAAATTTGATGGCTATATTAAAAGAACAAGGATTGCTCTCACTTTAACCAATGTAGTTCACCACCTACGTGCATACTTCAGAATTATAATTGAAAAAAATATACTTTCCAATTATATTTGGTGCTCAATTCAATACATTTGGCATTCAATACATCTTGCGCACCAGCCACCAATTTATCTAGATAGTTTATAGATGAATGAAAGTGGCCTAGCGCACCTCTTCATTCATCCAACTTGATGCTATTTTCGTTGGTTAATTTGTCATTATGTAAATTGTACATTCGCACAATTTCAAAATTGCATATATATTGCAAATGCAAAAATATTCTATATAAATTTATAGACTCCGACACGCTTGGCCATTGGCCATTTTATTTATACTATAATATTGTTCTGTTTCTTGAATTGGTATTGAACTTGGGAATCCTTTATCCTATTACCATTTTTAATATGTGCGCATTCTCCTAAATTATTATTCTCTCTGGTTTCATTATATTCCCTTTGTTTGTGTGAATGTATAACAGAGTAACAATTATTAACGTATTTTAGACGGATGGAGATATTTGATTTGCACCACTTTTGGAAACTTTTTATTTAAACCTTGCCCGTTTTAAGCTTTTCTTAGGTTTTGTTTACTCCACGGATTCCGTAACAAGTTTTAATTAGTTTCGTTCGTTATGAAGAAAAAGGGGCGCTCCAGAAGTATGTGTACCAACAGGAGGTAACTAATTTTGTTCGCCCACTTTACATCAAGTTGTGGAAAGGGACTGAAACCTATGGGCAGAGGAGAATATCGTAATAAAATTATGGCCTAACCCTAACCTGGTACACATACTACGAGAGTACCGATTATTGAGTCCAAAAAACATGAATTTTTATAATGATCCTATTTCATTATCAGTTGCTTCCAGAATTGCATATGACGTAACAAACGAATCAAATATCATAAAATACAAACCTTTTCAGTATTTACAAAATTCATATTGAACGATGGAGAAGCAACCGACTCGCCAATCTGCTTTGCAAGCGAAAGCAATAGCCGCAGCAAAATTGGTTTTACAAGATTTGGATCCTGCAGCTAAAAAGCGAAGACAACTTTTCAGCAGCGGTCGTCCACAAGGTTTTACATTTAAAATCCTAAAAACTGCTGGTCACTTAGTGGAAAATTGTTCTTTAGTTCACGTATTCCACGGAATGTGAAAATCTTTTCAATAATCATATTTTTAACTATTTTTGAAAATCAAACAAATGTAAACATAAAGCAAATGTGTTAATATTATGTAAATATCTTTACAGGTATATTGGCAATTCATTTCAAAACTCTCAGGAATTTCAGCAAAACCTTTTTCTTCACTTCTACATTTGCTGGTTGCTCGGAAATTCGGTTATTCCTCAAGATATCAATTCAAGTTGGTAAAAACCGTGGTGTTTTTTATAGTAAAGTATAGTGATCGGAGTTTCCAACAGATTTAAACATAAATATATTAACTTGATTACTTTAAATTTTGCGCTCCAGAGGTTTTGTGATTTTTGATTTCCAATTATCCTCCTAGACCTAGACTATTTTATTATAAAAGTTGAAGCTTATTTCGAATGATGATCACAATTTCTTTTCAAAAATCAATAACTTTTAACGTTGCATTTTTACAGAATTCAGTGAAATGTTCAAAAGTCCTCACAGTGCGGAAAGATGCTGCCAATCAACAGAAATCAAAATTAGTATTGGGAAAACAGAATAAATTATGGCCACGAAAGTAAAGTTATATTTATTGAAGTCGTATGTTTAAAAAGCAATTCTGACATATGAGTCTTTTCTTTCTAGTGATTTATTGATGAAACATGTTTCTTCTTGTATGTGAACATTCGGAGCATGGTGATGATTTCAATGTTTTCAGAAACCATTTGCAATAAAAAAAGTCATGTACAATTACGGCTTTGTATCAATATCGTCGCAAGTATTCGAGATTCGATCTGAAACAAACATTCGATTCGATTCTGAAATCATGTATATATTCTAAAACGCCTGGTCTGATTTCCTGCTTTTTTCTAAAAGTAACAGCAACGTCATGCCCAATAACACTTTGTAAGTGTAAAACTTATCAGACTATGTTTTCTATGCTCAAATTAACAGATCAACTGATTTTTTTTTCTTTTACCAGGGCAACACCTACTTCTAGTGACATGCGACAACGTGGCAGTTCGGTTATGAATCATAGAGAAAGTTTGGCCACCGGACATGCTGAAATAACATTGGACGAATTAAAGACATTTTCTTTGGAACTTTCAAATAAACATGAAGACGCAGATAATAAAATTATACTAGAAATTATGGAAGCAGATTGCGCAAAAACAAGATCGGCATTGAATATCGGGTAAGTTCAAAAGTATATTATATCATCTAAGTCAAGGCACGTGTAATTGATTCGACAAGTGCAGTTGAATACTAGTTATATTATGTGATATATAATTGATATTTTAAATTGACTTCATGTCTCATTTATTTTAACAATGTTCATTAACCAATAGTAGTTCACTTTATATGTATATATAATAAATATGCGATTTCATAAATAAATACAAATAAAACGTATATATATATATATTTGGTCAAACAGGCTTTGTCGAAATTATGGCAGAAGTCGAATTAAACCACGTACAATATAACTATATTCAAACATTAAATTCATTTTCGGAAAATTTGTTATTCTAACGAAAATATGTTTTAGGTGTGCATCCTTACATCTGTTTGATTTAATAAAAGAAATGTACGGTACAAAATCTACGCCCCTCATGATAAAAGATAAAAGAATAGCAGATCTCGATTATGAATATGTTTTCCGATACGGTGCGTTTGGGTACGGATATTCACACGAACTGCAACAGTCAGAGATATCGATTTCACAGATCATGAATGAATCAATGTTTTTTCGATGTAAGTATATCAAGTCAGACCAGACAATTCGGATCCGGTCTGATTTGCTAAGACAGTGATTGTAGCCAGTGCTTCGCGAAAGGAAACTAGGTTTTCGGCGTCCAATTATTGTGTCCCATTTCTTACAGTTGAAATAATTCGTGACATGAAATCAGAAATCAAAAACCACCAACCTATTTGGTTTTAGGATTAGTTTGCTTCATCATGACTGATGCAACTCAGTAATAACTATCTATTAAGATGGGACCTGAAAATAGTTGAGTAGTCCGAGCATATTTGATACCATGTTTTACTAATGTAAATACGAACTGCAAGGCGAGTACACACAGCATATCATTACTTATCGATCTTAAGATCGGTAAGTATGTTGATAGGTATTCGTCTGTTTGTTTGTTTGTCTGTCTGTCTGTTAGATACACGCGATATCTCACGAAAGCGAGGTTGAATCTGCTTCAAATTTTGCGTGTGCATTCATCAAATCTCGGATCAGAAGCCTATTGATTTTGAATGAATTATGTCGTATAATCAACTAGTTATATTATTAACTAGTGATCGGACACACGGTGTCACTATGGAGTAAGAGCGGATGAATCGCAACCGCAGTTTCTGTTTTGGGGGATCCCACAACTTTCAATCGATAAGTCTTCGGTCTCCGACTTATTCATATTTTGTTTAGTGACTCCGCCAGCAGACCGAATGGATGACGATGGCCTATTAGCCCCGACACAAGTTCCTCCTCCAAATTCAATCAAGCGGGAAAGAAAGGAAGAGGACGAGGAAGCGACCATGCGAAATAAAGCCGTGCTATCATCAATTGATATGTTCAAATCGGTGAGATTTTTTTATCGCATGCAGTGGCGGGCCTAGAGGGGGGCAAAGGGGCAGCCGCCCCGGGCAGCACGTTGTAGGGGGCAGCAGAACCAAGCTGTAAAGTTTGCGTCATTACATATGTTTTTCTCGATGTGTTTTTATTTGATTAAATGATGACATTAGGTGTTTTGTCTTGTGTGACTGACATATGACCAAAAACTAACAGGCCGGCAAGCGCCCAGGAACTTCGCTGATAGTTGAGGCCTACACCCAAGCACCCGGTTGCTACTTACAGAAACTAGCGGATCTATAACGGCAGCGTGAGTGTGAGTGGATTATCGAAACTGCTAGAGTTGTACATTTCGTAAAATTCTTGCGTTAGTCATATACTGTAGCTCAGGGGTGGGCAATTACTTTCCTGAGTGGGCCGGATGCGGATAATAGACTGGATTACTGGGCCGGATGATCAAAACTCAATATGATTAAAAACGGTTTATTTGCAAATTCGTAACTCGCAAGTCTATCAGTCATTAGTCAATCGCCTTCCCGTTTCACTAATCGCGTTTAGGTGATGTAAAGCATCAGGTATTTGCAGCAGGGGATATAGTAAATAACATTGAAATATTAGCGTTGAAAGAACATTGAAAATGTCATGAGTACAGACAGAATATTTTGTGTACTGTAAATCATGTACTAGACCAGTGGTTCTCAAACTTTTCTCACCCCATACTGTACTTTTAACGTTATCAGCGCCCCCAAAAACTACAACAAAACATCATGTTACAAACAAATTTATTGCGAATCAATTGGGAAATAGCATGGTACGTGATGTTGTTAATAAGATGAAGGAATTTTAGTCAGGTACAATCTGGAATCATCATCATTATTTGATTTGACCCTTCTATATATACCATCAAATATGATGTTAGAAATGAAATAATCAACAATTTTACTTCGTCAAATATGCCAGATGATTTGCGGTTACTATATTTTCAGTACATTTACAGGGGAAACGAGTCGTCGCGCTCACGACATTCATCAAAATTGCCGACTTTGTCACCGATGATGATTTTCTGTTGCGTAAAATATTCAGTTCATGACCGATACGAGCATTAAAATTGTCTCGCGATATTAGTTCAATTATTTTCAACGTAAATCGCCGTTGCGCCAAGTTACAAAAAATGAAAATTTCACTATTCTGAAATACTACATCCTGAATTTTGGTTTAAGATAATTTTAGGCTATCACCGTTTGCAAAATCCCAATGTCTGAGTACAATTTAGTACGCTAAGGTAAAAGCATTATAACTCTAATGCAGTAAACTGGCGCCGCACAAACAAAATGTTTGAGAACCGCTGGAGTAAGCATTAGTTTCCGATTGAAAATTTCGAGATAATTTAGTTTATCGACATAATTTCGATGTTCTCGGCTTAAATACCACGTCAGGAAAACAATCGATGTTTTTAACTTAATTTCACTCACCGAGAATGCGCAATTGCCCTCAGTCGCCCCGTTTCTTATCTCTTTTGCCCCCACTTTGGGAATCATTGTACTAGACAAAAGGAAAGAACATATGTTGGGGCATTCACAAACGCACGAAATAATTTGCAGGCCCAAATGCTGATATATCAGGAGTTTTTTTAATGACTCAAATGATTCGGATGGATGATTTTTGCACATCATATTCAGGTGCTTATAATACGCGATGAATTGTGGTTTACTTTAGCCGACGATCAGTTTCAATTTATATATATCATCGATATTTTCAACGGATATTTATTTCCCTAAAAACTATGATCATAATTTCAGCAGGCACAAGTGGGCCGGATGAAACACTCCGGTGGGCCGGATCCGGCCCGCGGGCCGTAATTTGCCCACCCCTGCGTGTAGCTGATAATTAAAATACTGTTCAGTAAAATCCCTAAGGTTTCCCCACTTTATGAAGTATGGAGACAAAAAACGACATGTTCGAAAGAGTGTTTATTGTGCGAAAGGTATAGCGTTATTGGAATTTCGACTTGGTTGACGAGAAAACGGCAATAAATCGTGAACAATTTGAGACCTTCATAACAATCGGCGCGTTTTTTCGTTGTCGCAATGGAAACTTGCGGAAACAATGCGGATTCTCTATGAAACGCACATTACTAGGGTGACAGGTAAACCCACGTGAAATATTCAATACAGCCGTATACACACTACATATAAAGTCTAAACAGACAGACAGAACAACTGATAAGGGTCTCCTAGAGCCGAGCTCCAACAAACACTCAAAAACGAGGTAATGTTTACAATCATGCCGGAAAATCTATCACTTTTTGCATTGCATATTGTTCATTACTCAAAATTAGATACTCAATTGCTAGTTGCGAACGATCTTTCTCAGTGTTGAAACATATTTGAGGTCTTCGATGTCAAATTTATCTTTGATTCGCATCGCATAGAACGAGCTGCTGACGAGTGAGGTGGAGGAGGCTGTGGTTCAGGCATTTGTTGACAGCTAAGTAGCGATTGGACATGAAATTAAGTGACTTGCTTTTTGTTAAATAATAAATGAGTTCAATTTTATACATGTGAGTTTGCTGTTTGGTTTGATGATTTATTTAATAAAACAGACGTTCCTATCGTACTTGACCTTTAATTTATTTATTCTCGTGTATAACGACATCTATAATCTGTTTATCCCCCGAATTAATTTTAGGAATAAGGTTCATCATCAGGAACTTGCCCGGGCAGAAGTTTGGCACGCCCCTGATCGCATGATACCATTATCACGAGTCAACAATTCCTTGTTTTTGAAAAGCTTTCCTAAAAATGAGATAAACTTGAATAGATGCTTGAAGATAATTTATTCGGGACCAATGGGATCATTTTCAATAAAGTCTATCATAGAATTTTTCTGTATTGGCTATCTGAATACTACATTCCAAAAGATTATTATATTGTCCAAAGGTAGCTGTTTGGGGAGAGTTGTACCTTATTCTGAGGCGGGTCTTTCGAATACGACATTTTTTACCTTTCCTAATTTCTTTTACCTGATTATGTTAGTTCTTATTTAAAGGTCGACACGTCTAATGTTGACAATCTCCTGGAACATCGACATAGACTACAAAGATTAAAAAGCGAATATCTGGCATTGAAAACAAGAAGTGACAGAAATAAATATTTGGAAAACTTACTATCAAAAACAGGCTAGTTATGATTTTTTTTGTTATATATAACTATTAGTAACTGGTAAACAGGGGGTTTCCAAGATTTGAACATATTGAGTATATATAATAGCTGTGAATAAATTTTCGTATATGACAGTCCGCAAATAAAGCATGCATATATTTCAAAGGGCAAGCTACGGGAGAAAGCCAAAATGATGGGACAGCTGGAAACGCGGAAGAATCTCGTTTAGGTGGAACGGCTACGGACAATCAACGGCAAGCCGATGTCAAGAACGTTATAGAAAACCTATCACCATTGCTCCTTATGGCACCCGGGCTACAGTCTCGAGTTGGAGGGGAAACGAGGTGATATGCCAGTTCTGCAACTAATATGCAAATTCTGTACTGTTTACGATCGTTCAGCCACACAATGTATATATACGATATTTCCATAAAATTTTATAATATTCTGCGAGCTCATTACTTATCTCTCAAAAGTAAGTTTGATAATTATAAAATAAATAGGGTTCTTTGTAAAATTAAAGCATTCATAAAGGCTGATCGAATTGATATTTTCCCACATAAGGCTGATTCAAATATTATTCAAAAGGTTAAAACTAATAAACATACCTATTTTAGGTACCTCAAACATAATAAAAATTGTATTGAGTCTTACCTTTCATTGTTGCAAAATAACTCGGAACGTATTTATTTTTGGTCTTTACCAACGGTATGACAGGGTTCTACTCATTTAAACCTGTACTTACGTGCATTTGCATTTTGCAGTCGTGTTTTCAACGAATTTAAACACGGCATGACCATTTATTACTTTTATACATTTTCGCATCCAATATTGCTTTCAGCAATGTTCGTTGTTCATACGGATATTTCTGATTTGGGAATTGTATGATTTGCACATATATTTCAGTCAACTCCAGCTATTTTTGCATATAATTATCGTACGGGGGTACTACCGAAGTATGTAAACGAAGATGGCGGACACCGCAACGTAGTATGTGTACCAGGTTAGGGTTAGGCCATAATTTCATTCCAATTTTTCTTATTTCAGTTCTATTATATTGGGACTAGCCAAGTGACTCTCGTAGTATTTGTACCTGAAATTATGGACTAACCTCAATCTGGTACACATACTACGTTCCGGTGTCCCCCATCTTGGTTAACCCGGGAGTACTCATACGAGGGTACTCCACCAAGATGTCGCATAACCTGAATCCTAACCTGGTACACACCCTAAGTTCAGGTTGTGCGCTATATTGGTGCGCATACTTCAGGAGGTCCCATACGAGTTTATTGTATAAAATGCAATGCACATGGTAAGCTTGGAAAGTATTGTACTCTAAATATAGTGCTAAAAATAAATATCGTGCACATATTCGTATTTCTACAACAGCTTCATGATGGATTTCTTGTGTTGTTTTCATTCAGACCCTCCCTAAGACCACGTGACAGCGCCAGACCTTCTGATTCCGATGGAATAGATCCAATGGAGGTAAATCTATGATACATACATCACACTTTGTAGAACCTACATCGGAAAAGATATTGTATTTAAATTATAAAATGTTCTCGTGTGCATAGTTTAGTTCACGCATGCATACATAGATGAAATAAGATACAATTATACTACGATTTTCAGATTAGCACTTAGTTTACACTTTGCTGTTAATTACCAACTATTGCATTTCGCATACTAAAATGATGAGATAGCCTACGTAATAAAATTTGAATTCAACGTGTGATAATGTTTTCAGAAACTTCGGAAATTATATGAAGACAATATGGGAAGTACTTCCAGCGAAGCAGATCGTCCGTCCAGCAGCGAAAAACAGTCGAGACCGACGACTCCACAATCTTCCGAAAAACGTGGCTTTATGGGGATTTTGAAAAAAAAAGTTTTAGCGCCCATGAGATTTAATAAATTGATGACAGGTATTTTTATTACTAGTTTTTTTCATGCTTTACTCATAATTCTACCAAATTATCTTGACCTTGTCATTGTTCCCCGAAACAATATTTTCACCTACACCAATCCAATGAAGTTCCATTCTATCGAAAACCAACTTAGTGAAAAGCGACACTGTTAGATTCTCATATCCTAAGCCATTTTCTAATTGCGCAGAATATGATTCACCCAGTTGATGTAACACGACAACTAGTTTTTACCGACGTTTACAACCAGATGAACTGACACATTATCATTTGCGGCTTTTGAAAATTTAGTATCCGCTAATAGTCTTGCTTTTTCTTTCTTGTGTGGGCTTGGCACCTTATCATTGACCAAACTTTTAAATATTTAAGGCGTGGCAGAAGCTCATAAACAGACTCAAGAACTTTCGAACGCTGAAGAAGGGAGGTCATCTCGACCCGGTACCCCCGATAACGAGTTGGACAATAGAAATGCACCGCGTGTAGGCACACATAATTCAATATATGAAATTTTATGCTTAAGAAATTAGCAGGCTGGTTTATCACGTTACAATTTTTTCTCGCGCACTTAGATATCGGATGTGATGGCCAGGCTGACATCGGAATCTGCATCAAGAAATTCTGACAGACCAAGACGATCATTTATGGCCGCATGGACGAGACGTACGACCCCTTCTCCCACCACAGTTGACAACGAATCGGAGAACACTTTAAGCTCAACAGCGCGGCAAAATATGGATGACGTAGAATAATATATCCACTTGTTATTCACATGTGTATATTTTGCTTGACTTTTCAAAATAAAAATAAATAAAATATGGTTTCTCGTTTAATTTGTCATCTCCGGTCGATGATGTCGTCAGTGTTCTGTTCAAAAATTGAGAATAGGACATTACAAATAGAACTTTCTACCGTAAAATTGGAGAGATGTTATTACCATACAACTACCTGTTTTAATATGTCCAAAATCTTAGCTCTAAGGTAGTTTTATGAAGACATGAGAAGTACTGTTGGCAATGATAGCCACCTTCGGAGAATGAGATAGAGATAGACCATATAAATATTGCTGTCCTATTACAATTACAATTTTTAAATTCAGCAAAACGTAGGATGATATTTCTACATTCGCGTTAGTAAAACAATACTTAAGAAATTTCGAAACTAAAATTACTTACATCTACAACAAGATCAGCAATTTTTTGATGACAAGCCCACTGGTTGTGATACATATGTGTCTGTTTCTCGACTGCAGCTAGGAGACGATAATACCATTCAACTAAGTTGTATTCGCTGTAAATGGGTATAACAAATGAAAACTGGAAGGGAACATCGTTCGGAATGACGGGCAGTGTGGTATGTTACAGTCATATTATTTTATACATCATACTGACGGGCTTTATTATCACAGCTGTATATTATAAGCGGAAGCATGTTGAATTTATTTCTGAATTTGAATTTCTGAGTTTGTGTTGCGATGTCTAACTAAAAATACCGCCTACCAGAAAAACTCTTCCTATCTCGTTTATATCATCTCAGCGGCCCAGCAATGGCCTATCTCTCGTTGTTAGAATAGGACCTCCAGAAGTATGTGAACCAAGATGGCGCACAACCTGAACATAGTATGTGTACCAGGTTAGGGTTCAGGTTGTGCGTCACACTTCGGGAACGCCAAAGAATCTAGTTTGAGGTGAAGACGTGGAAACCCCGTCCAAAAACAATCTTACTGATCTGGTGCAGAATCCATGAATTCTTTATATTCTTTATCTGTATCGATGTAATCGTCGTCTTCTTCGTCTAAGATGCAAACAAGAAAAAACATTCAAGGTGTATCGGTCGAAGAATTAATAAATTGTAAAATAAGAAAGTTATTTGTGATTTCTGGTCACAGCACTATAGAAAACGTTATTCTGAAATAATTCATTTATTTCGTACGTTGCAATCTTATCAATTGATCTCAAATCAGAAATAAAACTCACCATTGAGGAAAAATTGTCTTTTCAAAATTTCCATATGCCCATCACTTCCATTTGAAATACTTTCATTGTCTTTTTGTTTCTTCAACTATCATATAATTGAAATTGAAATTTAGTACTTAGCATTGTCAGTTTGAAAAAGATGCATACTTATCTAATAAACTTATGAAATTAATTATTGAGCAATATTATTAAGTAAGAGATAATAATCAAAGAAATACTGCATGACCGAGTCAAACCGCATCGAAATTCATTATTGGAAATTGACTATTATAGATCAGGTATAAGTGTAACTATTTTTCTCAACTAATGCCTTGTATCTAAACTCAGTTCTATTACAAAATATCTAATCGTGAACCGAAAGTTTCCAGGTAAAGATATTCCGCTACAACGATTCGCTGTTGCAGAGTTATATAATATTTTCTATTTTGTGTAAATTTGTGCGAAGCAGCGTTCAAAGCAATCAATATAGGTAAATAAAATGATTTAATTGTGCCACAATGCCAATTTCGGCATCTATCTCCTGCAGGCGATAAAACATGCTGGTTTTGTATATGTATGTATGGGTTTATGATTTAGTTTTTCTGGCGTGAATAATTTTTACGATTTATTTTTTCAGCAAACCTTTTTCTTTTCCTCCATTAGTCTTTCTTTTTCCTCTGCTTTCCTAACGAGTTTGTCCTTCGATCATAAAAGTGCATTTATATATATTCATTATTTTGGATTTTACCAATAGCATTATCAATAGGAAACGGAACTAGTCAGAATTACACAAAATGATTCAAGATATCGGTAAATTAGAGTTTTCGATTTTCTGAAATCTGCAATCACAAGTTTGACTTTTAAAATGCACCTTGCGTTATCTGGCATGTCAGTAGAATAAGCTTTTCATTTCAAAGACTTGAATATGACTTTGACTATCTAGTATAGATGAATAGATATGACTTTAATGAAATCAAAGTATGTTGGTGTCTTTGTGCTATTCGTTGTACTAGATTGGTTCTAAGCTCAATAGCTCTCAACCAAATTTGTTTTCAGATGATCCACCCCCAAACACTTCATAAAACTTACCCTCAATGTCAGTTGAAAATTATCCACCAAAACAGCAATGAATAAACTAGAAAATAAAAATAAAATAAATGAGTAAAAACTATTTCATTGGAGGCCAGCATTAAAGTATCAACCTGACTAATAAATCCTACATTATGTTAGTTATTTATATTAATCCTTATTTTACTCACTTAAGAAACACAAAGTATTCAATGATGATGTATGACAGTAAATAGAAGAATGCGGGAATGTCAAAAAATCCTGAAAAATGTAAGACAATTCATAAGTGAGCGATTAACACATTGCTTTGAAATATACAAAATCGCGAGGAATTTTTTCTAACTTACAAACTATATCATGATAGCGAGTAATCAGAAAACAAATTGGATAAACGTGTGGCGCTGCAGAAGTGTGTGTGGGGGTAACCAAATTTGTTCGCCTTTTTCACATCAGTTGTGTGAAGGGACTGAAAGCTATGAGCAGGGGATGTATTCACTTGGCTAACACAGACAGTCCCCAAAATCGTAATATAACTAAAATAAAAAAAATCGAGATTATATTATTGCCCAACCCTAAAATGAAGTGATAATATATGAACACAGTCCTGAACTTTAGCTCATCAAGTTATTATTTAAGTGGGCAAGAAGATAACTAACTATACCTTGCTTGTCGCTCATTCCTGTAAATATTTCAAACCAATCGTCCAGTGTTAGAAGTTGTACAAGAGTAAACGAAGCTGACCAGAAGTTACCAAATTGCTTGGGATCTTTAGTTGCAAAGAGGCCTCGTCCAACAACAGCAAAAATCACTGAATATATACGACTTGTTTTTACTGTGCACTCTGATTTTGATATCATTATATATATCAAAATTATATTGGCAACATTGAAAAGTTCTAATAATAAAAATCAATTCTCGGTCTCATGTGTAAAAACGACGAACTATCATTTTTTTTCAAGATATGAGATTATGTCTCGAGTTTTGTCGAACGTATCACTCCATTGTTAAAGATTGTATTCACTGAATAACTAAATATATTATATAAAATATATTATATTTTATGCCTTTTATAGGCATTTAAATAGCGATGAGTTGTTTTTTGAATGAGTTCAGAATTTTTTTTTTCTAGATTGGGCTTTGTTTAGACTGCAAAACACAAACCAAAAATATTCTTACCGAGAAATGTTGTCATAAGAGTCATAATTGCCCCCAGAGACTGGAAAGAGTGCAGACATGTGATGAGAATAACTTGGATATTCTCTAAGAAGCGTATAGTTCTCAACACTCTTAGTGACCGCAGTGCTCGTAGTACACGCAATATCCGAAAGATACTCGCTCCACCACCGCTGAAACTACCAGCACCCATCGTCAACGGAGCTAGCATTTCAAAGATACTGGTGCACACAATTACAAAATCTGGAGAAAAACGTTTAGGAGAAATTGATAAAAGTAGGCCTATATGTGGAAGCCTATCTATATATGTTTACCATAGACTACATATATCAAAGTGTAATAATCTATTAGTGAGTTTATTATTCATGCCTATACTGCTGGGTGATATAGTTAAGAGCCATTACGATATTTTGCTGCTGTATACATACCAAAGGCAGAACTCTTGAATAACTTTAAAAACTTTTGCTCCCATATGCAACACATTTCCTTTTGCAGCTGTGGAGTGATATAGTAACCTTGATTTGTGTTTCGAATTCAGTCCATTTTTTGACATTATTTTTGACAAAGTGTTACTTTATGACCAACAAAGCATAAAAACCCCCTTCAACAAATTAAAATACTTACCGAGGATATCCCAACCTTCTTTGAAATATTCCAACCGTTTGACGTATATTTTTAGAACACATTCAGCCACGTAAATCGCCATAAATATTCCATCAATAATTGCAAAATAGTAATCGAATCGAACTTCTACACCTCTCCAAGTTGAAAGCACAAGCATGAGCGTGTTGATCAAAATGACTATCATGATAACAGTGCTAAAGAATCTTGTATCCAAAAGACTTTGCATTCCTGAAAAGTGCGAAGGAAAGTTAGTTTTTTTAGGCATTTTTTCGACATGTTCTGATTGCGGTGAATTTTAGGCTAAGGTGTTGCTGTTGAAATTTCAAATAGACATCTCAGAGTTATGCTCCAGCTACATTTGTTATACCTAGTTCAGCTTTACATTCATTCGGAGTGTGATAAAGTGCAGGACGTTCTATACCGTATTATGGTTATCCAACATGTGGATTGCAGTTTCTTGGTCGCGTTATATACTGTGTTTCTTCGAAAATAAGACTGGGGTTTATTTCAATTTTCTTCCGAAAAATAACACTAGTGGCTATTTTTGGAGGATGACTTGTATTTTCATTTATCAAAAACAAAATTACAAAGTAGAGAATTACGAGATTTTCAAATATACAAATATATGAAAACCGATATCTAATTACCTATAAATAACACGTTTTCACTGAAAAAAACTGCAAAACATAGATTATCAATCATTCAAAACATGTAGAAGAGATTTCTTGCTATCCACAAGGTAAAAAATGTGTAATTGACTAGGTCTTTTTTTAAGAGGAGAGCTTGTATTAAAATTACTTTTAAATTCAGGCTTTTCAAATTATTTATTTTCAGGCTAGGTCTTATTTTCGGTGAAACACGGTAATACAAACTGCATCTTTGTAATACCTAAAATTTGCATTGAGATAAACTTTGAGAGAACTTTAGTAACATACATCATAGAATGTTACTAGATATTTGAAAGTGCATATCTTCAAGCTTGTTTACCTTTTCTAAAACTGCTGGCATGTTCATCAAAGTCAGTTTTCTTTTCAATTTCATCTTGTACGCGTTTGATATCACCCAAGTGCAAATTCACTGTTCTCAAATCTAACAGTGCGTCTGTGGATCCCTTTACGCCAGGAAGTGTTACTGAACCTATGCGACGACCGTCGATACTATAATAAAAAGTGAGAATTTTGAGTGAGGACAAAAACGTTTTTTTTTTCAATGTTGTAGCGACGATGGAGTCGTGATGGGAAAATTCGAAGTTGAACACTCAAGATTATTTAAACTCGAATTGAGATTGGACTCTGAGGCTATTTATTTTCAAATATTGATATATATATTCTAGGGGGTTAAATTTGTACCTGTATCGTTTCGATGTTGTATGAACAGCACTACTCAAAACCGATGATCTTCTGCTCGACATGCTAAAAGGACGCACTAGAGTTTCTAAATATTGTAAAATTCTTTTTTTTTGTTCAATAGTTTTCATTTTATATGATATTTGTGACGCAATAAACCCCTTTATCAATATTTTTACTTGCAAATGAGTCAAGCGAAGTTATCACACGATTGAAAAATTCCAAACGGCATACGACGTTATGTTATGGGACATTTCTAAAATTATTGAACTATTATCGCTTTAATTACCATGAATATTTCTTGACTTTTATGTATTTATTCGTGAAGGCAAATTCTGCGACCCATAATACTGTAATTTTCGGGTCCGTCCTAGCTGACAGAATTTTCAGAATAGAGCGAAAAGGTTGTTTGTTTTCAGGCATGGTATAAAAATAAAGGCGTGAAATTGCTTGAGAATAATAAGTATATTTCTTTGTAGGTTTTGTTTTTCCTATTCAAGTTTAATTAAATACAACTGTGGTTCAGAAGCGGGGGCCACGTACGATTCATCATCGACAAGTACTACTAAGACACTGGAAGATTGTTGAAATGCCAATGAAATTTCAGTCACTTTTTTTTTGTTTTATTCATACATTTCGATTTCATAATCATATACTGTATTTGAATTTTTTTTACCAGTAAGTCGGATTCATCTGTGATCGTGAAAGGCCAGGCTCCTTATTGGCATATTCTCCGTTGTTTGTTACCATTCGCCAAAATCACATAACATTGAATTACCATTGGAAATCGTTTGATTTTATTACCTCTTATAACCTAACGCATGTGAGACAAAAATATGGCAACTGCTTTGAAAAGCAACGTCCTACAAATGCATCCCGCAGTCCAACTGTTCATTTTCGCTCGCTGTGTGATACGCTCTTTAATCTTTTCTCATACGCCATATGGCGACACGAATCATTTGCCGAAACAAAGGGAATAAACAATCGAATTAGCACCCGCTGTAATTCGTTTTTTGTCGACGCAATGCTTTGTCGACTGAATTATTGTCATAATGGGCATGATTGTTGAAGAGATTACGCTAGGAAACAAAGGAAGCAGGCTTAGTTTAGGAAATACAGTCCAGCGTACGGAAACGCGATATATTAGATTACATATTACTGAGGTATGTTCATCCAGTACCAGAAGATTGAATAGGTTAGAGACTCCGACTGCCGTATTACCTGAATCAAGTAATAAATCTACACGCCGTTTTGTGGATCTTTCGCGATATACCTGTAAAAACTGCTGGTTTCTAGAAAAGGGAATTATAGTAGTCTGGTATATAGAGGACAATGGACAGGGCTATGGAAATTTATTCACTATGAAATTTTTAATTCTTTAATAAAATGATTATGAGGGATATCCCGACAAAGTGAGTTGTAACACGAGGCGGATATGCATTTCGCAAGTATTTGTCATCGCAAAAACTTTGTTCTAAATACCGTAATTTGCCTTAAGTTTTATCAGGTATACTGGAAGACAAAAAATGTTGATAATCGCTCCATAATTATGACAATATTCATTTTTCAATGCATGGTCTGGAATCAAGATCCGCCATAGGAGGTATTTTCTTCATATAAGTTATTACTATTGAAAAGATTTATCAACATGCTTGTCAGGTTTTACATAGTAAGAACCAATTTACTTCACCAATGTAATTATGATCAAGATATCAGTCTACCATTGAACGACACGGCATGAGATTGCCGTGTTATATAAAACCTATAGATTGATTTCAATTGACTGCGGGGTAAGATTATAATATTGGGCTTATCATAATAAATAAACTAATACTTTACGAATCTCATCGCCCAAGTTTTAGCATACTTACGTCACGGTAGATCGCGTACGTATTTTGAAGAAGAAAGTCCGATCTCATTAAAGCTGTGACAAGGCAACAATCGAAAACTAAATTGAAGGAGTATATTTTATCTTATTTTACGTGCAATGAAAGACAGGTTAATGGTCAAATTTCCTTTGAAACTCCCATGGTTGAAAGTCAAGTCTAATCTGACAAACGCCGTATTTTTAGTATTATTTGGAGTATACGTACGTATATCATCAGTTTCCAATTTATTCGAGCCGTGACAAGAACATTAGTACAGAATCATGAACGATCACGACTGCCAAACATATTAATACGAGAATTTACTCAAATACGATTATAGAAAGAATGAGGCTATCTTCAGAGTTGAGTTACGAACGACCTGTAATTTCCAAGTTGCTAGAATTTTACGACGTAAACATACTTTGTATGTTGGCACCAGCAGTTGAAATTTACGGATAGAGTGTTAGCCAAGATTTTATATTATATTCGTTTATAATAATATTCATCTTTCAATGGCATTCTTGAATTTTTGGACGTTGACTTTCGCGCTATTTTCGCGCCTCACTTCATTTTTAGATGGTTTATCAATGGCCCTATTTTGCATGTATGATTGTAATACTATTTTCCGACTGATCACAGTAAGTGGAACTCTTCAAAGTGATGTACGGATGTTCAAATTGCCAGCAAGTTGTTAATTGTACCAACAATCGATATACTTAATAGTCAAGTACGTTGGATAAAACTGTACCGAAATAGACATCTTGATGTTCTTGAGTATGTTCAAACGATGTATAGCGCAAGACACAGTTTTTAAATGCGAATTACTATGTCGATAGAAGTTTTTAATGTCATTAAGACTATTACGTATAATTGTAAGTTAGAATAGGATAAACCGAAGGACGTACGTTTTAGGCGTATGGTTAGAGTAAACGTTGAAAAGCAGATAGATGCAAAATTGGTGATTAGCACATTAGTGTTTCTAGAAAACAACAGAAGCCTAATTTCCAAATTGTGAAATGCAGATTTTGTCAACGATCGCTGGAAATTTGAATTTATTCTACCATAGGAATTTATTGATTGCGATGGTAGACAAAATATTGATATTGTATATTACTTGCTAATTTAAAATGATTCGCATAATTATCTACAAACACATGATCAATATAGATTACTAACGCCGTGTCATAAGCATATGTCAGTCCTTTCGTGTACTTACTGTATACGAAAAAAACAATCGATCAGTGTCATAATCCTAATTATTGTCAAATTCAAGGGATAGTTCGAAGATTTGTTGATGGGATGTTGAAATACGCAATATGTTATATTACATGCCGTTTTGGCAAGTTTACAATACTGAAAACAAGAAGCCATGGACCATGTCTTACTTTTACTCATCTTTAACATACGTAGTGTAGATGTATATTTTTGACTTCGTTTTTTAATAAGATCCGAAATAATACGACGATCAGACACACACTTCCGACACGCGTACAGAGAAACAGGTTGTTTATATTGCCGTTGATAAAACTTGTACGATTGCGGAGATTTGCTTTGTTTCGACTTCCTGTTGAGTATCAAAGGTGGGAAGATAACTATCCTTTGTTGAACATTAATGGTAAAACATTTCCTAGTAATAGGATAATGTATATGTTATTATTGACTATTCAATGTTTTCTACAAAAGGTTGGCTCGAGCAAAAAAATTCTGTTACGGAATCAATTCTATAGTATTGCTCGAATATGAAGGTTTCAAAATTCCTCTCTCTACATAATAGCCATATAGAATTCAGTTTTTAATACGAAATCATATATTAAGTATAATTTCGACCCGATTCAATAAATAATTATCACTTCAGTTTTGACTGACAATCCAAAATTTACGGCCTTTTCATCAACTAAGCCGAGCAAGTTCAATTTGCTTATTTAAAGCATTCATTTATTTATTTATTGAAATATTTATGGAAACCAAAAATTCTAAAATATATCTTTGCCGAGCATATTTCACGTATGAATCGCATTTGCATATCTGAATATTTCGATGTATAAAATTAGCCCCAGGCTAAAGTGGCGTAATGACCAAATTGCACCATTTGTCGCCATTAATTACTTTATTTTTGATGCATATCAACAAAGGAAGAATTCTTTGTACCGACTGTTACACTTTGTAAAACTGCTTTCTCATAAAAAGATCTTTTTTTCCAAAGTAAAAAGTCAACGACTACAAATAAAACAAAGTTTTGGTAAATAAATGAGCCAGCATAATACAAAAGGTTCCAGTTGATGGTGTAAGGTAAATTGGTAATAATCATTACTGAACGATTATAAGCTAAAACTAGCGAGGGCAATATTTTAGGTGACGAATATGACTGACTAAGTCAAAAAGCTCGTAGGCATACTGTTTAATAAATAGGTAGTAATTTTTATATAAAAGGTTGCATTTTAATTATTATTTCAGAAAATTGTACTTGTATTTATATATATATATATGGTTTATAAATAATCAATTCCATTATTTACTTGGTTCACTAGTTGACATTCGAGTCGAGATACTCATTGTTAGATGACTCTTGATCAATACATGTGTACGATATGTAAATTGATTTGTTACTATTTGCCTGTTTCAGATCATATTACTTTATGATAATATTAACAGACGATGCCTTGCACTCGAAGTGTACGATCTTCTGCGATTATTAGAACTCTGGATATCCCTGATGAAGATCCTCCAGCATACGATAGGATATACCAGCAAATGCCAGTGGATGCTATTCAATACTCTGTCGATGTAACTCAAATAACAACGATATTGCCTACCTCTCCTAGAACTTGTCAACGGCAGGTTAACCTTCCTGTAACGGCAGTAACAGATCGGGCACTCCGCCAGGCGGACGAACTACCTCCCTCATACGCAGAAGTAATTGCCAACACTACTGCATTGCCACAAACACCTGTGTTTGATATAAGCACAAATATATCGTTCCCGGAGGTATTATCGGCGGCCCAGTGTTTTGACGAACCAGCCGATGGTGTCTGTCCATATTGTATGAACCCAATTACCACAGAAGTCACATACAGACCCGGAAAATTATCATGTTGGATGTATGTAATCGTCTGCCTCATCATAGGTCCTATACTCGCTTTATTCATTTGTTTCATGAATCAACTACAAAATGCTTGGCATACTTGTCCCAAATGTAAGAAGACAATCCATATTTACAAACGTGAAATCAGTGTTACGAAACGATAGCAACGCAAAATCAACTCCACGAAAAAAATGAGCTGGAGCACGCCAAGTGAAAGTGCACGAAAGAACTCCGCCATCAATTTTCAACAACGATATTTGTTTCCACATTATGCCTGGAACAAAACTGTTTGTGGTGAATCCCTGAAACCCAACTATGAATGATTTATCACGTTTGAATCTGCAAAAAACAATTGGAGCAATACGGCTGCTGTTTATTTGGTACCAATTAGAAATAAATGCAATCTGAAAGTACTATTTTGTTAATTTATTTTTCTCATCGTGTACTTCTAGACTAAGCTACTTTTAATTATTTTTTCAAAAATAAAAATATTGACAATAAATTCAAATAAATTTACAAAAAACTGTATTCTGAATACTTTTTGTTTTTGTGGGCAAGACAGTAGAGCTATAGTTTGTGTTGAGAGTCGTGTTACTCATTCTATCGCGTAGTGGCGTCTCAATAACAGTCATGCCGCTGTATTTGTTGTACTGTGTCAGGAAAATAACTGTATGTTTGCAAATCCAATTTATATATAATAATTAAGAGCTAAATCAACGCAGATAAAATGACAGTATTAGCATACTCACGGATTCAGTAATAACCAAACGAATAGAAAAATGAAATTCAAGCATAAATATCAAACATAAATTAGAGCATTGTTTCCAATCTGGCACATTGACATTCCAATACTAAAAGATCGGATATCGCAACCAGATTTAATTTGGTATATTTATTTCAACATGTAAAACTTACTATAAAAAGCAACATTGGGGATAAAAAATGTAATTCCGATCATCTATTCCAATCTTTCCCAGCCATAAAACGAGTGGAGTCAAATTAGGTTCCTGGATTCATTGCAATTTGGACAAATCCAAAAATAAACAGATAACCAATTTATTTTACTAATATTTTGGCGATAGTTAATATTATTTTTCAGGTATGGTGGATAAAACAAATTTTGACCAAAAAATAACTAATCAAGAATAAAATAATAATTAAGCTACAATATGTTAAAAAAGAGCAGTGTATGATTGAGCAAAATAAGTGAAACGCCCAACTATTCTTCATAATTATTTCAATAATTTTATAAAAATGTAAAAGCGAACGGTTAAAATCCGCTTCGAAAATATGATGGACTAGAAGCCTTTTGTTCAGATTTGATAAAATTAAAATCTGTTTATATTCAAGCACATCATCCTTGTCATTCATGTTTACTGGATTCGAATCATAATAAACCTAAATGAGTTAAACATAATATGTATATAGTAGTTCTTCGTTTATGTTGGTGAATGTATTTCATTCATTGACGGAATTGTGTGGGATTGGTGGACGATATGTGCGTTTCGTGCGCCGTGTCCTGGTGTGATCATTCCAAAGTGTAAAAATGGCAGCAATTGTACAAAATGTATCTCTACTGAAAATAAAATAAAGTGGTGTCGACACCTTTGGCCGCAGCACTGGAACCATGCTCGATAACCCCCAAGCTTTTCACGCGCTCCTCATTCGGTGACGGCGAGTAAAAAAGTTCATTTCATTCATTAGCAGATTTTATATTTGTGTTCGAATTTTGTTCATTTATCGCATTAAGAAAGCTAAAATATTGTCACCTAAGAAGCAAAACAAAAAACGTGAGTGTTATCCAATTTTCACCGCAATCCACCGACGCCATCGCAAATTATTTCATTTTATTCAAGTGTTTAGCATTTACATCTTAGCGTTTGAAAGATTCATACATTGTATCTGAACAATTGGAACGATATTGAGACTCAATAAATATGTAGGGGTTCCACTTGTTTATTTTATAATATTTTTGTGACGTGTATCGTTTTTTTTTTCTTAGTTCCCTGCACCAGTTTAAGCTTCGAGGAATTTTAAGGATGAGCTTCGGCAGCAGCTGATAAAATTTATCACTCAAACTTTTACTGACATCACAAAGATTTCACGACGCAAAGGAAACTATAAATATAAAACAAATGTCAATAATGCGAAGAACAAATACATGTAATGAATTGGACAATAATTTGGGTTGTGGGATTAAGATTTTGATACAACCAAAAACAAACTTGAGTTGTTAGAGAAAATATTCACGGTTATATCAAATATAATTGCTGAATTGTGATATTCTCAAAATATATGAGTGAACTGACATTAATTTTGCTAGTCTGGGCAAAATATCAAGTATTATAATTCACCCCGAAATATTTGTGCTGGTAGCCTAATCAAGAATTGAACAACTGAACCAAGTCCTGGGTAACCGCGGAAAGTATAGTTCTTATATGCAAGAAGTCTTCGGTCGAATTTAGAATGGTGTGGTTAGATGTTATGTTAAATTTGATTCAATATTTTTCATCAAAATAATAGAACTATTCAATACAGTATACTGCAGTGCACGGAACTACATTGCCTGTGCGCTTCACTGTTGGAATGGTATCAGATTTATAAAAACGGAGTCAGTTGCATGTCAACATACACTCTTGTACAAAATATTGCTGCCTCATCGGGTGATCTCCAAATCTTCTTACCTTGCTAGACTGAATTTGAAAGTAACTCATAAATATGATTTGCCTAAAACTAGATTCAGACTCCAAAATTTTTCTTGTTTCACCTAAAAAAAAATTTGGCCGATCTAGTATATTAAAATTTGAATCTGATACAGTATAATACATATATATATATATATTGTAAATTCTCCTCATCTAATGTTTTTTAATTCTGATACGCCATCTATCTATTACTATGTCCGCATGTCGAGAAGAGGATATTCATAGTTTAATGGAGGATTTTATCAGATTCAAATAGAATTATAGACTCTTTATTTCAATATAACAAGATTATATAACTATTCCACAATTACAACTGTTGTCTCAGAGTAATTATTATGGAGACAACCAGCGTTTCGAGTCTGCTTAAAATTTCCCCCTGTTAACACTCCTTTATGTTATGAAACTGAGCATAAATTTGAAAAATAGGAGCTAAGATTCAGTTGTGACAGTGTACTTGACGGAATTATACTCCAGAAAATTGACATTGAGCTGTTTTGCTATCTCGCCTGCGATTGACAGTATCAAAGAAAACAATCAACACTGTCACAGTGTATATGGAAAAAGGTATTTTTTCTTTCTACTAAATAGCGCGAGTGATCTTAGCACAGGCAAGATGAACTGAAACCACCCATATTTGATAATTTACTCGCAAACAGTACTTGAGCAATTCATGTATTCTCCTACCCCCTGATTTTGATATGTCCTAGACCTAAACTATATAATTGAAGCCCGTGTATTTCTCGTCTTGAACCTTAGCTTTACACCGAAATTTTATGTTTGTTGTTTGAACAAGAATATCGAAAATAAATGAATTGACAAATATTTTAATCAGCTCATATTTATTAATCAAAAATAAATAACACAGTCCAGGTTAGCGGTTTATACCCTAAAAGCATTTTCGATGGACGATGGACGGACCAGCTTCGTCGTATTCTTGTTTTGAAATCCACATCTGTTGGAAAGTAGAGAGAGAAGCGAGGATTGATCCTCCGATCCAGACAGAATATTTTCTTTCAGGAGGAGCGATGATCTTGATTTTCATTGTGCTTGGTGCGAGAGCAGTGATTTCTTTTTGCATACGATCTGCAATACCTGGATACATTGTGGTTCCACCAGAGAGAACGTTATTTGCGTACAAGTCCTTTCGAATATCGATGTCACATTTCATAATGGAGTTGTAGGTGGTTTCGTGGATGCCAGCTGATTCCATACCTATAAATGATGGCTGGAAGAGAGTCTCAGGGCATCGGAATCTCTCGTTACCGATAGTAATGACTTGCCCATCTGGAAGTTCGTAGCTTTTTTCAAGTGAAGTGGATGAAGCAGCAGTTGCCATTTCTTGTTCGAAGTCGAGTGCAACATAGCACAATTTTTCTTTGATATCACGGACGATTTCACGCTCAGCAGTTGTAACAAAAGAATATCCTCTTTCGGTGAGGATTTTCATCAAATAATCAGTGAGATCCCTACCAGCCAAATCGAGACGAGCGATGGCGTGTGGAAGAGCGTAGCCTTCGTAGATTGGTACGTTGTGAGAAACACCATCTCCAGCGTCCATAACAATACCTAAACAAAATGAAGAACATTAGCTTATATTAAACAGCGCGTGCTCTACGTGGTTAAAATGGACAATAATCTACTTTTTTTTGCCCTGAATGATAATGAAGGGTCTTAAAAACTCAAAATTTGTTTTACCTGTGGTTCTTCCTGAAGCATAAAGTGAAAGAACAGCTTGAATTGCAACGTACATTGCTGGTACATTGAATGTTTCAAACATAATTTGTGTCATCTTTTCACGGTTGGCTTTAGGGTTGAGAGGAGCTTCAGTGAGAAGAGTTGGATGTTCTTCGGGAGCTACACGAAGTTCGTTGTACATAGTGTGATGCCAGATTTTTTCCATATCATCCCAATTGGTTATGATTCCGTGCTCAATTGGATACTTGAGTGTAAGAATACCTCTCTTGCTTTGTGCTTCGTCTCCAACATAGCTGTCTTTTTGTCCCATTCCTACCATAACGCCTTGGTGTCTTGGTCTTCCGACAATGGAAGGAAACACAGCTCTAGGAGCGTCATCTCCAGCAAACCCAGATTTTACCAAACCGGATCCGTTATCGCAGACAATTGCTGTTTGATCTTCTTCTCCGTCAGACATGTTGGTGTTATTTAGTTGTTTATACAAGTTGAATATACAAATAACTTTCCAAAAGCTCGAATGATGATTTGCTGTGTTTTCTGAGATATATATAGCCTACCTTTATCCTGAAACTGTGAAAAACGGCTTTGCATGTGTTAGCACTATGTATGCGGCATTGCTGTAATGCGAACAGCCAGTAAGCAATTAAGATCAGCTGCTAAATAGTTCATTATTGTTTTTGCAAAGAAGGGCCGCGTGACATTTCGCAGTTCTTATTCTCTGTTATAGATATCTTGGTGTTACAATTGTGTAGGTAAAATGAGAAATCATGTTTTTACTTTGAAACATCTTCTGGTATTTGGTTGTATCTTCCTCTTCTGTGGGTTGTTCTCGAGCTACTTTTGTCGCGTATTTTATTGTGCATCGAAGGTATCCTATGAGAAATGTTCAGTCAATTTTTAAAACAAGCATCAAACTAAAAGTTGAAAGGTATAAGTATATATGACATAATTATGGTTTAAAGTTGAAAACTTCTTTTTATTTGATTTATTTCCATCTTCATTGCATTCATTCGTGTGCCGGAGTGTAGGTCTTCGTGTATTTCGTTCATCGAAGTCAATACATGAGAAGACTCTGATCCGAATTATATTTATGGTGCCCCTTAAGAAGTCTATACTCTATGATTTCGTCATTTTATTTTGTTTGTAACTTATACTTATATACCAAAATTAAAAATGATTAAGCTCTAATAGTCCTCAATGTCGTTTAATCCACCAACATCGGCGACATCTCCATGCGCTTAAGAAATTCCCAGCATCGATAGATAAGTTGAAGATTATTCGGAAATGGGCCTAAAAGGAAGCACGAAAAATAACAACAGAATAATAAAAAACGATCCACGCGTTCACTTTGTTTCCAATAAGTATTTATTTCGACTTTTGAAAGTATTTCGAGTAATGTATACATTACTGGGAAGTTTAGAGCTTTGGTTATTTCATCGAATAATAATCCAAATAATGGTATTTTGTCTACCGTTTTCACTGGCAGAAAGCTACGTATTGTCGTCGGCCTTAGTTGACCTTTGTTCCCAAAATACCTCGCTGGCAGTCATGCAAATATCTTTGTGCTGTGCTTTGTCATCTTGAACACATTCGGATATATATTGTAAGCTACACACTTGCTACAATATCCCGCGGTATTAGTCAATTTCGCGTGGTTGAAACCATATTTGTAAATATGATTTGAATGTTATTTTGCTGTCAGCACTCATTGATTTCAAGCTTCAATGCAGTTTTTCGTTAGACTTTTGTTTAAAGAATTGAAAAAAATCGAAATAGTTTTAACAATCTTGACATCCGTGTTACGCGTGTTGTGAGAGGCATGACCACTCGACCGGCAATTAGATAAAACTATTGAAGTGTGTCTGTTCGTATCGCTGCGTTACATTTGCTTCTTTGGGAAACTGAGTTTCAGTTCAGTCGCATTATCATCTTATTTTGGCACGAAAGACTACTGCATGTAGTATTTTACACAGCAAAAGTAAGGATAAGAACTTTTGCTTGGTAGGTAAAATATTATCGTTAATTATAGTGAAGAATTTTAGGCCAGTATGGATATTACGTTGTGTTTTTATGGTTAAATTTGGCCTACGGTTTAATATTCTGGCTAGCAAGGCTTAGCATCGGTGCTTCACGGGCATTTCCCATGTTAAAGAGCACGTAAGAGTGAGTTCTGTATACAATGAAAGTTAATGAGTGGAAGTACGAAGACATTATATGTTCCCTGCTTCAGTGCTTTCTTGCTGAGCTTAAAATGAAGTTTCACTATCGGCCTTTTTCGGCTCAAACTTAAGCGTGTGTCCGTGCAGTGGAGTCCGAGCAGGCATTGATTATTCAAGTGTGAAATATTGGCAGGGCAGAAAGCATACGAGAATACTATGATGCCAAGTAAATACGTTACCCAATGTCGAATTGTCATATATATATATATATGCATATGTTGGCTGAGCTTCCGTAACAGATTGTAGGTCGTAGTAGGATGTAAGCTTGCGATAACAATATACAATACGCTTCTGCCGGGAGCTACAATAAAAAGCGACGAGCGATATAGAACGAAGGCATACGTATAGCCGGAAGCGACGCGATTCGTCGCGCATTGGATTCAGACATTTGCAGTCTTTCGATCTGCTCAGCAGGCCTTCGAGCGATATTATATCGACGTAGTATTTATTGGCAGTCTGGCCTATCATTTAAAGTCGTAATTTTATTATAAAACATGGTTAGGTTGAGTTGAGCTCCAGAAGATGAGTTTAAGGCATGGTATTTGTTATGGGGAAAGTAATAAAATCAGTATCTTTCTTATCATTTTCATGATTGAAAAATACCTCGTTGTCAGCCTCTAAATACAAACCGTATTTGATGTTTAAGCCTGCATGCCTGACGATAGTTTTATTGACGAGACATCATCGAGAAAATTGTATTGATAAATATTGCATAAATTCCAGTATGTCTGCGTCATTCTGTTGTTGTTGGATTTGATTGTCCATAGTTTGAGAGTGACTGATGTGACGAAACAGAAGAAATATGTTTCTATCACACACAGCATAAATAGTTTAATAGCCAATCCATCGAACTTGCCCGTTTCAGGTTAAGTATATCGAGTCTCACTCAAAATAAAAGTCAAACGGTAGGGCATCATTTAGATGTTTCAGATAGGTATTCGTGTACGGTGTCATGTTTAAGACTAGAATTTCAGAAACTAGTGGAATTTATGGGGAAAAAGACCGATCGCGCAGTTTGTCCCAATTACTAGCAGTCGAGATACATAACACATTTGGTGTTTATTAGATTAGGAATTCTTAGAGAAGAAAATACTAAATCACCAAGGTACCAGCAGAAGTCACTTTTCATCAAAGACCTGGTAAGTTAGAAAGTAACGTAATTTTCCTTCTTGATGGTCTCAGTACTTTGACATGTTTCACGAGACTAAGGAAGTGACGCAATTAATTGATTATACGCACGGCAGCAACTGAATAATAGGGTGAATCAGGCTTAATGAAAGAGGCTGTGATGTGTGTGGTAGTGGTCGAAAGCTATTGTGTTGTGACAAGGTTTACTAATCTGACAAACGTAATGAACTGCCTGTCATTAATCCTTTTTTTGAGTTTCGATTGTGTTGTTTTGGTCAGAGTAGCCATATAATTTTAAAACAGTCGTATCGCAGATTCGTAGCATTGAATAATCGTTAGTTACAACTTTTATTGGCATATGTAGCTTGTTGGTAATAATATCCAGGAAACTGGGACACACTAAAAGCAACGCAGTACAGTTTGTTTTAATAAGTGACGCACAATTCAATTAATGATGAATGACGTGAGAGCTACTGACATTGTCAGTTTGGAACAGGCATCAGAATTAACACATAAAGTACAGTTTAGGGCAGTATAGAGGTGGCCATTAGGTTACGTATTCTAAGTATTTAAAAAGAGTTAAAACCTTTTATTTTATCATTGCATTACGACACTGCGTTTAATAAAAACTCCTATGAACGATTAGTGCTTATTTGCATTGTTTAGGCTCAGTTACTATATTCGTCTTCTCATGGTTAGGTGCTACTTGGCTGTTGCGATAAATATTGCTTAAGCAAGTCCGTAGTCTAGAATTGACGATACGTGACTTACTTCGTTTATTTTCGGACATAATTCTAATCCAATGTTCAAGCCAAAACGAGTTGGAATAAATTAACACATATCCACAACCGCAATCCACACACATGGAATTTCTGGAACCTGTATCAATACTGCCGCGTTGGAATAGCTGTTTACGGACTGACGAAAAACAATTATACGACCGAGGCTTCGAAGATATAATTTGTGAGAATTACTGTTCCGCTGGGTGATTTTAAACACAGTTTGTGACGGTTATGTGTATTTTTGCGGTGCGCTCTTTTTTCATTCTGAGACAAATTGTGAGAGATGGTGTTTCACTTCCAATCTAGGCGCCGGAATGTGCTGTTCTTTTGGCATCATAAATGAGTACAATTAGTTTAAAATGTTTATTCGAAATATCACGTCATCAGTCGTATAGATAAACAATTGAGCGAGTTAAAGCCAAAGTTGTAAATGAAAGGCTATAATGTAAGATAACACAAATACAGTTAAGAAGAATACACTGCGATCATATTCAGTTTGAAAATATTTCGCAGAATTATGTGTCATAGATTTACTAAACTTTTGCTTTTCCGAATTGAAAAGAGAAACAGTCAGAAAACGACTGTAACTTTAAACCATTTAGTATTTTCGAATTGGTTCGTAAATTGAAATTCAGGCCTTGATCTGTTATTTCAGTCAGTATAAAAATTAGTTTGACGTCAAGCGTTAAAAACCCGATCTCAAAACAGTCCGTCGTTATATGCCGTAACATCGTGTAATATTTACTTTAATTTCTCCTGATATTTTTCGCTCGTATTATTTTATCAATATAAAAACCTTTCTCCTTCGCTCTGATATCATTTTACGTTATGGGTCTTCGAGTACGAAATTGATAAGTGTATTAAAATCTTGATAGCGTAATTTTTTAATCAATTATAAAAAACAGATGCAGAGTGTTATTCAGTCAAATTTTGGCCGGTTGAAAATATCAAAATACGTTAAAACATGTTTGGATTGAGATTATTTCGAGAGGCCGCAGATGAAAACACTTTTGTGACGTGTTTGTTTCTATTCATTTCTTTGATGAAATTGTTCGTATTAATTCTTATAAATGGTTTTACTACGAATAAGCCTGATAACAACTACCCGCAGTTAGACTTTCTGATACAGTATATGAACTTTCACCGTGAAAACACTAATATCTGATTTCAATAAAACAACATTAGCCATAAGCTATGTATGTGTTATACGCATACAGAATGAATCTAAAAATAACATTTTGTCGTGTGATACATTTGTGCACGTTTATGTGTAGGAGGATGAAAATCAGGCAGATACCGGTGACGTAGGAAAACATGTGTACTGTGATATCACTAAAGATATGCGTGTTTATATCAATGTAGCAATGGTGAGAAATGGATACAGCCA